TTTGATCCTCAACATAATAAACAAACAAATAAGAAAATGCTTCAGTATCATGTTTGCACACTTCTTTTCAATACACCCCTTCTCCCATTAGAAGTTTTTTTAATTTAAAAATTATATATGTGTATATGTTTGTGTGTGGGTAGGTGCATGTGAGTGCAGGTGCCCAAAGAGGCCAGAAGAGGGCATTGGGTGCCCTAGAACTGGAGTTGCAGGCATTGGTAAGCTACCCAGTGTGGGTACTAGAAGTATAACTCAGGTCCCCTTGAAGAACAGTGCATGTTTTTAATTGCTGAGCCATCTCTCCGGCTCGCTATCCAGCTCTGTTTGGCATCCTCTCTCTTGGTCTTTTTTTCCCATTTGTGCGTGTGCGTGTGCGTGTGCGTGTGCGTGTGCGTGTGTGTGTGTGTGTGTGTGTGTGTGTGTGTGTGTGTGTGTGTGTGTGTTTATATGGGTGTATGTGTATGTGCAGGTACACATACGGGTGGAGCTAAGAAGACATCGAATGTCATTCTTCAGGACTTGTCAACTTGTTCTCTCTCTCTCTCTCTCTCTCTCTCTCTCTCTCTCTCTCTCTCTCTGTAGTGTGTATGTATGTGTGTATGTCCACATGCATGTGGGTACCTGTGGATGCCAGAAGAGGGCATCAGATCCCCTTGTGCTGGAATTACAGGTACTGGAAGCCACTGGGAGCTGAACTCTGGTTCTCTGGAAGAACAGTAAGTGCTCTTAACTCTGGAGTAATCTCTCCATTCCAAATCCTGTTTTCTGACATGGGGTTTCTCATTGGTCTAGAGTGCACCAAGTAAGCTAGGCTGGCTGGCCAGAATGCCCCAGGGAGCTGCCTGCTGCTGCCTCCCAGAGTTGGGATTATAACTGTGTGACACCAGGTCTGGCTTTTTTTTTTTTTTGAGACAGGGTTTCTCTGTGTAACCTTGGCTGTCCTGGAACTCGCTTTGCAGACCAGGCTGGCCTTGAACTCATAGAGATCTGCCTGACTCTGCTTCATGAGTGCTGGGATTAAAGGCGTGGGCCACCACCGCCCAGATTTTTTTTTTTTCTTCCTTACTTCTTTTTTTTTTTTTTTTTAATTTATTTATTATGGATACAGTGTTCTGCCTGCATACATCCCTGCAGGCCAGAAGAGGGCACCAGATCTCATTACAGATGGTAGTGAGCCACCATGTGGTTTCTGGGAATTGAACTCAGGACCTTTGGAAGAACAGCCAGTGCTCTTAACCTCTGAGCCATCTCTCCAGCCCCCAGATTTTTTTTTTAATGGTCCTGGGTTGAACTCCGGTCCTCATGCTTGACTAGCAAGCATTTTACATACTAAGCTGTCTCCCCAGCTCCCTCTTACCTTACTCCCTCCACACACATCTGGTTTGGGAGGGAGTGGCTCAGACATGACTTCTGTCTCCTTGTTCTTATCCACCCCACCCCACCCGCCATACACACACACACACACACAAAACCTCCTTTGGGTGCCTTAGCCTGGTATGGCCATCTTTTCTCATCCTGTACTTCCCTAGTTTTCCCATGAAGCCCCGGGGGGAGGGGGGTTTGTTGGTTTGTTTGTTTTGCTTTTTTTCAAGACAGGGTTTCCTGTGAAGACCTGGCTGTCTTGGAACTTGCTCTATAGACCAGGCTGGCCTCAAACTCACAGAGATCCACCTGCCTCTGCCTCCCCAGTGCTGGGACTAAAGATATGTGCCACTACCATGCAGCCAGGGTAGGGTGTTTAGGCCATGCATTTCCTCCACAGAAGTGTGGGTCTCTTGCTACAATATCCTTCCTCAGGACTCCTGTAGTGATGGGACTTAGCACAGCCCCATGGCGCTGTGGAGGGAAAACAGAGGTTCAGCTGCCTTTGCCGTACTGGCCTTTTCCCCATATCCTCCTCTCCAGAGGTCACTAGTTTCAAAGGTCTCATCCCCGAGCTGTGTTTGCCCATCTGTGCGTTTCTCCCCTTCAGCAGCAAGAAGGATTTGTCCCTGAAGGCTGCAGAAGGCAGCGAGCGAGCGACAGGAGCTCTGAGAGAGCGATTACCTTGAAGAGCCGTCACTGGCAAACATTCTTTCTTTCCCAAGTTGGAAGGGCCTCACCTTGTGCCAATTAGTCCAGAGGGCACTTGAGTCTTAGCCAACCGAAATGCTCCAACCCTTAAAGGGGAAGCAAGCCAGGAATAAAGGTACTTCCTGGGGGCCTCGGCAGCAGGCTGGTGGCTTTTGTGGCTTTTAAAGGAAGAACACAAGGTGACGCAGAGCCATTAACCCGGTAGAACAAAACGGGATATAATGATGCATGGGCTTGAGGAAGCGCCATCTGATTAAAGGGGCATTTATGACTTCTCCTCCCCTGAAAGAGTGGGACTCTCTAACAGGGACAGGGATTAGAATGCCAGACATTTCCTTGGCCTCCACACAAGGGAATGTGGTAACCACCCAAGGGTTCTTACTTATGACAATAGCAGAAAGGCTGGAGACACTGGCATGCTTCCTTCTCAGCATGCCGGCTCTGGGAAGAAGAATTGTGCAATCCCCCCCACACACACACGGTGTGTGTGTTTGTGGGTGTGGATGTGGTTGCACCTGCACCTGTGTGCACATGGAGACCACAGGCTGACCTTGGGTGTGACCCTTGATTGTGTTCTGTCTCACTTAAGAACTTTTTTCTGATGAACTTAATCGAGAGGGAAGCGTGTGTGCCACCGCATGCACGTGAAGGACACTGGACGACTGGCAGGAGTCAGTTCTCTGTTTCTACCACGCAGGTTCTGGGGATTGAACTTGGGTCGTCAGTCTTGGTGGCAGATGCCTTTACCCACTGAGCCATGTCATTGACTCTTTACCTACCTCATTTTGTGTGAGCAGGGTCTTTCACTGGACATAGAGGTCACAGATTCAGCTAGAGTGGCCCCAGGAATCTTCCTGTCTTTACCACCCTAGTAATGGAATTATAGACACATATTACCCACTTTATTTTTATCATCATCATCATCATTGTGTGTATGTGTGTACACATGTACATATGTGTGTGGTACACATGTACCACAGTGCACATGTGGAGGTTACAGGACAATCCTGTGGTACCATTGCCTGCATAGCTTATTACTGGTAACCTAAGTAGGGCAATGAATGCAGAAAGGACAGTCACACAGGCATGTAGCATGTACAGAAAGGCTGGAATCAGGTGGGCCCTGCTTCCTCTGTTGGAGCAGCACCAACTGGGTCACAATGCGAAACCTCAGTACATTTATTATGTACAGCCAGAGGAGGTGTTGGCTCTTCTCGGTAGGAGTCTCTGTGGGGAGCAGTCTCCGGCTGCGGCCATCTGGGAGGAGGAAGCTGCAGCTGCTAGTTTTTGCATACATCGCCAACACTCAGGCAAGAAGAAAGCCTTCTCGTCCCTCTGAGCCTCACCTCAAGAACGCTTTGCCACTCCACGGGTCTGAGGCACTGAGGTCTCATGGGCCTGTGCCTCTGTCAGCGACCCACGCTCACTCAGGATTTCGACCGCTTCTTCCACATTCGGCTCAAGGCTTCCTTAGCATCTCACACTGGAGTCAGTTTTCTCCTCCCACCTTATGTGGGTCCCAGTCATTGAACCCACGCTGTTAGGCCCATGTGGCAAGGGCCTTTACCGCTCAGCCCTCTTCCTGGCCCATTGTCCAGCTTTTTCTGTGGTTTCTGGGGATCCAAGCTTTGCTTCTGATGCTTTCAAGGCCAGCCTGGGACACATGAGACACGGTCTTACAAATAAAATCAAATGCCATGTCTTTAATCCATGCACTTAGGAGGCAGAGGCAGGCAGATCTCTATGAGTTCGAGGCCAACCTGGTCTACAAAGTAAGTTCCAGGACAGTTAGGGCTACACAGAGAAATCCTGTCTCAAAAAACCAAACCAAAGCTGGGCAGTGGTGGTGCACGCCTTTAATCCCAACACTGGGAAGGCAGAGGCAGGCGGATCTCTGTGAGTTTGAGGCCAGCCTGGTCTAAAGAGTTCCAGTACAGGCTCCAGTGCTACACAAAGAAACCCTGTCTTGAAAAAACAGGCAGGGCAGGCAGGGCGAGAGAGGAGAGAGGAGAGGAGAGAGGGGGGAGGGGGGAGGGGGAGAGGGGAGGGGGGAGGGGGGAGAGGGGAGAGGAGAGAGGAGAGAGGGCTGGTGGCCAAAAGAAAAATCTGTCTATAATTCATAACAAAGACACTCCTTATAACCAAGCCATGAATGGCACTGATACATTCACGTTGGAAGCATTCTCATGCCCCACCTCTAAATGACCCAAGACCTTCAGAGCGAATACTCATGTGTATGTGTGTATGTGCCACATGTGTTCAGGTACCCAAAGAGGCCAGAGGTGGTGGATCCCCTGGAGTTACCGGCAGTATCCTGACATAGATGCTGGGAATTGAACTCTGCTAAACCATCTCTCCAGCCTAAAATTTTTAAGGTAGATTTAAGCACAGGATAGGCCCTCAGGGGAAGGTGTGACATAGCAAGGGCCTAAGTGAGGGATGCTCAGGAGTTGCTTCTTTCCTTCAACAACAAATAGAAAGGGAAGGCAGAAGGAGAAAAGGCATGTACAGGCTGGATCCAGCACAGGCTTCTAATGGTCTCTCCAAGGGGCACATGAGCCCGGGGAGAGGAGTCTCTGGCCACAGGACTCGATAATGTTGCTGGAATCTGTGAGGAAGCCCTCATGTTCTCCAGGCAGAGCTGAGGTTTGCTGTCCAAGACAGTCTTGGAAGCTACCTGATCCCTTATTCAGAACTCAGCTTGTGGTTTAAACATTAAATCCTGAGCTTATCATCTTAATTTTAAAGGCATGTGGAAATCTTGTGACTGAACATTTACCCCTCCACAAGTTTTCCAGAAGGAAATGAAGTGTGCATACAACTATTAGCTATTCGGGTGACTCGCCAGAGTGCCATCAACAAAACTAGAAACACTCGAGGGAAACGATTAGGAAGGAACGACCACAAAATAGACTTTTCAGCAGTCATTAAAAACATCACAGCACATTTATTGACAGAAGAAGAAGTGCAGGTCACATTGACATGTGAACAAAACAGAAGGCAAAATAGCTTACTGTATGGACTCCATTTTTGTAAAAATATATAGGTATATGTAGCACATAAAAGACCTATAAGCATAGACATTGAGTTGGCGGCTCAGTGGGTGTTGATTATTTTCTTTGTGTCTCTCCCATCTGGGGCAGGCTGGCTTTGAACTTCCAATGTAGCTGAGGGTGATCTTGAACTTCTGATCTTCTTGCTTCTACCTCTCAAGTGCGGGAATTTACGTGTGTTACTATTTGCTTGTGCAATAGAGGCCAATCCATTACAATCCTTCATTTTGATGAAGTGAGTCTGGTTTTGTAATCCTCTTTACAAAGTAGAACTGATTTCTAAGCTGATATAGAAGCCACAGTCTTCCAGTGTACAGGAGCTCGCAGGAGCCCCCATAGTCACATCCCACATGAGAGTCAAGGAAGAGCCTGTGACATCAGCACCCACACCCTAGGCTCTGCTCCAGGGTCTCCAGGCCCAGCCAGCTCCTCAGCTCAGCTCAGCTCAGGCATTCTACTCCTGCTGAGTCACCAGCTTCATCATCTTCAGAGCCATGTCCCCTTGGTCAGCAGGAACCTAGAACCAAGAAGCATCTAAATTAGTGTTCCTGACGTAACTACTGGGTCAAGGACAAGGGTGACTGACATCCTCCTTTCTAGGAGAGATCTAGAAAGATTTGTGATAGCTGTAAAGAAAGAGCCTCGGGGCTGGAGAGTTGGCTCAGAGGTTAAGAGCACTGGCTGCTCTTTCAGAGGTCCTGAGTTCAATTCCCAGCCACCACATGGTGGCTCACAACCATCTGTAATGAGATCTGGTGCCCTCTTCTGGCATGCAGCAGAACACTGTATACATAATAAATAAACCTTTAAAAAAAAAAAAAGAAAGAAAGAGCGAGCTTCCTTGCTGGACCAAAGTTCTTCTGGGTTCCCAGTGTGTTGGGGCCTGAAGAAGTTGGCATTTAGGGAGCCTGCTATTCCACTTGAGGATGATCTGTTGACTTCCCCCTCCCGTCTTCCCATGTCCCCTCCCCTCTCCTTCCCCCTTCCTTGCTTCCTTCCTCTCTTTTTAGCAGAGCATGACATCAAACCTAGGGCCTCACACATGCTAGGCAAGTGTTTACCACCGAGTCGCATACCCCTGGCCCTTGGTGACTTCCTTATGGGGGCTGTGTTTATGGTCCTGGGACTCAGCCTATTTAAGAAACACGGAAGATGATGCAGAAAGAAGGGCTGAGGATGTAGCTCAGCTGCTAGAGTCATTGCCTGGCATGCATAAAGTCCCTCGTTCCATCCCCAGTACCACGGAAAACAGGCTGAGAGCGGACATGCCTGTAAGACCGGCACTTGAGAGTGGAGGCAGGAGGATCATGAATTCAAAACCAGACTTAGCAATGTAGAAAGACAGAAGGCAGCTTAGGCTAAATTATCAGATCCTGCCTCAAAAAAGAAAAGCAAAACAAAAAAAACATCAGTACATTTAAAAAATTTTGGGGTGGCTAGAGAGATGGCTCAGCAGTTAAGAGCACTGGCTGCTCTTCCAGAGAGGACCTGAGTCCAATTCCCAGCACCCACATGGTGGCTCACAACTGTCTGTAGCTCCATTTCTAGGGGATCCGACACCCTCACACAGACACACACGCAGGCAAAACACAAAAGCACAGATAATAAAAATAAATAAATCAAAATCTTTTTTTTTAAATTAAAAAGCCAGATGTGATGGTGTGCACCCAGCACTCCTGCGGCCAGATGAAAGACAGAGACGGAGAATCACCCAGAAATTCGTGGGCTGGAACAGCAGACACCTCAACAAAGTGGAAGGAGAGAGCCAACTGAAGGACATTCTCTCATGTCCACATACACTTCAAGGTGTGTGTGTCCACATACACACACACACACACACACACACACACTCACTCACACACACACATAAATAATAACAGAGAAGGGAGACGTTAAGCATTTGAAAGTGTTTCTTTTGGAGGAGGAAGGTCCTTGTCCAGCCTGGGGATGGAGTAGAGAGGAAGAGGAGACAGTCTAACTGAAGAGCTAAAAACCAATAGTAATGAACCATTGCTTGGCATGAGTCTTGAGCCTTCCACTGTTTCTTTGATCTCAGATTTTTAGAATAAATTTTTAAAAGATCTTCTATATATGGAAGTTTTGAAGAAATCTGACTCTTTGGAAAGGAAACTGGTATAAGAGTTGGAGACTACACCTCTATGTATATATTTTTAGCAATAAAACATAAGCTGAGAATGCACTGAGAAAAAATCTTTCATACACCATTAAAAGAGGGAAGGTTGAAGGAAGGCCTTGGTTTCTCTCCTTTATTGGAAAAGGCTGAGCCATGGTACCAGGTGCGCTGGTTTGAATAGGAACGGCCCCCTTAGACGCATGTGTTTGAATGCTTGGTCCATAGGGAGTGGCACTATTAGAAGGTGAGGCCTTGTTGGAGTGGGTGTGGCTTTGTTGGGGGAAGTGTGTCACTGTGGGGACGGGCTTTGAGGTCTTAGAAGCTCGGGCTCAGTTCACTTCCTGCTGCCTGCAGATCGAGATGTACAACTCTCAGCTCCTTCTCCAGCACCATGTCCACCTGCACACTGCCATGCTTCCCACCATGATGATAATGGACTGAACCTCTGAACTGTAGCCAGGCACAATTAAATGTTTCCTTTATAAGAGTTGCTGTGGTCATGGTGCCTCTTGACAGCAACAGAAACCCTGTCTGAGACACTGGGTCTGATATCCCCACTCTCTGATCCTGTCTGAGCTACTGTCCTGGACTCTCCTAACCAGGGCTTCCTAAAATGACACCTGACCAACTGAAGGGAATGTCTTAATGACAGTTTCCAAGGACTACTTTAGCTTGAACATGCTGTTCTGTTCTGTAAGTGATAAACCAAGGAGACATGAGTCTGAAATCCACGATGGGGCAGGAGGGTCCCACCCAGGAGCAGTGTGTCACTTTAGATTTTCTAACAGCTTTGCCCAGGTCAGCAGTGAAGGTACCCACATTCCAGATCCGCAACTAAAGCTACCTTAACCCTGGCCCCCACTGCTTCAGGTGTCTGTCCATCCTTCAAAGGGCAGGGTGCTCCTCCCCTTTCTGAGATGTTCCTGTATCCCAGACTGGCCTTAAATTCACTCTGTAGCTTCAGACTCTACCACATCGGTCTCAACCTTCCTAACAGTGGGACCCTTTATGTTCCTCATGTTGTGGTGACCCCCCAACCTAAAATTATTATTATTATTTTTTTTATTTTCAAGACAGGGTTTCTCTGTGGCTTTGCGCCTTTCCTGGAATTCACTCTGTGGCCCAGGCTGGCCTCAAACTCACAGAGATCCACCTGGCTCTGCCTCCTGAGTGCTGGGATTAAAGGCGTGCGCCACCACCGCCCGGCTTCTAAAATTATTTTGATGCTACTTCATAACTGTTACCCCGGCTTCTAAAATTATTTTGATGCTACTTCATGAATCAGAATGTAATATCTGTGTTTTCTGATGGCTTCAGGTGACCCCTGTGAAAGGTTCATTTGACCCCCAAAGTGGGTCGAGACCCACAGGTTGAGAACCGCTGCTCTAGCAGGATGTGGTAGTGATGCCTGTAATCATAGGAGGTGGAGGCATGGGAACCAGGAGGTCAAGATCATCCTTACTACATAGTATATTTCAGACTAGCCTGAGCTAAACCAGCTTTGTTTCAAAAAAAAAAAAAAAAAAAAATCTGAGTTGTTGACCTGGGTTTAGTGAAAAATTTTTATATGGTGCTGAGGAGATATCCTATCATTAAAAACTTGCCCTAAGCTAGGCAGTGGTGGTGCATGCCTTTAATCCCAGCACTTAGGAGGCAGAGGCAGGTGGATCTCTGAGTTTGAGGCTAGCCTGGTCTATAAAGTGAGTTCCAGGACAGCCAGGACTATGTAGAGAGACCCTGTCTTTATAAAAAAAAAAAAAAAAAAAATGCTGGGTATGATGGCATGTACTTTAATTCCTAGCCCTGGGGAGGCAAAGACTGAAGCATCCCTGAGGCAGGTTGGCCAGCCAGCCTTGCCTAACTGGTAAGTTCTAGGGCCAATGAGAAACCATGTCTCAAGGGAGGTAGTCGGCATTCCGGAGGATAATGTTACAGGTTATCTATCCTCTGGCCTCTACAAACAGGTACTTGCATATACACCCATGTGTACCCTCCTGGACATGTGCACCTACACAGATGTATGTACACACACACACACACACACACACACACACACACACACACACACATTAAAAACTTCTTTCTGGGGGCTGGAGAGATGGCTTAGCGGTTAAGAGCACTGGCTGCTCTTCTAGAGGACCCAGGTTCAATTCCCAGCACCCACATGGCAGCCCACAACTGTCTGTAATTCAAGTTCTAGTGGATCTGACTCCCTCACAAAGACATACAGGTCAAACAACAATGCATATAAAAAAAAAAAAAAAAACCCACACTTTTTTCTGGCTGGATGCAGTGGCTCAGACCTTTAATTCCAGGACTCAGACAGCAGAGGCAGACAGATCTAGTCTATTTAAAAAAAAAAAAAAAAGCCAAAGCCAAATGAATGTAGGACATAATTTCCAATAATTTTTTTTTTTTTTTTTTTTGGTTTTTTGAGACAGGGTTTCTCTGTGTAGCTTTGCGCCTGTCCTGGAACTCACTTGGTAGCCCAGGCTGGCCTCGAACTCACAGAGATCCGCCTGGCTCTGCCTCCCGAGTGCTGGGATTAAAGGCGTGCACCACCACCGCCCGGCTTCCAATAATTTTTTTTAAATAACCCTAATTCCTTCTACTACTTTCTTTTACTTATTTCTATGAAGCAGCATTCTCAGCAGTGACCACTATAAAACCAAATTATTGGGCCAGCAAGATGGCTCAGCAGGGAAAGGTAGTTGTTGCTAAGCCAGACAACCCGAATTTGATTCTTTGGACCCACTAGGTTGAAGGAGAGAAGGGATGGCTCTGAGTTGTCTTTTCACCTCTACATGCCCTCTGCAAAAATAAGGTAATTAAAAACATTTTAAAGTCAAAATATCAGGACTAGAGAGGTGGCTCAGTGGTTAAGAGCATTTGCTGTTCTTCCAGAGAACCTGAATTCAGTTTCCAGGATCCAGGTTGGGCGGATCACCTGTAACTCAAGCTTGACACCCTCTTTTGGTATCCATGGGTACCCATAGGCATGTACTCATACAGACACATACATCTGAAAATAAAATAATGGTCTGGAGAGATGGCTCAATGGTTAAAAGCACTTGGCTGCTCTTCCGGAGGACCCGGGTTCAATCCCAGCACCCACACAGCAGTTCACAGAGGGATCTGACACCCTCATACAGACATACATGTCTGCAAAACACCAATGCACATAAAATAAAAATAAATAAAGCATTTAAAAAAAAGAAAAATAAAATAAACCTCCCAAAACTAAAACAGAGGTAAGTTCTGAAGTAGTGAAGATCCTCTTTGTCTGGAGTATCAAATATTCAGCCAAGATATAGTTCTTTATATAAAAATAAACAGGCCTATGTATCTCACTACTATGAAAATTTAGTCTCTAATAAATAGTATACCAACCAAAGAATTGTCTTTAAATAAATTCATGATTCACTATTAGTAAATGTTTGATTTGTAATCCTATCATATTTCTGTAAACCTAGGCCCTCTGAGGCCTGCAGTTCCATGAGGCCAGGAACATGGCACCATTCACCCACCTCTATGCTCCAGGCACCTGCCAGTAGTATTCATGATTAGTACTTAGGAGACATACAGGTGTTTGATTAATGAGGTTTTGAGGGACCTTCTGCCTTTGCTATTCCCAATTCCTTCATCAATATGTGTGTCTGTTGTGGGACTTGGGGGCACTTGGGATTAGCAATCTCTCAGCTCAAAGAAAGCTATGTAATCAACACATAACCTAAAAAGAAAATAGTACATTCCCTCCATGGGCATGGGAGTGTCCACAGCCTTGAGTCCCTCTTTATACCCAAAGCCTCTTCCAAACATGTCCCTAGGCCACCACTGCTTGGAGACACTCCCCAGCTTGTGCCATGCATACTGTGACTAGACTTCACAAAGCAACCAGCGTTTTTGTTTTGTTTTGAGACAGGGTCTTAGGTAGTCCAGGCTCTGGAATTTACTATGTAGCCAAGGCCAGACTTGAACTCCTGATCCTCCTGGCTGTCTCCTGAGTGCTGGATTATATGAGGATGTCATTGTGCTCAGCTCAGCTTTAAGTTTTGTTTTAAAGATTTATTTATGTATTACGCGTACAATGTTCTGCCTGCGTGTATACCTGCAGGCCAGAAGAGGGCACCAGATCTCATTATAGATGGTTGTGAGCCACCATGTGGTTGCTGGGAATTGAACCCGGGTCCTCTGGAAGAGCAGCCAGTGCTCTTAACCTCTGAGCCATCCCTCCAGCCCCTCAGCTTTAAGTTTTACGTGGTCATGGAAAGGTAATTCTTCTTCTCCCAGGGCAAAGTGTTAAGAGCAATGCATCCTATGAATTCATTTAAAACAGAGAATGAAGAGGAGCCCAGCGTACCTCTCCCAGGGAGATTTCAACTTTTAAATGAGTTTACGTTCAGCCTCAAAGACGTGCTAATCGAGGCTGAGTAACTTCGATGAAGTACATGACACCAGAGGCTTGAGATTTTTTTTTCCAGATTTTGAAATACTTGCATATGCACAACATGGAATCTTGAGGCTGGGACTCAAGATGATTGTCACTCACCCTTATGAGATGAAGGTAATTTTGTGCAATGTTTTTAGCACATAGTGTCTTAACTATGTTAGATGACCCGAGGTCTGGCAATGATCTTTCTCCTTGCAAAGTCATGTTAATGTTTAAAAAGTTTTGGAGTTTAGATTTTTGGATCAGCAATGCTCAACCTTAGTAGAATTTCATTATAAAAAACTCAAAACACGGGCTGGAGAGATGGCTCAGAGGTTAAGAGCACTGACTGCTCTTCCAGAGGTCCTGAGTTCAACTCCCAGCAACCACATGGTGGCTCACAACCATCTGTAATGAGATCTGGTGCCCTCTTCTGGTCATACATGCTGTATACAAAATAAATAAATAAATCTTTAAAAAAAAAAAAAAAAAAAAAAAAACTCAAAACACAGATTGGGGAGATAAGTCAGCTGGTAAAGTTGCCCTGAAAGCTTGAGGACCCGAGTTCAGACCCTTAGCACCCGTGAAAAGTCAGTCACGGCAGCCCATGCCTGTAATCTCAGCATTGGAGAGGCAGAGATTGGCAGACCCCCAAGCTCACTGGCCAGCCAGCCTAGCTCAATTCCTGAGCTCCAAATTCAGGGAGACCCTGTCTCAAAAAATAAGGTTGAGCCAGGTGTGGTGACATGTGCCTTTAATCCCAGTAGACGCAGGCGAATCTTTGTGAGTTCAAGGTCAGCCTGGTCTATGGTCTACATAGTGAACCCCAGGCTAGCCAAGGCTATGTGGTGAAACCCAGCCTACAAACAAACAAGGTGATCAAGGAAGACAATACCCCGCATAACTCTGGCTTCCACATGCATGCAAGAATGCAAGATACACGCGCGCGCGCACACACACACACACACGGGGCGGGGAGTGGGACTGAGGGGTAGGGACTCCAAATATTCCCACGTCTGAAGCTTTTCTTGGGACCACTCACCATGTGACCCGCCTTTAGGATCCAGTAGAAGGCTAGGTTCTCATAGGACTTGACGAATGCAGATGTTTCCACAGACTTAGGATTGCTGTACAGGGCCTTCCATTTCAGCTGGTGGAATTTGGACAGATGTGGCCACTTCAGCTTCCGCAACCAGGCCTCCTGACCTAGTGAGAGGGGCCAAGGAACAGGATCCGTACTAAGAGCTTGGTGGAGTCAGAGATAGAGAAAACAATCCAGGTCCTATAACTCAGAGCTTCCTAACAGTAACGTACATTACACTCACTGGGATCGTCTTACAAGCAGTTCTTGGTGGGGCTTGTGAACCTCTTTTCTAGAAGGCTCCTGTCCACACTTAGGCTAACTGAGAAATCCAACAGCTACGAGGCTGGCTTTTTTTGTTTTTTTTTAAACTTTTAAATGTCTCACAGTCTTTTTTTTTTTTTAAGAGAATGTCTTGCTAAATTTCCAGTATTTCAGGCTGGCCTTGAACTCACTCTATTACTCATCTAGGCCTTGAGATTTTTTTTTTAATATTTATTTTTAAAGTTTTATTTGCATTGGTGTTTTGCCTGCATGTATGTCTGTATGAGAGCATTGGATCCCCTGGAACTAGAGTTACAGACAGTTGTGAGCTGCCATGTGGGTGCTGGGAATTGAACCTGGGACTTCTGGCAGAGGAGTCAGTGTTCTTAACCACTGGGCCATCTGTCTTGGCTTCAGTAGCTATAATCACTGAAGGGACATTAACCCACTCAGAGCACGTGGCTCTGGCAGGCCTTGCCCTTCTCCCCAGTTCCCCCTGCCTTGCTAACAGCCACTGGATTACATTCCTAAAGCTAGCCCCCAGGGTCTATTCCCTTATTTGGCCATCTCCTCCTCCTGAGACTGACTACCAAAGTCCAGCTATCAAAGTGTTGAAGTCCAGCAATCAGAAGCCCCCTTTGGCTCATCTAATTAACATGCCCAATTAAAGTCAAGCACCTCATCCTAACACGAGGTTTCCCCATGTACCTTTACAAACCGTCATTTTCCTATGTGCCACGTCTGCCTCCTCTCTCTCCAGAAGCAGTCCTTTGCCTCTCTGGGACAAATACCCCTGCCCCCTTTCCCTGGTTCCCTTCCCCTTCTTTGTCCCTTATCCCTGCCCTCTGTCCATCTGGGACAAATAAATCTCCTTTGTGCTGAGAACTTGGCCTTGGGGGTCCTGAGCCGTGACTTTTCCTTCCTGTCCCAGGTTGGGTCCCTAGGCACAGCTTTCCCTGTGGGTTCTAAGATCTGGTCTCTAAGCACCCACAGGACTCCGTGGCTCTCAGACAAGGCAATGGGATCCTGCCTGAGAGACCAATTCTCCTGGGGCTTTGGAAATAGAGTTGTTAATGGTTAGTGTTTAACACCTTCTGTAACACACCACAAAAATAAAGCTTTCCCTCAATTAAGTAGTGAATATGGCCAAGAGCCAGGAAGACAAGAGGTGGGCAGATATTCTTTTCTTTAATCATACCCAGGGACCCCAGAATTGGAAAGACCCAGGGGTTGATGGATATAACAGGAAATAGTATTCCTCCTGACATTAATGCCACCGACCCCAAGGCTAATGTATCCAAGGCCATTTCCTTCTAGCCTGACCCATGATTGCTTCCACGTGTCCCCGAGAGTTGGTTCCTACCCATAGTGTCCACAATGAGATCCAGCTGTCCATTATACACAGTCACATTGACCCCAGCTTCCAGCAACTCATCCACAATATGGACGACAGGCTTCATGAAGTCTCCCTCCATGCTTATGAAGACATAAGATGACTGGGCTACAGAAGGAGAAGGAGAGAAAGGTAGTAGGTTAGAACGGGCTGGATTAAGAAGTATCTTTCGCCAGGCAGCAGTGGCACTTGCCTTTAATCCCAGCACTCGGGAGGCAGAGCCAGGTGGATCTCTGTGAGTTCGAGACCAGCCTGGACTACAAAGCGAGATCCAGGACAGGCACCAAAACTATACAGAGAAACCCCGTCTCAAATAAATAAACAAATAAACAAACAAACAAACAAATAAATAAAATAAAGAAGTACCTTTGAGCCCAGGCATCCTAAACTATGGTACCCAAAAATCCCTACACAGCAAAGGCTGAATGACAAACAGGTGCTCCACAGAGGGACCGAGGGGCCAGCAATAGCTGGAAAGAAAGGAAATACAAATAATGCACATGGTCCCTTTGCTTGGGGAGCTTGCCGTGTGCAACAAGGAGCTGAAATCTGCAGAAAGAAACAGGGAGGCAGAGGCCCAGAAATCCTTTTAGCTGGTCCACTTGGGAATAAATTGTGCTTTGGGCCAAAGTTAGTTTGGTGCTAAGTCGTCTCAGGGCCGTGTTCCAAGTACTGAACCTAAGCAGGGCTATCTTACCACAGACCAAACCAGATCTAAGCTACTTCAAAGCAGGCCTTCTGGAAAGGCAAATGGCTAAGAGGTGCCAGCAGCCAGCAGCCAGCAGCCAGCAGCCAGCAGAGACTCCTGATGCCCGAGCACCTGCCCCGCCATCATAGCTGGTGACAACATTACAGCCACCGCCATTTATCTGACGGGCACGAGGCTACGTAAATATTACAGAGGCGATTTCCAGTTCTTCCTCACTATGCTGGAAGACAGGCAGCTTGGACCAAGTCCAAGTAAAGGAGGCTCAGAGAGGCTGAGGAACACAGCCAGGGTGAAACCGCCAGCCACCACTGAGTGAGCTAAGACTTGAATTCAGACCTGACCGACCAACTCCAACTCGGAGCCAAGGAAAGCCTGTCCTTTTTATTTATTTGGATTTTTAAGAAGATTTATTTTCTGTTTATGAGTATGTGTGTGTGCCTGTGTACAGTCAGGTACACCACATGCATGCAGTGCCCATGGAGGCCAGAAGAGGGCACTGGATCCCCTGGAACTGGAGTTAGAGATTGTAAACTATCCAGGGTGGGTGCTGGGAACCAAACTTGGGTCCTCTGCAAGAACAGCAAGGACATTAACCTAGGCTGACCTAGAACTCATTGATCACAATCCCAAGTGCTGGGTTCACACGTGTGAGCCACTACACCTGGCTGTTTATTTAAAGACAGGATCCTACGATGTAGCCCATGCAGGCCTTGAACTCCTGCCTCAGACTGCTGAGTACTGGGGACTGCAGGAGTCTTGCCACTACACCAAGCCCTTTGCAGCGTCTAATGCGTTTGGCTTTTTTGATTTGATTCAGAGATATGAAGATACTAAGTCAGAAATGAGCTCCAGTGATGCAGACTGTGATAGGGCGAGCCATGAATGCTAACAAAGTCAGGACCAGGGTCAAAACATAGCTCTCACCAGGCAGTGGTGGTGCACACCTTTAATCCCAGCACCCAGGAGGCAGAAGCAAGTGGATCTCAGTAAGTTCGAGGCCAGCCTGGTCTACAAAGCAGATGCCAGCCAGGACTGTTACACAAAGAAATCCTGTCTGGAAAAACCAAAAACTAAAAACAGAGAAAAAAAAAAAAAAAAAAAAAGGCCCCTATGGGACTAAGTAGGACCTTTCCAAGATTTCTATCTGGCCTTGGTCTCTAAAGACTCAAGTATTTCCACACTGTGACCCCCAGAGCAAAAGACAGACATGGCAGACCATATCTAGCACCAGCATGTTTGAAAGGCCAGCACGGGCACTGGCCAGAACTTGCCCATGCACATGGACTGTCTGATACCCTTCAAAGGACCTTTGGCTGGAAATCTCACATGTGACCAGCTGTGGCCTTACATGTAGCATTTTATCATAATTTTTAAAATTCTATTTATTTTCTGATGGGTGGGTGGGGGTGGAGACAGATACATGCCATGGGGCACATGAAGAGGCCAACAGACAACTTCTGGGAGTCAGGTCTCTCCTTCTAGCACGTGAGTCGCAGAGACTTAAGTCAGGGCAACAGGTTTGATGACGCGTGCCTTTAACCATTGAGCCATTTCCCCGGCCCTTTATTTTTTTTAGAGGCAGTGTTTCGCTAAATTGTCCAGGCTGGCCTCAAACTTGTGATGCTCCTCTGTCAGCCTCTTAAGTACTGGGAATTTCAGGTGAGTACTACCATGCTCCACTCCTGTGTTTTCACTGTGTTACAAAGGTAAAGGGTGTTGGGCTGGAGAGATGGCTTAGAGATGGCTCTTAGTTAAGAGCACTGGCTGTTCTTCCAGAGGTCCTGAGTTCAATTCCCAGCAACCACATGGTGGCTCACAACCATCCATAATGAGATCTGGTGCCCTCTTCTGACCTGCAGGCATACAGGCAGGCAGAACACTGTATACATAATACACAAATAAATCTTTAAAAAACAAGAACAAAACAAAACAAAGGTAAAGGGTGTAGTAGTCCCCATGCATCCATACTAGGCTTCAACAATGATCGACGCACAGCCAATCACAGGCCACTTCCCAGCTATTTCTCTGCCAGCTCCTTATTCTGATTCACTGTGTCCAGTCACTGACTGATTCTCCATTTGCTGCAGACGGTAATGTTACTTTACTTACCACAGACCGCCATCACCAAGGAAACCCAGTCTACGAATGAAGGGTTCTCAAATGGTACACATCCCCCTTACAAACGGCACTTGATTAGGTCATTTAAGTACCTCCCCAGGAACAATCCTCAGGGATGATTTTGAGCTTCTTTCTGATGGGGCCATTCATGAGCTGACTCAAGGTGTCTCCTTGTAGGTGTCTCACGTGACGCTGACACAGACGAACTGAAAGCAAACTGGTACACAGTGAGTCAAAGACCTGGCGTCAGGACCCCACAGACATCTTTCCCAAGCTACCGGGGGAGTCGGCACAGTGGAGGGAGGCCTTTTCCTGGAAAAGGAAAAAGTGTCACTTTGATCCATGCGGAGGGGAGAAAGGGGGCCAGAAGCAGGTTGAAATCGGTTAGGTTGGTATTGTTAACTGCGGTCTGTGGGCACTGTAGGGCCACTGGGATTACCCTGAACAGACAAAGGAAGTCAGCTGAGAAGAGGAAACAAGGAGCATTCAGCTGGCTGGGGGAGGGTTTCAGGCATTCTTCAATCAAAGCCAAGCTGGGCCAACTGAGACCATTACAGTCAGCCCTGCAAGGACCTGACCCTGCAGTTCAGTGAGCAGAGACTGCTGCCCCTGTGATGCAGCTCACTGGTAGAGCACGTGCTGAGCATGCACTAGGTCCTGGGTGTCATTCCCTCATCAAAAGGCATTGGTTCCCATTGCTCCCTGGCTCTTTGGTGAAGATCAAGTTGCTTCCCAAATACAGTATGCTAAGAGCACCAACCAAAAAATAAAAAAATAAAAAAACCAAGAAACTACTGTATGATTCCATTTATATAGAATGTTGAGAAAAGCCAAAACCCAGAGACACAGAAAGCAACCGAAGTGATTGCCTGGGGCTGGGAGTGGGAAGAAGAGACTGCAAACATGTGTGGGCTCTTTCTGGGGTGATGGGAATATTCTAAAACTGGATTGAGGTGATGAGTGTGCAACTCTGTGAATAGACTTAGAACCACTGAAAGCTACTTTTCTGTTATATAAACTGCGTGTTGGTAACAGGACAGGTCTTCCTGCACAGAGGCGGGGTAGGGGCTAACAGCCGCAAGGCACGCTCACCTAAGGGGCTCCGGGGGAATTCAAGGCTCGATTCCATAGAGGCTTCTGGAGTGCTTTTAGTTAAGATGTTATAGAAGTTTACCCCATCTGTGTTCTGAAATAGAGAGCACATTTGGGTGGTTTCTTTTTCTGTCCACCGTCAAAGTTTGCCAAACAGAAAAGTCCTTGGCTTTCCAAGGATGACCTTAAGCTTATAAATGTACTGGACTAGTAAGAAATCATCTCTAAAGGCTTAGATGGCAGCCTACAGCACATAGTTCATGGGAGCCCAGGCACCACTGGAGCACAAGGGCCGGTGCGTCAGTATACAGGGAGCCGAGGGGGCCGAGGGGGCTGAGGGGGCAGAGTGTCCTCTTGGCCATTGTGTTCTTTCCTTTGACCTGACTCAAGGCAGAATACTACTTGACAAGGATCCAAATAAGAAAATACATGGTCTTTAAAATACACATTCCCCTGAGCACTGCGGTCTCTTTTCTCTGGTATTTTGAGATGCTATCTTACGTTGTACTGGTTGGCCTCAAACTTGCTATGTAGCTGAGGATGACCTGGAACCCCTGATCCTCCTGCTTCTTCTACCTCAGAAGTGCTGGATTACAGATGTGCACTACCAGCTGTGGTGGTTTGAAAGAAAATGGGCCAGGCAGTGGTGGCGCACGCCTTTAGTCCCAGTACTCAGAAGGCAGAGGCAGGCAGATCTTGGTGAGTTCGAGGCCAGCCTGGTCCACAGAGTGAGTTCCAGCATGGCTAGGGCTACACAGAAAAACCCTGTCTCAAAAAACTAAAAAACAACAACAACAAAAAAGGTCCCCAAAGGGAGTGGCACTATTAGGAGGTATGGCCTTGCTGGAGTAGGTGTGGCCTTGTTGGAGGAAGTGTGTCACTGTGCGGAGTGTGGAGGCAGGCTTTGAGGTCTCATATATGCTTAAACCACACTTCTTGTTCCTTGCACAAGATGTAGAACTCTCATCTACCTCTCCAGCACCACGTCTGCCTGCATGCCACCATGTTCCACCATGATTATAATGGACTAAACCTCTGAAACTGTATGCCACCCCATTAAATGTTTTCCTTTATAAGAGTTGCCATGGTCATGGTGTCTCTTCATAGCAATAGAAACCCTAACTAAGACACATACTAAGCTACTGAATCATATTTTTTGTTTGTTGAGTTTTTGTTGTTGTTTCGTTTCTGAGTCAGCGTCTCATGTAGCCTGAGTTGACCTTAAACTTATTATGTAGCTGAAGTGACCCTGGAATTCTGATCCTCCTGTCTCTACCTCCCAAGTGCTGGGATATTACAAGAATGCACTACTCTGCTTGGCCACCAGACAGTCTTCCTTCTTTTTAAAATTTTTTTTATTTTATTTTATTTTTTTTTCATACAGGGTTTCTCTTGGAACTCACAGAGATCCACCTGCCTCTGCCTCCCAAGTGCTGGGATTAAAGCTGTGTGCCACCACTGCCCGGCAAAGACCGTCTTTCTTATAGAATCCGAACATTCAGTCGGGAACAAGGAGGTCTTTCAAGCCTAGGAGGCTTGCCGACCCTCTAAAGGCTACGATGTCATTGCTAAAGCCATCTAGATTATCATTCGACATGCAAGCAGTTCTAAGACTGTGGGAGGCCCAGGATAAGACTCATCCTGACAACACCAGCCATGGGTCCCCTCCCCCAGGTGCAAAGCCATGCCATGCTCCGTTCTTTACCTTTTCAATGACTGTCTCTGCTTTCCCCCACAGCTCAGTGGCCTCCTTGTAGAAACCCCTGTTTAGAGCGTCGAGGACTTGCTCTGCAATGTCCGACACCTCAGCCAAGCCTTTGTCGTCAAGGAGAGACTGGAAGATAAACGGAGAACAAAAAGCCCACTGGATTAGGGAGTGTGAACCTGGTACTGCTGCAGCTGGGGCAAGAGAGAGAGGGGAAATGGGAGCTTACCTAAAGAGGACATAGTCAGAGAGGTGCCGGGGATCGAACCCAGGACCGTGTGCATTCTAGGCTGTGTTCTACCACTGAGTTACATCCCCAGCCCCAAGTCACATACTTATTGACGGAAGAAACAGAGCAGACTGTTAAATGAATGAAAATAGTAGGCCCACGAGGGTCTAGGTTTACCATGACCTTTCCACTTTGGGGGAGGGGTATCTGAAAAGTCACATAAGAACAAGAGATTCAAGACTGTGTATTGGGCTGGAATGGAGACAGAGGCAGGTGGATCCCTGTGAGTTTTAGGTTATCCTGGTCTACATAGGTTTGGGGGGCTAGGGACGTAGCTCAATTGGCAGACTAGACAAGACGCTATGGGACGCATGAGACCCTGCCTCAATAGGTGGGGGTGGGGATGGGAGGGCATGGCATGACAACACTTGGGACTAAGCTCAGTTGGCAGAGTCTAGCTTTGCATGTATGAGGACTCAGTTCCCAACAACAAACACAAGGGACACCAATTTTTCAAAAGAAATCCCTAGGGTGTCAGTGAGGCACAACTCTGGGTGTGTCTGTGAGGATTTTTCCCGATTAGATTAACTGAGGTGTGCATGTGGGCAACTAGTGACTGGGGTCCCAGACTGAACATAAAGGGGGAAAGAATGCCCAGTGAACACCTGCATGCCTCTCTCTGCTCCCTGATCCTCCGTCTCTGCTGCTACGCCTTCCCTGCCACGACGGACCACACCCTCTCCAACTGTAAACTGAAAGAAATCCTTCTGCCCTTCAGTGGCTTTCTGTCAGCTGGCAGCAATGATGATAACTAATACACTCTCTCTGGAGACCAAAGGAGGTCGGAGGTCAGAGGAGTCAGGGATGCTGTTTCCCATGGAGACTGCAGAGCGAAGGATCCACCCACTTACCATGCTGTACAGGTAAGGGCCCCAGGACAGCACTGAATCTAAAGAAAACCAAATAAGTACAAATTAGCTATGTCTTTCCAAAAGACCACCCCACTGGCTTCCCTTCAAAGTGCCAAGAGACAGGAGCAAGAAACCAGGAGTTCAAGGTCGGCATCAGGGATAAAGCAAATCTGAGTCAGGTTAGATTACATGAGAGCTTGTCTTGACCAACCAACTGAACAAGAAACAAAACAAACAAACAAACAAAAACCAACAAAAAGTCACCTTTGGTTAGAACAGTGGTTCCCAACGTAGGAGCCACGTAAGTCCCCGAAGGAATATCTGAAGATATTTCTGGTTGTCATACTGAGGGATCCTACTGCCATGTCAAGACCAGAGGATGAGGATGTTACAGACAAATGTCCAAAACTGGGGGCCGGGGAGATGGCTCGGGAGGTAAGAGGGCTTGCTGCACAGGGGTGAGGACCTCAGTTCAAATCCCCAAGCCCACATACAAAGCCAGGTTTGGTTGCATGTGCCTACAGTCCCAGCACTGTGTGGGCAGAGATGGGAAGATTGCTGAGGCTACCGGTCTAGTTCCAGGGTCAGGGAGACGCCCTGTCTCAAGAAATAAGGCCGAAGACCCGAGAGCTAGCTCAGCAGTTAAGACCACTTTCTGCTCTTCCAGACGACTGAGTTTGAGTTAGTTGATCAGGTGGACCACCTGTAACTCCAGCCCCAGAGGATCTGATGCCTTCTTCTGGCCCCTAGGGCACCGCATGCACATAGTGCATGGACATACATGTAGGTGAACACCCGCACACATGAAATAAAAATAAAGTCTCAGAAAAGGTAGAGAGTGATAGAGAAAGACACTTGATGTCCTCTTCAGGCTTATGCATGCATGCATGGGCACATGCATTTACACACATGTATTAACACACCACATGCATACATCTTACACATATTGCCCCCCAACAACAAAAAAATATCCTTAACACACAGAACAGCTCCCCACAACAACACTACACTATTCCAAATGGCAGTGGTGCTGAGGTTGAGGAAACCCAAGAGAGTTAACCTGGCCAAGATGATCACTTCAGATGCCTGAAGCCACACCCTGATTGTGTCCAAGATAGACCGCTGAGATAGACCGCTCCCGTCTGTGTTCCCAAAGGATTACAAAAGTGCAGGCCTCAGACTTGCAAGACCCGACACCAACCTTGCCTCACCACCACCACCAGTCACGCATGGAAACTTCACTGCAAATGCTCCTCTAGCGTCAGGATGCTAGAGCGGACAGGCCAGTGACACAGATTCACCCTATGCTGAGTCACACAGAACTGGGTCTCCTCTTTTCGAGGCCACTCACGCTGTGTGAGAGAGCATTTCAACATCCCCCGGAGTGTTTACAGCCATCTCCCACGGTAAACTCTGATTCCTTCGCTGGGAAAATCACATCAGAGGACTCAGCTTGGTCGCAGAGGCTATGACAATGACAGCTTGTCCCCATACATCTTGGATGGCTTGGGGGGAATGAATGTTTTCTGGGATGGCTTCTCCAAGAACCCAGAAACTTATGTCCTCTTATTTCATCTGGACAGCACAGCCCTGCGGGATGGCTGCTTCTCCCGGGCTTGGCATGATTGCCACCACAGAGCAGAGTGGCCGTGGTGACCTATCAGAGACCTTGAACTGTAGTCAAGGCAACAAAATAAACAGAACTATACAGCAGATACCTAAGTATATGATAACAGAGCAATCAAGGGGGAAAAGGGGACCACAAGACTTTCACAAGACCCTTTCCTTACATTCCAAGCTCACTACTGCCTGCTCCACTATACATAATCGTAGAAACACTAAAACATCTGAGGTTAAAATTGCCTGGGGGGCCAGCAGGATGGCTCAGAAGGTAAAGGCATTTATTGCACAAGCCTAGTGACCTGAGTTAAATTCCAAGAACCCACATAAATGCAGAAGAAAAGAATTAACTCCACAAAGTTGTCCTCTGACCTCTACATATGCACCAAGGCATCCCCTCACTATCTCACACACACACACACACACACACACACACACACACACACACACACACACCCCATTACCATTATCATCTAATTTTTAAATATTTCCTAGGCCGGGCATGGTGGCACACTCCTTTAATCCCAGCACTTCTGAGACAGAGGCAAACTCAGATCTCTGAGTTCGAGGCCAGCCTGGTCTATGGAGTGAGCTTCAGGACAGCCAGGGCTACGTAGAAAGACCCTGTTTCAAAATACAAAACAAAAACAAAAACCTTTTTTTAATTGCCTAAGGACAGGCCTTTTCAGTTGTACAAGAGTCACCCAGCCTCCTGTAAGTAACACCCATCAACTCCCGGGCCCACCAAGCAGGACTTGGATGGAATCCTTCAGTCTGTGGTGCTGGAGGCAAACAGACCTTTCATAATATTTCCCCAGAATGGTCATACAATAAGTCCAAAGTCACAGAAGGGGACAGGGATAGGAGAAAAGAGAGATGCCTAAAAATCGTCTACTTACCCACAGGAGAGATCCAGGAGTCACCCAAGGCAACCCCAGAAAAGTTGCACCTGATGGTCCCTTGCTGAATAGCCTGAAAGAAGAGTCGAGAAATGCTCTCACCAAGGGCACCAGGGCCTCCATCCCTCCTCAGCAGAGGCACATACTCACGGCTTCTCCTACCCACACTGTTCAAATGTCCCCAGGCATCAGAAGACCACACACGGGACAGCAGCCCCTGCCCACCACCACTGGGGAAATAGGATGAGCTACTGAGTTTCTCTCTGCCTTATTCATGGGTGTCCTCGGGACAAGCATGGGATCTGTCCTAGCTCTCTTTGGGAGGGTAGGGATCTCCATGTCCTGAAGTCTGGGAGCCTCCAAGGTGTTCAGGGGCTCCTAGGGTACAGGTACCACTGCCAAGCAGCAGTCACCGAGGCTGGGGCTCTGCAGGACATCCTTGAAAGTGGGGACCATACACAGGCCAGGAAGCTCATCCTTCTCTACACCAGTCCCAAAACAGAATGCTGGACATCAACTAAACATGCACCTGAAAGATGGGCCACATGATAAAACTCAAGACAAAGCAGAAAGGCTCCTTAAAAACCAAAGTGAAATTATCCCCACAGCATAGTACTGAACACTCAAAAAATGAATATAAGCTGGGGTATCATATATGCTATCATGTGTATAGGTTACCCAGTTATTCGTATCTGGTGAAATACAGAGACTAGGAGGCTGTCCAGGGGGGTAGGGTAAAAGCTAAACGATGGGAATATATGAGCTATTCAGAGATCTCAAACAAGAGAACAGACTGGGCTTGGCCTTGATGGAAGAGGCTTGTAACCCCAGCTAGTCAGGAGGCTGAGGCAGGAGGATTTTCTGGATTTTCATAGCTTGCTTGGGCCACAGAAGGAACTCAAGGCTAGCCTGGGCAACTCAGTGAGATATGGTCTCACACCAGAGGTAAAGAGGGCAGGGGGTATAATTAATTCAGCAGGGGAGTGCGTGCGTAGCGCACACAAGGCCCTGGGTTGTTTAATCCTTAGTACAGAGAAGAGGAACAAGAGGAAGAGGGAGAAATCGAAGAGAAGTGGAGGGCAAAGGAGAGCAGAGGGAGGAGAGGAGAGAGCAAGAGAAGAGAAGAATAAAGCCAGGGCGGGACTGGGTGTAGCTCAGTGGGAGGGCATGTACTCAGCATACATGAGGCCATGAACTCGATCTACAGAAGGAAGGGAGGGAGTCAGAAGGAGGAACAGAGGGAGGGAGGGGAAAGAAATCAGAAGGCTGAAGCAGGTAGACTGCAACAAGTTCAAGGCCAGGCTGGGCTAGTAGCAAGTACCAGGCCAGCTAGGGCGACATAGCAGGACATTATTTCTAAATAAATAAACATCATAGAAAAGGAGACTGTGCTAGATGAAGAGCCCTTAGGGACAGCAAAGCCAGATGTCACTCATCTGGACTGTGTATTAGCTTGGCCGAGCTGGCTTAAAAGACATGTTGGGACCGTTTAAAGAAGACAGGGCGTGAAACATGCTGCAGGAAAAAGGAGACCACTGACGGAGACAGGTCACGGTGTGACCGCATTTCGGTTAGGATTTCACGTATGTGAGCAGAAAGTATTCCAAAGTGCTATACAGTGGTGAGCGCTACCTGGTAGACGAGTTTTTTCTGTCTTTGAGACAGGGTATAGCCCAGGCTGGCTTCAAACTCACAACCTCCTTCCCCAGCCTCCTAGTGTTTGAACTACAGGTGTGTGCCACCACACCTAGCTAGTTTATATTCTGACATTTAAAAAAAAAAAAAAAAAGATGTAGGGGCTAGAGAGATGGCTCAGCAATTAAGAACACTAGCTTCTCTCTCAGGGGACCTGGGTTCGATTCCCAGCACCTACATGGCAGCTCACAACTGGCTACATCTCCAGTTCCAGGGAATCCAGTGCCCTCTTCTGGCCTCTGCAGGTACCAGGCATGCATGTACATGCATAGACAAATACATATCTGTGCTACACAGACGGACACACAGGCAAAACACTCATACACATAACATATTTTTAAAAACAAAGGAAATCTTTTAAGAGTGTATTTATTTTTATTTTCTATGATGAGTGTTTGCCTGCAGGAATGTATGTGCACAAGATTCCACTCCTGACAACCTAAATTTGATCCCCAGAACTCACAGTAGGAGAGAGCTCAGGAGAGTGGCCCTCTGGCCTCCACCCCCACACACACCAAGGCACGTGCAAGCACACACAAGAATTATAACAACAACAACAACAACAAAGTCTGTCCAATATTAGATAGGTGTATGAAAGCAACACTATTTTTTTGTTCAAAACCATCACAAGGGCTGGAGAGATGGCTCAGAGGTTAAGAGCACTGACTGCTCTTCCAGAGGTCCTGAGTTCAATTCCCAGCAACCACATGGTGGCTCACAACCATCCGTAATGAGATCTGGTGCCCTCTTCTGGCCTGCAGACATACATGCTATATACATAATAAATAAATAAATCTTATTTAAAAAAAAGATATTATTTAAAAAAAAACAAAACATCACAAAGAAGTCGCCCTCCCATTTACCTTGTGAAGTTCTAGACTGATGCCAGCAGCCATTTTTCCTCCATAGGATTCTGAGAAAATGTAGAACGGAACCGTCTAGCAAGGAAAGGAATTTACAAAGAATTAAAACACCCTGATTGCCTTTCAACTCACATAAACAACCTTCAGATCGCTACAGTGTACAGGGGTAGGTAAACTCAATCTGCTTGTCTTTGCCCTCTGTCTGATTATTGGTGTCTAGCTAGGTGACAGAAAGTCAGAGCCCACATCCTAGGAAGAAAAGAGGAAGTCTCTGAGAACCGGCTGCCATTGAACTTTCTGTTTGCTTTTGTTTTCCAGACAGGGTCTGTCTAGGCAGGCTGTCCCACGGCACTGAACTTTTGGGGGAGCTTAATATTCTGAAGAACTCCTTGTCCCTCTTGCTCGTCTTTTGAGTCTCAGCTGAAGAATTACCTGGAATTCCTTATGGCAATCAAAGAAGGATTTCAGGAGAACCATCATGTCCGAAGCCACTGTGTCCAGATCCTTTGCATAGGCATCAGTTGTGTTCACGTAACTGAAGCCAGTGCCCACAGGATTATCCACAAACAAGAGACTGGCGGACTGCAGCTATAGCCACACAAAAGAAGCAAACATTGCAAACAGAGATTAGTTACCAGTTATCTTCCTAGCAAGTTGGCAAAACCACATCTACGATAACACCAGTGTGGTGATTTTATCTCATTCCTTAAAGTGATTTTAGGGGGCTAGAGAAATGCCCAGTTAGTAAAGTCTTTGCCTTATGAACATGAGGCCCTGAGTTCGATCCCCAGAACCCATGTTAAAAAAAAAAAAAAAAATTGGGTAAGGTAGCAGTGCACGCTTATAACCCCAGTGCTGAGGAGGTGGAGGACCCTGGTTCAATTCCCAGCACCCACATGGCAGCTCACAACTGTCTGTAATTCCAGTTCCTGAGACCCAACACCCATGGCAAAACACCAATGTATGTGAAATAAAAATAAATAAAATTAAAAAAAAAAAAAACTTGTCTCAAAACGACAAAAACCCAAGGTGGACACATACACACACACACACACACACACACACACACACACACACACACACACACGTGTGTGTGTGTGTGTGTGTGTGTGTGTGTGTGTGCGCGCGCGTGCGCGTAAACGATTTAAAGGGACAGGAATATAAACTGCCACAGAAAAAGGACAGACAAGATGAACACAAACACAGGAACAAAGACTCTAAGCCATCACATCTCACACACAGAAGCACTCGACAGGGAGCAGTGCAGAGAGCACCAGGCTGTATTCGTCTGAGCAGTCATCTGAAGGAATGAACACACACGGAATACGGACATCATGGGCTGAGGATGTAGCTCAGCTGGTAGGATGTTTGCCTAACATGCCTGAAAGGGGGTCTGACCCCCAGCACTGCATGAACTGGGGCGGTGGATCATGCCTATGATCCTAGCACACAGAAAGTGGAGGCTGGAGGATCAGAAGTTCAAGGACCATCGTGGCTACCCAGTAAACTGAAGGCTGGCTGGGGCTCCATGAGACGCTGTCTCAAAAGTATTTTAAAAAGAAATATGGGCATCACGTATCAGTTTTCTTCCAGATGAATCTAATTTCCACATTGGCCCATCGCCCCATTTATGCCGCAAGAACAGATGATTCTATGATGTTTTTCAAAGAGGCTGAGAATTCTAAATGACGCATCTGGAAGGATCCTCAGGGATGAATATCTAACCATGTTCTTCACTGATCAGGAAATAGAAACTCTGAAAGGACCCAGGATTGTGCACAAAGGTCCCAAAATCAGTCAGAGGATGGGCAGCCGCATGGAGACTGGGAGCCAGGCCCCTCACTCCTCATCCAGGCTCTCTGCCCTGTCTCCCTGCCTTTGGTGTGGGAACAAGGCTGGGGAGCAGAGTGATGACAGGCTTGCTCATGCCACAGCAGCAAGATTAGAACTATTTCAAGGCCAAGAGAAAACGCTGCGGGAAGACAAGATGGGTTAGCTCCAGATGGGAGGCAGACCAGAGGAGCCCGAGGACACTGGAGGACATCTTCTGCACTGAGTGCTTCAGGGAGCGGAGAAAGCCACAGAGCATGGGGCAGAGGGCCCAGGCCGAGCTAGTCAGCAGGACGGCCTCGGCCAGGCTGTGAACTGAGTATCAGGTTGCTTACAGAAGGAAGTGATGGGTTGGAGGGACACAAAGAACTAAGAAGATAACAAAGGCCGGGGAGTAGGGTGGGGGGGTGGAGACAAGGGACTTGCAAGCTTGAAGTCCAGACACGAGGAGAAAGAGAAAGAAAAGAATTGAAAGTTGTAGCAGACGGTGGGAGTCAGGTCTGAGGTTGCAGATGGCCACCATGTGGTTAAGCACAGGGTCGCCAGCATCAGCTGCAGGAGGGAATTTCGGTTTTGTTTGGTTTTGAGACAAAGTCTCTCTGTGTAGCCCTGGCTGTCCTGGAACTTGCTCTATAGACCAGACTGTCCTTCAAATCAGAGATCCGCCTGCCTCCGCCTCCTGAGTGCTGAGATAAAAGGCGTGCGCCACCGCTGCCTGGCCCAGTTTTGTTTGTTTTGAGTCAGGGTTTCATGTAGCCCAGGCTGGCCCTGAACTTGCTATATATATATAGTCAAGGATTATCTTGAACTTCTCACCCTCCAGCCCCTATGTCCTGTAAGCTAAGATTATTGGGGTTCATCCTTAAGCCTGGTTTTTACTGAGCTGAGGTTTGAACCCAAGGCTCTGTGCGTTCGAGGCAAGCACAATACCCACTGAGCTGTCCCCCAGCTGTGGCTAGAAGTTTCTGAAGGTGAGTGGAGAAAGATCACCAAGTTGGAAAAGGCAAGAGACTACAGTAGCACACGTGTTCTGAGACGACACGGGAGAAGCCGGGCTGCAGAAGGCTGTAGGCAGCTATCCAGGGTCTCAAGAAAGCCCACCAGGGTGGACCGCCAACGGTGGCCCCGCCCTGCCGGGCTGGAGTTATGGGGCCCAGCTCTGAGAGGAGGGTGGGCAGGGATGGTGGAGGGCTGTTCTCCTCGTACCCAGGTGGTGTTCCGTGGCTTGAGATGGCTGTCAAGAGGCCCGATTTCCTCAAAGTTCCCAAATCCAGTGCTGGAACCGCCCGGACCCCCCTGTGGGAGAGAAAGAAACAGACATTAACCCAGAGAAAATGCAGCCGAGCCCTGGTTATCACAACAGATGTGCACACCCAGAAAAACAACTTAGGACCTAGTGACGGCTGCATCGCCATGTGCACAGGGCACATTTTCAGCTGGATGAGGACGTGCACATCTATATAATGCCAGCACTTGAGGGGATGAGGCAGGAGGATCCGGAGCTCAAGTCACCCTAAGCTACAAACAAAAATTTAAAAGCAAAGGACATGTGTCCTCCAGCTCCATGTTTCCTGGGAGCTTCTGCACCTACCAACCTCTTGTGGAACCAGGCAAGTCTCTCTTTGAGAGAACGCAGATGACTTAAGAGGTCCTAGGTGACCTTTCCTGCCTCTTGGTTCTCTGGACTTTAACGCAGGCCTGCCCTGGGGGCTCACTGGTTCTAGCACCTTAAGAGACCTTCAAAACACATCTCTAAATCTCTCTCATTTCAAAGAGTCTAAAGGCGCAAAGAGGGATAGAACCGGCTAGCTAGCCCTGGGCCCCTAAGCAACTGCAGGCCCTACTGGAACTATAGCTTGGGCTTTTTGCCTCTTTCCTTCCCCTCAACACACAGTTGGGAGACTCTCTACTTTGGGGCCCAATGACGGGCACCTCGGATAAGCCCAGCCGCTGTGTACACCACAACCAATGCACAAATCTCAGGGTGGGAGCATGTGACATGAAGGAGTTTGTTTACATGGGCAGCAGAGAGGCAAGATTCTGAACTGAAGACTGGTACCAGTGCCTCTTGTGTAACGTTAGAGGGACCAGTCTTAATCTTACACATCCCAGGTGCTCAGCAGAGAAACTGCGAACGGCGAGGACTATTTTCGGGAAATAGAATCTCAGCACACTGAGCTCTATAGTCCATTCACTTTAATTCTCCATTCCGTCTCTAGCTTTTCAGCTATATACCCAAACAATCACAATCCTCCCCTCCAGCCAGTCACCAGGCCTAAATTCCTGCAAAGTCATAAAGGCAGGTAAGAGTTTCCTCAGGCAGTGATTGTCAGGCTCTCTTTTCCGACCTGAAAATGGAGTGGTTAAGGAAGAGGAGGTCAGCTGAGAGCTAATATCAGTTAGTATATCAAAAAGGGAATTTATGTCCTCAATCTATATTCCTAGGAGTGGTTAGGTAAGAAGTTAGGGGTCTATAAAGTTAGTAAGGCTGTAAGAAAGGAGGGTCCGAGCTAAATTGGGTAAAGCTATTATTACTTAAGGTCCACCTGACCTAGGCGGTGTCTCCTTGTGGAATTTACCTTAAATCAGGAGACTAGCATGTGGTGGTCTGGACTGTTATTTCTGTTAGTCCTTGAAAGTGGCTAAGGGAGATATCTGATTCCAGCGCTGAAAGGGGAGAAACAGATGGACTGGGAGAAGGAAGCCTTTCCTGAGGCTGTTCTCCAAATACCTGGAATGTGTATGTCCAGAGAGTGATCAGTCCACACTGTTAGCAATTCATAGGGAAAAATCAATTGGGAAAACTATGAAGGCACACATGATTTTCATAAGAGAAGACAGCTGATATATAACAAGCCAAGTAACACCAAAAGCTCCTTGGAATTTGGGTTCCTCTGAAGGAACTCCTTGATCCCTTCCGGTAGTGACTTTGCCATAACCAGCTGAGTTCTTATAATATTTTCCTGCAGCCCGTAGCATGCCCCCAAACTGCAAAAGGCAAATTCTGTGTGCTCTGCAGGGCTCAAAGGGGGAGGGGTGGGCAGAAGCAAACAGGCAAAACGGGGCAGGTAAGGTGGGCTTGCTGAAGGGAAGAGGTCTTCCGGGGATGGTCAAGGATAAGGAGGGAGTTTCTCTAGATGGATCTAGGGGACCCAGAGGAGCTGGGGGCAGGGATGAGGAAACCATTAGAGTCGAGTCAGAGACACACCCGGGTATACAGTCTCTCAGTGCGTGGAAGGTCGGGTGCAGACAGGAGAGGTTAAAGGGAAGAGCAGTAGGGCAGAGCACTGCATGCAAGGGCAGGAGGATTATTGAATTCAAGGCTAGTCTGGGCAAGACCCTGCCCCTCCCAAAAAGAAGAGGCAGACCAGGGGATGCGGGGCTGGCAGGGCAAGGCAACAGGCCCTGTCTGCCAAGCGTCTCCCATACCAATATTCTGAACTGACATTAACCTCCTTGCTAATAACCAGAGGCTCAATTACCCTGTGATTATAAGCATTTTACATGTTAAGATTTCTTAACACGGCGATAAAAAGTTTGCAAACCAGTTGGAGATATTCATCACAGTGCCGCTAATAGCACCAAGAGTCAGGGCGCAACTTAAATGTCCTACCACGGGGAAGAGGAGGAGGGACCACACCTGCCGGATGAATCATGTGGCCACTTAGAATCACAAACCTCAGAAATGGTGTGACTTCTAAATAAACACAGTCCACTGAGGAAGTGTGCACCCTCGAAGGAAGGTGGGTCCTTTCTTTCAAGGAGACTTCTCAGTATGGGCAGGATGAAAACCAAAGTTGATGGGAACGAGACTGAGAATCTAGGGGACTGAATTCCAGGGGCTAGAATTTCCATTTTCCACCTCTGCTCCCTTTCCCAGTAGCTAGGAGAAATTAACTGGAAGATTCCACTGCGTGTGTGTGTGTGTGTGTGTGTGTGTGTGTGTGTGTGTGTGTGCGCGCGCGCGTGTGCGTGTGCGTGTGTGTGTGTACATATGGAAGCCAGAGGTCACCATTGAGTGTCTGCCTCAATCGCTCTCCACCTTATATTTTAAGGCAGGGTCTGTCGCTGAACCTGGATTTCCTGAGTTCTGCTAGCCTGGCTGGCCAGTGAGCCAGGGATTCTCCCGTTTCCACCTCCACAGCTCTGGGGTTACAAACTAGTACCACTGACCCAGTTTTTATATGAGTGATGGTATCTAAATTCAAATCTTCATGAATACATAGCAAACACTTTACAGACTGAGCTATATCCAAAGCCTCTGCTATTTAATTGAATAATAATAGTAGTGATGATGATGATGATAATAATAATAAATGATCACCAAATCTTATCCAGAAACTCTGGAAACAGCTGGTACATTCAGCAGAGACTCAGGGTTACATGGTTCCTCTGAAATATGATAAATGTGTCAGTGAATGAACTGAAATGCTTAAATGACTTGAAAAATAGCTTACTATCCCTGAAATAGCTTACTATTCCACTCATGATATGACCTCAATTCTCGAAGAATGCCACCCCTCAAAAGAAGTTACTGCACGAGTCCTCGGAAGGCTGCTAACTAGATCTTTTCATCTAAATTAACTATTTCCATCTTAATCATACTGTATTCTTCTTCCTTAGGCCTCTGGGGAAACAGAGAAGAGCAGCGTGGTGCCTTCGGCTGTTAACCTTCATACAGCACCTCAGCTGGAGGGTTAACCTAACCACAGCCATACACCACAACCTCCAGAGCCAGGAAGACAGAACAAGGAAAAATCTGGTCAAACAAAGGGCTGGCTTGCAACTTCAGTTTCTGTTTAGTTTTGTGTTTTGTAGTGCTGGGGACAGGACCCTGGGCCTTCTTCAGGGTCAGCAACCCCTCAATCACTGAGCGAAATCCACCTATGAAATCCAGTGGTTTTCAAACTGTTTCCAGAAAAACAGAGAGTGCCCTGGGGTTAGCTGGGGACAAAGAGGCAGCCACATGCCTAGGACTCAGCAGCTGCCCCACCCTAGCCTTAGCACTTCTGCTTACCGGGCCGCCCCCACCCCCCACCCTCACACCAACTTCATCTGAGCCAAAAAGTTCTGCTGATTCACAAAGAATCTCAAAACCACCAACTCCCCCCCCACTAAGAAAACTAAAGTCCAGAGAAGGGAAGTGTCTCACTATGGCTAAAAGTGGAAGGTAGGTGTTGAAAACCCAGGCGTCCCCACCAGCAGGCACTTCCGGGGAAACCATGTCACACACTCATCACCAGCTGCCAGACCTGGGATGAGCACACGGCTTCCACTCCTGAACATTTTCCAGCTATCCTACCGGGCTGAGCCATCCAGCCCTCACAGAGGCGGCTGCGAGGCACCTACAGCAGACCCCCCCTCAAAACTGTTTATCTTTACTTCATTACAACATGAAGTCTTCAGTGACAGGCCTTGGGGCAAGGCCTCAGCTCTGGCAGGCGTTTGAGAAGGAAGCCTCACCCATATCGCACAGAGGTGAGTCCCAGGGTGCCCTAATTACTGTCGAGACACCCAGAACATCAAGTCCCTCCCTTGAGATTAGTCTTCCGGGTGGGCGAGGCCACCACAGGGCTATCAGAAGAATGAAGCAGGATCTCTGCCTATCCCTAAACAGTTCACAAGGTTTTCTGCCTTCAAGCCTAGAGGCAGAACTCAGGGTTAAAATAAAAAAATAAAAAAAACCACTAGGGAAAAGGGTGACCTTGCATTCATGCTAAGGTACTAAGACTGGTATGTTATATTTAGGAATATATATGTATATACACATGTATGTGGTAACAATTAATGAAAAGAGAAGCCATACATTTGAAAGAGACCAAGGAGGGGTATATGGGAGGTCTGGAAGGAGGAAAGGGAAGGGAGAAATGTTGTAATTATATTATAATCTCAAAATTTTAAAGTAAAAAAAAAAAAAAAGATGGTTTCTCTGGGTATAAGAAGTTGGGGCCCAGGACTGTGTGGAGAGGGAGAAGGACTGGGGTACCACAACCTTTGGTTCAGAACTTTTCAAATACTTTCTGTTGAAAGCCAACTGTATCATTGGCAGCTTTCAGTAAAGGCCCTTGAAACTGTCTGGACTCAATATAGCATTGGAGTACACACCTATAACTTCAGCACTTTCGAGGTAGAGGCAGGAGGATTGTCAAGAGTTCAAGGCCAGCTGGGCGGTGCACACCTTTAATCCCAGCACTTGGGAGGCAGAGCCAGGTGGGTTTCTGTGAGTTCGAGGCCGGCCTGGTCTACAGAGCGAGATCCAGGACAGGAGAAACCCTGTCTCAAAAAGCCAAAAAAAAAAAAAAGAGTTCAAGGCCATACTAGGCTACACAGCAAGATCCTGTCTCCAAAATGAATAAATGAATGAAAGTAAGACCAGTAAATAGGGCTTCGTTTGATACACCCTTGCTTTAGGTTGTCTTAGAAGCATGTGAGGCCCCTCCCAGGATTGGCTGGACCAAACAGAGTCCATCATTGCTAAGCTGGATGCTCCTAAGAAACAAGCAGAGAGGTGTAAGGAGGTCTGACCTGAAGGCAAAGAAGCTACTTTACCTGAAGCCACATGACCAGGGGCAGTTCTGAGAAGTTCTTGCAAGGGTTGGTCGCATAATAGAGCCACCAGAACATGTGGGCATCTTTTCGGACAGTCACGTAATCCCATGCTTCCTTGCCTTCTTGTGCGGGCCAGTCGATGGCAGCTCCTGAAACTGAAGCTCAGCGTCATTTCCTGAGGAACATCTAACACCCAGGTTAGTGCCAAGCCTGGGAGAGATGGTCAGTCAGGCTAGAGATGATGCTGTATGCTATTGGTAATTCACCTACCTCAGCATATGTACCCATAAGGAAGAACAAAGACAAAAAGAAAGAAAGAAAGTCAGTTGAGTACGTTTGTGTACCCCTTTAATCCAGCACTTGAGAGGCAGAGACAGGTGGATCTCTGTGCATTTGAGGCCAGTTCCGTCTATGAAGTGAGTTCCAGGCCAGCCAGGGCTACCAAGTGAGACCCTACCTCAAAAACACACAAACCAATAAACAAAGACCCACCTACTTCAGCTATGGAAAAGAGAAATCAAACACTTCTCTCTTGGGCAACACAGTGGGACCATTTGTAAAGGGAAAAGGCTGAGAGTAAAGGTCAGTTGTGGAACATTAGCGTGACCTGTGCCAGGCCCTGGGTTCAATTCCCAGCCAAGGAGGGTGGGTGCGGTGAGGGTGGGTGGAGACAGGGAGGGAAGAAGCCCCAGGTGGCCTCTGCTTTTTGCTGCCTTCTTCCTGCTTTCGAGCCTCTTCCGCAAGTAAAAGAGCAAAGACTGGGCCCAGCAGGGAAGAGACGGACGTGGATGAAAAGATGATGCTGTCTTGTGGCCAGGTCCATAATCTTATCACTGGGGAGATGGAAGACAGGAGGACCAGGAGTCTGTGTCCAACCTAAGCACATGCTGGGTTTGAGGCCAACTGGGGAAACAAGAAATCCTAACTTTAAAAAAAAATACAAAGAATAAAATAAAATACAGTGAAACAGAGAAGGAGGAAGAAGATTAAGAAAACCAAAGAGTGGAGCTGAGGAAATTTGGTCAGTCAGTCAAGTGTTCACCTTGCAAGCACAAAGACCAAAGTGCAATCTCCAGCTAAATGTGGCTTGTGCTTGTAATTCCAGGTCCGGGGCTAGAGACAGGCAAATCCTGCGGCTTGCTGGCCAGCCAGCCTAGCCTACCTGGAGAGTTTTGGACCAGTGAGAGTCCTTATCTTCAAAAAAAGGTGGATAGTCCCCGAGGAACAACACCTGTGATTGTCTTCTGACCTCCATAAGTATTTGTGCATATGCATTGAAACACACACACACACACACACACACACACACACACAGTGGCACATGCATACCCTTCCTACGCTCACAAAACAAAAAATGCAAAAAAAAAATGAAATAAAATTTAAAAGGCTGGAAAGATGGTTCAGCTGGTAAGAGCAATGTCTGCTTTTCCAGAGGCCCAGGGTTCGATTCCCAGCATCCACATGGCAGCTCACAACCTTCTGTAACTCCAGTTTCAGGGCATCCAAAGCCTTCTCCTAACCCCGGAGGGCACCAGGCATATACATAGCACACAAACATACATGCAGGCAAAACAAAATAAAACATGTTTTTGCAGGTGGTGGTGCTCGCCTTTAACCCCAGCACTTGAGAGGCAGAAGCAAATAGAGCTCTGTGAGTTCAAAGTCAGTCTGGTCTACAGAGTTAGTTCTAGGACAGCCAGGGCTACACAGAGAAACCCTGTCCCAGGGTGGGAAATGTAATAAAATGAGAGTCAATTTCCAAATCATTCCACAAAATAAATTTGCCCCCAAACAGGCCAGTGGAGTCAGCTGATATCTGTCTGTTCTAAGCCAGCAGAGGAGGCAGGCGTTGTTTCAAAGCAACACTCCAGGGGTGGTAGGATTTGCAGGGGTCTGTTTGGCCTCTGATCTCAGCTCAACCAAATGACCCTATAACGTCACTAGGCAGCCAACCGAGCAGAAAGGGGAGGTGGCTTTTAGACCGTAAAGTCTCACTCATCAGCAGTTTCCTGAAACCGCACGTTTTTGTACAACCACCTCTACCTCCGCGTAGAGGAATCAGGAAAGGGCAGAAAAGGAACTCTGAACTAAAACATAAACAAAAATTAAGAGGTTCAAAAGCGATATAAATTATGCAAGGGAAGAACGGGGGGTGGGGTAATGTGTTTAAAAAAAAAAAACAACAACAACCACGAATCCACTAGCAAATTCTAGAAGGAGGCACCCACCACCGGTACGCCTTCCTCGGGAACCTACCTGCGCTCAGGCCCAGTAGAAGCGACAGCAGCAGCAGCCACAGTCGGGCCGAACAGATCCGCCACGCCGGCTCCATGGTGAACACAGCGCCGCAGCATCAGCAACAGGCTGGACCCAGCCGGGCAGCGCGTGACGGCGGTGGGTGGGCCATGGGCGGGGCCATGGGCGGAGTCGGGGCGGGGCCTAAGCGGGCCCTGAGGCTCCCAGTGTTCGGCGCGCCCTCTGCCGGTCGGACCCACCCAGGACCTCCGGGCAGGGCTCTCCAATGGTTCTATCGAGTTAGGTCTCTCTGTATTTAGGGAGGTTTTGGGAGGAGGCAGTTAATGTATCATTTGGTTACAAAGTCGGGGAGGGTTGAGAAACAAGAGGGATAACCTCCATTCTCCCTGACCTGCCCGTGTTTGTCCTCTCCAAAAAAAAAAAAAGGCCTAGTATTTTATTTTGTAAGACTTGTTCTTTTTTTTTTTTTTTGGTTTTTCGAGACAGGGTTTCTCTGTGTAGTTTTGCAACTTTCCTGGAACTCACTTGGTAGCCCAGGCTGGCCTCGAACTCACAGAGATCCGCCTGGCTTTGCCTCCCAAGTGCTGGGATTAAAGGCGTGCGCCACCACCGCCCGGCAAGACTTGTTCTTATTAGTGTGTGTGTGTGTGTGTGTGTGTGTGTGTGTGTGTGTGTGTCTAAGTGCATATACCACATGTGTGGGTTTATGCAAAAGAAGGAGTGGGGTTCCCTGGAGTTGGAGTTATAGGCAGCTATGGGTGGCAGCTCAGGATGGATGCTGGAAACTGAACTTGGGTCCTCTGGAAAAGCAACAAGTGCTCTTAACCAGTGAGCCGGCTCTTCATCCCAGGCCTAACATTTTTAAAACTACATTTGCCTCCACTCACATTAAGTCAGAGGAAGCATGAATCAGCAGGTCATTTAAAACCAGATTCCATCTTCATTTGCTCATAAGTTTTGGTTATATCTTCTTAAACATAAAAAAATGTAATTTTTTAAATCTCTTGATAGCATGTGATCAACATCATACATATAAAAAAAATTAAGGCTCCAGTCAAAGCAGAGACAAATAGTAATTATGACAGACAAGGGTCATGACAGGAAAATATCAGAGATGAAATATTCTAGAGATTATTGTTGGCAAGGAAACCCACAAAAACTAGAGGAATATCTAGGATTCCTATCTTCCTCTGCAGTTTTCCAGACGGCTAGCTTAATGAACCTTTCAAAATGATACTTTTTTTATTGGCTGCTTTATTCCAGTGGCACTTCAAGCTGTCGGGCGTATATCCCAGGTAACCCAAAAGACGTGTGATGATGGGCTGCTAGATGCAGGGGTGGTTTGAGCCCTGTTTTGAACTTCAGCATGTAAATTTAAATGGCCCGTTGGTGTGATAACAGGAAAAGTAACTTACCTCTAGACGTAGGTGCATTCAAATCCAGTTCAGTTGTTGCATTTCTGAAATCAGAAGAGTGTAAACCAGGACCCAGAGATGAGTGAGTTCACCTGCAGCCCATTTGCACACAGCAGCCAGAATGAAACCAGAGCAAGGCAGTTCTGCCACCAGCCGGCAGTGAGAAGGACTCGGCCCTCCTCCTGCCCTGTGTGGATGTACACTCATCCACTCTGTTCAGTCCCGGCTGATGGCATTCACTTTGCCAGGCTGGGGGATGTTTCTCGGTGGTAGAGTGCTTGCCCAGTGTGTACAAAAAGCCCTGTGTTCGATCTCTAGCATTGCGAAATAAGCAAATGGTGTTGCCAAAATCATTGCGCAGGAGTCTATGTGTGTAGCTTAACACCCGTGACTCGGGGTAGGATAGACACCGAGAAGAACTGCTAGGTCAAAGAGCTTATGCACTGATCATTTAGACAGATGTTGCCAAGTGCCGCATGACAGGTATGTGCCAGGTCATTTAAAAAAAGAGGTAGTGGCAAATGGAGACAGGAGGATCAGGAATTCAGGTTCGTCCTAAGCTACACAGCAAGTCCAGGGCAGTTCAGGCTATACAAGACCATGTCTCAAAAAAAAGTTTGGTTTTCTTGGGGGTGGGAGTGGGGTGGGGGCTGGGAGTGTGTGTGCTAAAGAGATGACTTGGTAGTTAAGAGCACTTGCTGCTCTTGCTGGGTCCGGGTTTGGTTTCCAGCACCCACATAGTAGCCTACAATAATTTTGTATTTGTAACTCCAGTTCCAGGAGACCTGATGCCCTCTTCTGGCCTCAACAGGCTCCAAGAAGGCACCAGGCATATATGTGACACATCACACACACACACACACACACACACACACACACACACACACACACACACAGACAAACACACATAACATATAAGTAAATCTAAAAAAAACTTCTTGCCGGACGGTAGTGGCGCACGCCTTTAATCCCAGCACTCAGGAGGCAGAGGCAGGCAGATCTCTGTGAGTTCAAGGTCAGCCTGGGCTACAGAGTGAGATACAGGAAAGGCGCAAAAGAAAGAAAGAAATTAAAATTTGGGGCTGGAGAGGTGGCTCAGAGGTTAAGAGCACTGACTGCTTTTCAAGAGGTCCTGAGTTCAATTCCCGAACCCACATGATGGCTCACAACCATCTGTAATGAGATCTGGCAACCTCTTCTGTGTACATAATAAATAAACAAATCTTTAAAACACACACACACACACACAAAAAAAAAGGGGGGGGGAACTTCTTTGGGAGTCCAGGAATGGTGGTGTATGCTTTTAATCCCAGCACTAGGAATGCAGAGGCAAGTGGATTTTGGTGAGTTCAAGACCATCTAGGTCTACATAGTGAAACACTGTTTCAAGAAGAAAGAAAGGGGGGCTGGAGTTAAGAGTACTGGCTGCTTTCCCATAGGATGTGGGTTCAATTCCCAGCACCCATATAGTGGTTCACAACCATCCATCATGCTATTTCCAGGGCCTCTGATGCCCTCTTCTGGACTCCTTGGGCAATGCATGCATGGGACACACATACAGGCAGGCAGAACACCCATACACATAAAAATAAATAAATCACAGGGCAGAGGTGGTGCATGCCTTTAATTCCAGCACTCTGGAGGCAGAGGCAGATGGATTTTGAGGCCAGCCTAGTCTACAGAGTGAGCTCCAGGACAGCCAGGGCTAAACAGAGAAACCCTGTCTCAAAAAAAACAAAACAAAAAATTAGAAAGAAAAAAATCATTTTAATTTTATTTATTTTTTAGTAGGGGGATGTGCATGCCAGGGCACATGTGGAAGTCAGAGGACAGCTTGCAGGAGTTGGTCCTCTCCCACCATGTGAGTGCCAGGGACCTACCTCAGGTTGTCAAATCCTTAACCTTGGAGCCACCTCCCCAGCCCTCAAGCTGTTTGTTTTCAACATGAGGTGAGACTCAGCGCCTGGTACCAGGGCTTGTGTAGAGGCCAGAAGGCAAGGATGAAAAAAACAAGCTCTAAGAGGGGAGGTCTCATCCACAGGAAGGGGTGAGGAATGGGGTCACAAAAGCCACAAGGACCTGGAGGCGCTGTGGGGTTACGGGCAACTCCAGAGAGAAAACAGGAGAAAGGGGAAGAAAGGGGGCACAGTAGCCCATTTGGGCCAAAGGAAACTGCAGGATTGCAGCTCCAGGGGGGGAGAGATGGGGCCAGGGGAAGAGGGCCAGTCATAGCCTTAAAGAACGTGAATGGGGATACCTCCACCTCCAAGAGTACCAGAGGGGGGTTGGACAGTCAATGGTCACTTCCTTGGACTCAGAGAAACGTTTACACTGACCAAAGGAGAAACTTATCCGATTGCCGCTGGTGGGTGGGGTGCTGAGCCATCAGTGAGCCGGAAGGTGAGTCTGTTCCCAGGGCACTGCAGATGAGGGATAGGGTCCCACTGCATCTCAGATCACGAGGGAGAGCACAGGCACCAGGAGAGCCTATCCCAGTCACTGCACCCAATGTTAGACCAAATGTTAGTGTTGCAGCTCTGATGGAAATGTATCCTGACAGTCGAGAGCACAGGAATACCACAGAGTCACTGTAATTGTTGCAGCTTACAGCTCTGCTCCAGGGAAAGGTTTCCTCAACTCTGTTCTGTTGGGGGAGGATTTCCCCAGCAAAGTCATTACAGCTCTGCTCTGCTGGGGCGGGGGAGTTTCCCCAGCAAAAGTGTTACAGTTTTGCTCTGCTCTAGCAAAAGTTGTCACACTGCAAAATAAAACTCACACAAGATATTTATTGGGAAGGGAAAATCCAGGAGGGTGGTTGCCTCTAGGGTGAGAAGCAGCAGCAAATTGAACAGAATACAGAGCTTATATAGGGTTTCTTGGGGGGAGGGGGTAAAGCTTTCCAGGGTGGCTTGGGATTGGTGGGTTTTTGTGGTGATTCTGGCACAAGCTCAGAGATTGGTGGGATTTGTACTTTAGGGATTTTAGGGATTAGTAAAATTCTGTGGCATGACTCTGGGACAAGCTCAGGGATTGGTGGGATTTCAAGGCCTTGGCCCTGGTCTTGGGGTCAAGTCAGGGTCGGGGAGTTTTTCCTTGGTCCTTTTTACCCTACAACCTTTGCCTCCCAAGTGCTGGGATTAAAGGCATGGCCACCATGTCCACGGCTTTATTCTATGTTATTTTGATTGCCTGTGCTCCACTAATAACTATGATGGTAATGTAGGGCTGGACTGTAGCTGAGGGATAAGACATTTCCCTAGCATATATAATACAACTCTTTGGCTTTGATCCAAACACCAAAAGAAAGTAATGGTGATTTAATCAAAAGTAATGGTAATCTAATCCGGAAGACCTAAGGATTAGAATAAAAAGAAACTTTTTTCAGTGTGCCTGACTGCCAAGTCCCAACCATTCACTGGTCTAATGACCTTGGGAGGTGTTGCTTAACTTCTCTGAACATTAATATTTCTGAAATCTTCCAAATAAGAATAAGAGGTCATACTTTATAACTTTGTGATGGGGCTGGAGCCCAGGGCCACATGATGTTAGGAAATGACTCTATCAACTGTGCTATATCCACAGCTTAAAGTTACTACTTTTTATTGTTCTTAGAGGACAAGCCTTGATTTTAATTGTTTTAAAAAGCTTCACAGGGGGCTGGAGAGATGGCTCAGAGGTTAAGAGCACTAGCTGCTCTTCCAGAGGTCCTGAGTTCAATGCCCAGCAACCACAGGATGGCTCACAACCATCTGTAACGAGATCTGGTGCCCTCTTCTGGCCTGCAGGCATACATGCAGGCAAAACACTGTATACCTAATAAATAAATAAATCTTAAAAAAAAAAAAGCTCCATATTTATTTAACTTTCTGATTCTCCACTTGTGCCTTCAACACTTTCACGGTTTTTCTGCCTCAAGAAAAGGAAAGCATGCTTGATCTGGTCACGGACACAGCACAACATAGAACCCCTGAGGGCCCAAGGACATGTGTTTTTGTTTGTTTTAGACATTCTCATGAGAACTTTAGGTCTCACAGCACAAATCCTTTGGATTCTGCCTGGACAAACACTACATGTGGATTTTGGTGCTTTCTTGATCTTTCTGGTATAAAGGTTAAAATCATATTAGAGGGTTTGGGGGTCAGGCTGCTTACTATTTGTACAGGCTTTTTTTTTTTTTTCCATACACGAACCGATATCTTAGGAGACATCGTGACAGATGCTTGCATATATTCAGACCTTACAATCAGTGCTGGCAAAGAATGGAGTAGCCGGAGCTCACGACGGGAGCCTGCAGTACACACTTACGCCTCTAGGCGGCGCGCGCACACGCAAACGGCCTCGGGGCGGGGGCGGGGGGGCGGGGGCCGAGCCGCGGAGCACGCCTCTCCGTAGCCCTGTGGAACCTCTCGGCTTCCGTTGAGCATGAGCAAGATGGCAGCCTCCGAGACGGTTAGGCTACGGCTTCAATTTGACTACCCGCCGCCGGCCACGCCGCACTGCACGGTCTTCTGGCTTCTGGTGGACCTGAACAGATGCCGAGTTGTCACGGATCTCATCAGTCTCATCCGCCAGCGCTTCGGCTTCAGTTCCGGGGCGCTCCTGGGCCTCTACCTGGAAGGGGGGCTGCTGCCCCCGGCCGAGAGCGCGCGCCTGGTGAGAGACAACGACTGCCTCAGGTGTGCGGGGGGCGCGCGGCGCGGGCGGGCGGGCGTGGGCGCGGGCGGGCGGGCGCGTGGGTGGGTGGGGTGTGCGGGCGGGCGGGGGCGCGCTGGCCGGGCCGCGCGTCCACCGACCCGGGTGGCGAGCTGACTGCAGGGAGGCACAGGCGGGGAGATGCTGAGTGGTCCAGCCCGTTGGATGGTGGGGAGCATCCTTCCCTCTGCCTCTGCCTTCCCATCCCGGGGAGGCTAGACTTGGAGCAGCGCCGATGCTCAAGGGGAGGGCCGCCCCGTGGTCACTCGGCCCGCCAGGCTCTGTGTGCCGTGCGCGTGGCCACAGACCCGCCTTCTCTGGGCAGCACTCGGTGCGGGGAGACCGAAGCAGGAAGGATAGTAATGTTTTCTTAAGCATGCGTGCAAAGTCCCCCCTTAGCTCCTTGGCGATGATGTCCGCTGAGGCTAATGGTGGGTGTCATTCTGCGTCTCGGTCCATGTGCCATTGGGTTCCTTTGAATTGCTTTTGGAATCCATTTCAGTTGTGAATAGGGACGCAGACCCGGGGGTCGGGGTCGGGGTGGGGAGAGTGTTTCAGTTGCTAGACTGCTTGCCTAACAACAAAGCCCCTAGATTCGATCCCCAGCCACCCAAACAGGGAATCCCAGCACTGGGGAGGTGGAGACAGGTGATTCAGAAGTTCAAAGTCATTCTTGGCTAAATAGTTCAAGGTCAGCTTGGCACACATAAGACTCTGTTTAAAAAAAAAAAAAGTAAACGCCGGACAGAGTGGCCCATGCCTTTAGTCTCAGCACTCAGAGGCAGGTGGATCTCTGAGTTCAAGGCCTTGGTCTTCATAGCGAGTTCCACGACAGCCAGGGCTCTGTAGAGAGACCCTGACTCAAAAAACAAAACAACAACAGAATAGGAACACACAATAACTTACGTTTTGTTTTATTTTGTGGTGCTGAGTTTGGAACTCAGAGCCTCATACATGCTGGGCAAGTACTCTGTCACTGAGTATATTCCCAAACCTCACACAATATAGTTTTAAATATACTTTTAGAAATTGAAAAACTAAGCCAGACGTGGTGGTACATGCCTTTAATCCCAACACACTCAGGAGTCAGAGGCAAGCAGGTCTCTGTGAGTTCGAAGCCAGTCTTGTCTACATAGTGAGTTCCAGTCAGTGAGGGTTATGTAGAGAAACCTTGTCTCAAACAACAACAAAGAAATTTTTTAAAAAGTTGACACTGAAGTGAGTATCCAGGAGTGATTGTAGTGTGACTAGTTGACACATGGCTTAGTTATTATCTCAGATGGTGGTGAGATGTGATGGATCATTCCAGTTCACATTCATGTCTTGGCTGAATTAGTCCATCCCCCCTCCCCCACCTTTAAGCTTCAGCTAAAGTGAATTAATTACAGAATTGTAAACCAGACTATTTCTTGCTTGCCTTTGTTATTTAATATTGCTTTCCCTAGAGAGTGTCACATTTACAAGATTTCTTCAGACCATCAGGGAATTGAACTCTAAACAATGACCATATCTTCGTATCTCTCTCTTAAATCAGGAATACTATTAGTAATTTTTATTAGTAATGTTTTTATTTATTAGTAATGTTCAGCTTCAGGTGACAACTTGAAATAGTCCAAATTTCAAAGTTCTTCCCCTCACCCCTTTGATTTTTGAGGCAAATTCTCTCGTGTAAACCAGGCTGGCCTTGAACTACAGAGATCTACTTGCTTCTGTCTCCCAAGTGCTGGGATTAAAGGCATTCAAGGCTCTTTTCCCTTTTTCTTTTTTCTTTTTTGAGATAGGGCTTCTTGATGTAGACCAGGCAGGCTTTGAACACAGAGACCCACCTGCCTCTGCCTCCTAAGTGCTGGGATTAAAGGCATTTGCTACCATGCCTGGCTGCTCTTTTTCCTTTCCTTTTTATTGACTGAAATAAGTCCATTCTCGTTGCAATTGAAGGACTAGTTAAACAAAGAGAAAGAGCTGTGTCTCTATTAATTTTAATGAATTAATAACTTGCTGCTGGCTACAGTTAATACTTAGATTAATGGATTACCTAGGAATTACATTTCTTAAATTTATTTTATTTTATGTATATGAATGTTCTGTCTGCATGTACAATTTTATGCCAGAAGAGGGCATCAGATTCTACTATAGATGGTTGTGAGCCACCATGTGGTTGCTGGGAATTGAACTCAGGACCTCTGGAAGATCAGCCACTATTCTTAACCGCTACGCCATCTTTCCAGCCCAAATTACATTCTTATAATGATGTTAATGATGTCAAAAACAACAGTGAAATCTGTTACAAGTAATAATTGTAGCAGATGACAGGGAAATTCCTCCTAAATGCCTCAAATGAACAATTGCATCTGGAAAAATGGTACCTCTGTGGGCCTGAGAATGTAGCTCAGTAGTTGAATGAGTGTTTGCCTAGCTAGCGTGCCTGAGGCCCTAGATTCAGCCAGGGAGCTAGAGAGGTGGATGTAGTGAGCCTCACTGGTAAATGATGTAGATCATAGTAAAAACAAAACAAAACAAAACAAAAACTACATGATTCAGTAGCTAAGAGCACTGTCTATTCTTCTAGAGGACACTGGTTCAGGGTTCGGGTCCCAGCACCTACATGATAGGTCACTACAGTCGAGGATCTGATGCCCTCTTCTGGCCTTTATGGATACTGCATACACATGGGGCACAAACATACATGCATGCAGTCAAAACACCCAAACAAAGAAAAAGAAATAAAAATCTCAAAAAAATTTAATTAAAAAAATATTTAGGCAACTAAATGTGAAAGTTTGGGGGTTTGTTTGTTGGTACTCTTTTTTTTTTCCCGGTTTTTCGAGACGGGGTTTCTCTGTGTAGCTTTGCGCCTTTCCTGGATCTTGCTCCGTAGACCAGGCTGGCCTCGAACTCACAAAGATCCGCCTGTCTCTGCCTCCAGAGTGCTGGGATTAAAGGCGTGCGCCACCACCGCCGCCCGGCATTGTTACTTACTCTTTCAAATTGTCTTCCCCTGACAGATTCATTATGTGTATATGTGTCTGTCTTGTATGTGTATGTGTGCATATGCATTGGGTGGGCATGCATGTCTGTAAATTTATGCAGAGGTTGATGCCTAGTGCCTTTCTCAGTTAGGATCGACCTTATTTTTCTGAGACGGGATCTCTCACTGAACCTGGAACCAAGCTAGGCTGGCCTGGCCAGTGAGCTCCAGGGATCTGCCTGGCTCTGTCTGTCTCCATTTCCCCGGTGCTGTAATCAACATTCAGATTCATTTTATGTTTTTACTCATTTTAAAGCAAAGCTGGATGGTTAATATGTTCACCTTTTAGAATGGCTAACGCACACATTGTAGAAAGATTATGAATTCAGAAAAAAGGGGGCATGAAGTTGGGGGTATCTGAGAGAAGCTGGAAGCTGGTGTTTGTGTGTGAATGTGATTGAAATTAATTTTATGTGTGTATGAAATTGTCAATAAATAAAAATGTTATATTGTTAAAAAAAAAGATTGAATTTTGAAGATAGGCAAGTCAAGGTTGGAATATTCTTCTACTACTTATCAGCCCTGGGTCTTGGAAGGCCCCTGTTTGAGTTGTAGTTTTGAGACCTGTGACATGAAAGATTTCTAGTTCGTTGGTAATGTTTAAGTTAGAAAGAAATGTGAGGGACACAGTAGATATTAAGTTAATAAAACTAGCCACAATGAGCAAGGCATGATGATACTGCCTTTAATCCCAGCACTCAGGAGGAGGAAGAGGCAGGTGGATCTCTGTGTGTTGGAGGCCAGCCTGGTCTCCTTAGCAAGTTCCAGGCCATCTAAGGTGACATAGTGAGACCCTGTGTCAAAACAACAAAGACAAAACAAAAGTAACCAATGAACGGGTTGTGCTCTGTGGGTCATTTTGTGGAGCTTTCATCCTTAGGCTGTGTGACAGTCTGCCGCTGTGGCCGTGTGGAACTGCATCGTGGAGCTCTGCTTGCTAGTTGCTCTCTCTTTTGGCAGGGTTAAGTTAGAAGATGGAGGACTCCCTGAGAATCTGGTCGTAAGCAATGGTGGCGACTCTCATTTTGTACCCAGAAAAGCGAAGAAGCGGGCTTTTAAGTTGGTGGAGGATGAAGAGACGGAACTGGGTTCCAAGTACTCAAAGAAGCCCTGGAAAAAGCAGGAGGAGGGCCATAGTGAGAAGGCCTTGGGCCCGGAAACAAAACAGGTTCCAGATGAGATGGGGAGGGCGAGAAACAAGAGAAAGAGCAAAGTGACCGGCAGCCCAGCAGAGGGGGAGGAAGAGGAGGCCAAAAAGAAATCACCAAAAAGAAAGGAGAAAAGTGAACATAAGAAGCAGACCAAGGCCTCCAAGTCTTCCAAAACACCAGCGCCCAAGGAGTGGAGCCCACAGAACTTCAGCTCGCCCAGGGGCTCCCCCAGGGGCTCCCCCAAGGGCTCCCCGAAGGGCTCCCCCAAGTGCTCCCCCAGGAGCAGCCTTACTAAAGCCCGGAGGAAAAGCAACGCGGGACCCAAAGGGAGCCCAGCCTACCTGTCAGAGTCGGATTCTGGTCCAGAGTCAGTCGGTGCTGACCACTGCGGTGTCACAGTGCAGGGGGGCACCTTTTCAGAGAAACTGTCAGCTGAGCTGTTGAAAGATGGGCCTGCTACAAAAACTGCAGCTGCCACCAGACAGGCCTCAAAGCCTGCCTTCACCTTCAGCTCTGGCAAGGGCAAGGCCGCCAGAACCTCGTCATCCAGTTCAGACTCCAGTTCGGAGTCAGAGGACCAGTTTGTGGTGTCCAAGAACATCCCTGAGGGCACGTCGGACTTCTTAAAGGCAGCAGGCCTCTTTGCAGGGCAAGGGTGTCCAGAGCTGATGTTGCAGACTCCGGGAATTATGGGATGGAAACCTTCTGACTCAAGCAGAGGCAGGCAAACTTCTCCCAGTGTGCCTGTCTCCACCAGTTTGGGAAGAGGATGGGGACGAGGAGAGGACTTCTTGTTTGGGAAGGGACTGAGGGGCCGGGGTGTCCGGGGCCGAGGTCGAGGCCGAGGCCATGCTATCTCCTGTATCTTAAATAGAAGCTCTGAGAGCCAGAAGCAGAAACAGTTAAATGACATCCTAACGAACTCATCCATTGTGATCCAGGTAAGGAGTCATTGTGAATTGGCCTCCTCCCTTTCCCTGTGGTGTGCATCTTAGCTCTGTGGCAGGTACCCCTTCTCTCACCAGTAACGAAGTCAAACGTGATTGTTTTCCAGAATCCTGTAGAGACACACAAGAAGGACTATAGCCTGTTGCCACAGTTGGCAGCTGCCCCTCAAGTCGGCGAAAAGATTGCATTTAAGGTATATGTTAAAACAGCACCAACTGTAACAAAGGCAAGATTACCATCCCCCACATACACACAAGGCTTACTTAGTGACTCTTACTAAGTAATGTCTCCAAAAACTGTCTGCATGTGTCAGAAGTCATGGTGGGGCCTCAGGTGGGGGGAGTGTGCACCTCTGCATGGCACCTGTTCCTGGGGTAGGAAAGCAGTCCCAGGAGGGGGCGGGGCTAAGGGGGTTTGGGTACTTGTAGGATTCTTTTTCTTTTTTAGCTTTTGGAACTCACATCGGACTACTCTCCTGATGTCTCTGATTACAAGGTAAGGCTGTTTCTATGAACATAATGAAGTCAGCTGGTTGTGGTGGGGTGCACCTGTTGTCCAAGTTACTCAGGAGGCTGAGACAGGAAATCATTTGAGCCTAGGAGTTCACAGCTTGCCTGGGCAATATAGTGAGCCTCCATCTCTTTAAAAAAAAATAAATAGCCGGGCGGTGGTGGCGCATGCCTTAATCCCAGCACTCGGGAGGCAGAGCCAGGCGGATCTCTGTGAGTTCGAGGCCAGCCTGGACTACCAAGTGAGTTCCAGGAAAGGCGCAAAGCTACACAGAGAAACCCTGTCTCGAAAAACCAAAAAAAAAAAAAAAAAATTAAAAAATAAATATATAAATAAATAAATAAAAAGATTAAATTGTCATTATGTCAGAAACTTGTTCAGGGTAGCAGCACCCACCTTTAGTCCTGGCACTCAGGAGACTGAGGCAGGAGAATTTTGAATCTGAAGTGAACTAGGCTGACATAGGGAGATCCTGTTTCAAAAAATTTTTTTTTTTTGGTTTTTCGAGACAGGGTTTCTCTGTGTAGCTTTGCGCCTTTCCTGGAACTCACTTGGTAGTCCAGGCTGGCCTCGAACTCACAGAGATCCTCCTGACTCTGCCTCCCAAGTGCTGGGATCAAAGGCGTGCGCCACCACCGCCCAGCTCAAAATGTTTTTAAATAGATGAAGTATGGGGCTAGAGAGATGTCTCAGTGGTTAAGAGCCCTGGCTGCTCTTCCAAAGGTCCTGAGTTCAATCCCCAGCAACCACATGGTAGCTTACAACCATCTATAATGGGATCTGATTCCTTCTTCTGGCTTGCAGGTACACATGCAGATAGAACACTCATACACATAAAAAAATGAAAAACTCTTAAAAATGAAATATTGATATATTTGAATAATACTTGCATGGATAATATAGACATTTTCATAAATAATGTCATAAAGGAGGATGAGAGTCCTCTGGACATTTTAGAAGTGTCACTGTGAAGTCTCCTAGGCTTCTGTTGCTGACACTTGAGAAGAAAACAGGGTGGGAATGATGAGCTCCACGTGGAGTACAGGGACTATTGTGCTTCTGCAGAGCAAGCTTAGGGCCTGTCTCAAAAATAAAAAGCTACACGAAGACAAGATAAATAAGTCAATAAAAAGCACCTCTTGTCTGTGCTCAGAGTGTAAGGGGAGGTTCTGAGTGGTGGGGCTGGAGAGATGGCTCAGCATTAAGGAGTGCTTGCTGGCTACTCTTAGAAAGGACTAGAGATAGCTGGGCAGTGGTGGTGCACACCTTAATAATCCCAACACTTGGGAGGCAGAGGCAGGCGGATCTCTGTGAGTTTGAGGCCAGCCGGTCTACACATCGAGTTCCAGGTGAGTCAGGGCTTTTACACAGAGAAACCCGGTCTTACAAAACATCGAAAAAGAGCTCATCGGTTGGCCTCAGTATATGGCCCCACAGCTGTCTCACCATTGCTACTCAGTAGCAGGGCAGTGGTTCCTCTCTTTCAGTGTTGTTCATTTATTTTTTGAGGCAAGGTTTCTCTATGTAGCCCTGGCTGTCTTGGAACTCACTCTGTAGACCAAGCTGGCTTCAAACACAGAGATCCCCCTTCCTCTACTACAGTTAAAGGGAACACCACCACACCCACCCGGTTTAAGTTTTTTTTTTATGATTTATTTATTTTTATTTTATTTGCATTGGTGTTTGATATGTTTCTGCTGATGCAAAAGTCCAGGTCAAACCAGATTAAAAGCAGATAAATGCAGGTTTATTGGGTATTGATCTCATGTGGGTTCACAGGCCCCAGTGAACAGGGTCAGAGAAGCCACATGCCTGAGCTAAGGCAGGGAGGTTTTATAGGTGAGGGTTGATGACGTACGAGCCAGGAGCTAGGCATGTGCCCAAGTATGGTCAGAAGCCAAGCCCCTTGGCAGGCACTTGGGTGGTCATGTCAGAAAGGTGGGTTGCTACTAGAAATGGGTAATTGGGCTTTTGGTGCTATTCGTTTGCTCAGAATTTTCTCTGTGTCTGGGGGGTGGGGCGGGAGGTGCTGGGGAAGTAGGGCAGCCCAGGTTTCCTAGCTTGTGCAGGGGCTAACAGGGGTTCCAACCAAACAGTGTTTTGCCTGCATGTATGTCTGTGTGAGGCTGTCGAATCCCTTCAAGCTGAGTTACAGACAGTTGTGAGCTGCTATATGGGTTCTGGGAATTGAACCCAGGTCCCCTGGAAGAGCAGACAGTGCTCTTAACCTCGGAGTCATCTCTCCAGCCCTCCTCCACCCCCCTTTTAAATTTTTTTTTTTTTTTTTTTTTTTTTTTTTGAGACAGGGTTTCTCTGTGTAGCTTTGAGCCTCTCCTGGAACTCACTTGGTAGCCCAGGCTGGCCTCGAAGTCACAGAGATCCGCCTGGCTCTGCCTCCCGAGTGGTGGGATTAAAGGCGTGCGCCACCACCGCCCGGCCCCCCTTTTAAATTTTTGAGGGGCAGTGTCTTAGCTATGTAGTTCAAGCTAGCCTCAAATTCATATGCCTCCTGCCCTCTGCCTCTGAGTGCTTGGATTACAGGCACGCACCCTCCCATCTAGCATCATTGCGTCTCCACGCAGCTGGAAACCAACTTTAAACCTGGGGACCTGGGAAGAAGCAGCTTGTGACCTTTTCAGTGACAAGGTGCCTTCCTGTCCCTGCTCGGGGGTTGGGCCCACGCTTTCGAGTGGCCCCCGCAGTGCCGGGACCCGAAGCACTGCTGTGTATGAAGAAGGCTGTGACGCTATTCCTCCTGTGAGCACACTGCTCTAGTCCACCTCCTCCCTCACCCCATCAATTCTGGGGACCTATTATAATGTTTTCCTTTTGTCAAGTGCTGTAGCTATCTGCCAGTCAGGACAAACGTGGGTCTGTTGTACCTCTGTCAACAACATTTCTGTATATTCAGGGAGAGTGCTCGTCACTCCATTGTTGTTTTTATTCCTCTACATGTTGATTTGTTGAGATAAATTTATATCACATGAAAGCAGCCATTTTACAGTCTACTTACTTAGTGTCCTTTAGTACATTACAATGCTTTACATGGAGACTTTTGACTTGGTCTTTTATTTTTGGAAGGAAGGAAAAATACTAAGCCACAACCCAGAGACCCAGCAAGTGGACATAGAAGTCCTCTCGTCCTTACCAGGTGAGTCTTTTAGAGGCGGGTGTGGAGAGTTAGACTCCATCCCACAATGCATGCTGAGCAGTCTTTACACCTAGAGGTGTGCTCTCCCTTGGCCTCCGCTCTCCTGGTATAGTTCTCTGCTCTCTACTACCTGTCAGCACACTGTGCTCCTGGGACCTGTAGCACCTTCTCCTTGGATGGAGACATTGGGCTGATTGTTCTTATCACTGTCATTATACACTTGGCAGGAGATTGTAAGTACTGGTGAGCGTGAACTGGAAGAGCGTTACTTCTAGGAAACTTACACTGAATGCTGATTCGGGGAGGTGCCAGAAAAACTGCTAGTCAGCTGTTTGCATAGGTCAGCTAGAAAAGAGCAAAAGAAAGCCGGGCTGTGGTGACAGCACATGCCTTAAATCCCAGCATGTGGGAGGCAGAGGCAGGCTTGGCCTCTGTGAGTTCACGGACAGCCTGGTCTACAGAGATGGTTCCAGGACAGCCAGGGCTACACAGAGAAGTCCTGTCTCAGAAAACAAAAACAAACAAACAAAAAGATCAAAAGAAATTTTGTAAAAATCTAGGAAGAATCTACATGTAGATACCTTGGAAACCTTTACATTTCTGTGTCATTTTCTTACATCTTTTTTGTGTAAGGGATCAGAATCATGGCTTATGTCCCCTGGAGAGGTGCTCTACCACTGCGCTACATTCCCTGTCCTCTAATATGGGCTTAGAAACAAGCAGAGTTGGGTGTGATTCCGGCCCCTGAGAGGGGAGGAGGCAGGAGGCTCCCGAGCTTGCGGCCAGCCTGAGCAGCTATAGAGGGAGGTCTCATGGAGGGAAGACAAGAGAGAGGGTGCTCAAGTGTCCAAAGCATGTGCATGCACAAAGAAGCCCTGGGTTCCATCCCAGTGCTGCCTAAAACTGGGCACAGTGGCACACTCCTGTAGTCCCAGCATGCAGGAGGTTGAGGCAGGAAGATTAGGAGTTCATGGTCATCCTCAGCTACATAGAAAGTTAGAGGTCAGCCTGGGCTACATAAAACCCTGTCTCCAAAAAAAAGGGAAAAAAAATTGGAAATAGAAACTGAAAATTGCAGAGAATTTATTGGGGATATAGCTTATAAAAAAAATCATTTTAGTGGGGTGGTGGCGGTGCTCGCTTTTAATCCCAGTACTTGGGAGGCAGAGGCAGATGGATCTCTGTGAGTTCAAGGCCAGCCTGGTCTACAGAGTAAGCTTCAGTACAGCCAATGCTGTTACACAGAGAAGCTCTGTCTCAAAAAACAAATGAAAAAAATCCGTCTTTCTAGTGAACAGGACCCACTCAGAAGGTTGGCAGATGAACATGCTTTTGTGTATTAAATGCAGAATAAAATGTGTGAAATGTGTGTATACGTTTAAGTTTATACTCTTTATATTTTATGATGCTGGGGATTAGCTAACCCCAGGACCTCAATGGCATATTGTAAATGATTCTCACACCTATTGGTCCTGAAACCCTGGAACGAGGGCTTTTACTGTGTATAGCTTGGGTACCTAACCAGGAAGTAGGATAAATGGACAGTTGGGATCTTGGAGATAGCTCAGATAAAAGTTTTGTAAAAAGTTTGCTGGCAAATATGAGGAGGACTGGCGGTTGGTTCCCAGAACCAGTAGACAAAAGCCTGGAGTGATGCTGGGTGCTTGGAATCTCTGCTGGAGAGGTAGGGAAGGTGGGTTCCTGGGACCTGGTGACCAGCTAGCCTAGCCGGATCAGTAAGAATCCATGCTTCAACAGCAACAAAGTGCTAGGAACTCCCTGAGCAAAGGATCAAGAAGGGTCATGTTTGAAGTGCCATCCTCATGAGCCTGAGTCGAGTTGTGTGGAACTGGCCAGCAGTGGGAATGGTAGCACTGTGCCTGCCTGTGTCCTTCCTGACTTCAGTGGAACTGGCTGTGATGAAAAGGATGACGGTGTTCAGGTGACACCAGCACAAAGCTTCATAAAGTGGCTCACACCTCAGGTCACCCCTGAAGTTACAGCACTCGGATACTGAGGCAGAAGGGTTTTGAATTTGAGTCAGGTGTGGCTCAAACCAAAACAAACGAAAGCCTGCGAAGTAAAAAGGAAGCTTCTCAGCTAGGTGGTGGTGGACCACGCCTTTAATCCCAGCACCCCAGAGGCAGTGGCAGGCTGATCTCTGAGTTCGAGGCTAACCTGGTCTACAGAGTGAGTTCCAGGACAGCCAGGGCTACACAGAGAAACCCTGTCTCAAAAAACAAAACAAACAGAAACTTCTCGGAGCTGAGCTGTTGCATGGTATCAGGAGCTCAGAGGATCCAAGCTCTGAAGGGAGCAGCTGGGGCACGAGGCACAGAAGGACGTGTGGAGGCTGCAGGAGGCAAGCAGGACCCACTTACAGAGACATGAACACGTCTGTCCAGTGCATGCTCTTCTAGATTCGAGTACACAGTATGCGTTCGCTAGTTTTGTTTGTTTTTTTTTTAATTTCTTTGTACAGTAAAGATTTTTAAAGTTTGGGGGGTTTGTTGGGTTTGTTTTAATTTCAGTTTGTTTGTTTGTTTGTTTTTTGAGAATTTCATACATGAGTACTGTATTCACATCATTTTTCCCCCTCTTCCACCCCCAGGACCAACTTCTGTGGTCCCCGTCCCCCCCACCCCCAGTTTTTTTAAAAACATGTATTGTGTGTGTGTGTGTGTGTGTGTGTGTGTGTGTGTGTGTGTGTGTGTGTTTGGGCATGTGATGGTCAGGACAACTTTCAAGAGTTGATTCTTTTCTTCTACCGCACGGGTCCTAGAGATCAAACACACCATCCTCAGGCTTGTGCAGCAAGCCCTTTGCTTTGCTGAGCCCTTTCACTGTCCCCCCTCCCCTTTCTATGAGCTGGAGGCTTAAAGACCCCCAAGGAACTTGCTATGTAGCCAATGATGACCTTGAACTTGTGATTCTCCTCCTGAGCACTAGGATTAGAGGTGATCACAGCCATGCCTAGTTTTATGGGGTGCTGGGAATTGAACCCAGAGCTTTGCACATGCTAGACAAGCACTCTACCAACTGAGCTGTTGTATCCCTGGTGAGATTTTCAATACTTTGATGAATATTTTTTTAAAGGTTTTCAGATGATCATAATTTTGCCCATCAATTACTGATTGCATGGTTTCAGCTTGTTTGAACATTTTTCTAATCCCACATTATTGTACAAGGCTGAAACCTGCTCGTGTTTCTAAGTTTAGGCACATCTGATTTTTTTAAAACAACATTCCATACCTTCCCTCGTGAAACAAAGATTGTCTTTTGGGAGTATCTTATGGTTTTACATTCTATATTGGGTATTCTCAGTGGGTTTTTCAAGCCCAAGTCATTCTGATGAAGGGAAGCTCATCTCTGATAAATGCTAAGGAGGTTCTGTTGCTGGCACAGGGCCATGTTTTCTCTAGCAGTACGACACTTTCCTGAATGTCCCAGTGGGTTGAAATCCCTGTGAGGAACATCTAACCACAGAGAAATGACGCACTGTCTTTCTGCCCTCTGCTCTCAGCTCTGAAAGAACCCGGGAAGTTTGATTTGGTCTATCACAATGAGAACGGAACCGAGGTGGTGGAGTACGCCGTGACGCAAGAGAGGAGGGTAGGCGAGCTGCTCTTAAGACTTTTGACAGAAGGGGGTGGGGATATGAAAGGTGACATTACAGCTTCCTGAACCACTTGGCTCTGGGGCACTTAGTCTTCCTGTGGAAAGCAAACAAGTACCAAGTTCCAAAGCAGGGTGCTACCATGGACCTCCCAGAACCCACTTGGGGTGCTACCATGGACCTCCCAGAACCCACTTGGGGTGCTACCATGGACCTCCCAGAACCCACTTGGGGTGCTACCGTGGACCTCCCAGAACCCACTTGGGGTGCTACTATGGACCTCCCAGAGCCCATGTGGGGTGCTACCTTGGACCTCCTAGAGCCCTTGTGGGGTGCTACCGTGGACCTCCCAGAGCCCACATGGCAACACACCCAAACACTGCCCTGTAGGAACGCATAGCATTGATTGAAAACTCGAGTTGTGTAGGTTCCCGTAGGAGCGGGCATATGTCAGACTTTATATACCAAATACCCTGAGAGCCACTGCTATAGCTTGAGCTTAGCCACGTGACCAGACTCAGCTCCAGAAGAAGTATGAACTCAGAAGCCTCCCTCATTACCAGTTGTTACTGCCCCTCAGGTTCTCCAGTCCTGACCTACGTGGCATGGATGGCATAAAGAATGACATGACACGGTGATTCTGTCCTATGATAGTCTATTTTATTTTAATGTTTAATTACATTTATTTATTGTGTGTGTATGCCACCGCATGCATGTGGAGCTCAGAAGACAACTCTCAGTTATCTGCTCTCGCCTTCCACCGTGTGGGTCCTGAGGATGGAACTCGGGCTTGTTGTCAGGCTTGGTAGCACGCACCTTTACCTGCTGAACCGTCTTGCCGGCCCTAACGTGTGGGAGAGCACATGGTCTGTGTGTTTCCCTCTGTTCAGAGCCAGCAGTCAGTTGGTGGCAATAGCTGTTTGGCAGCTTGATTATAGTTAAGACAATGGTCCCTCCTTGTGCTCATATTTCAAATGTTTTTCTTATTTTGCTGTTATATTTAAGTGCTGAAAACTCTTGTTTTGTCTGAACTCGGAGCCTGTGGAGACCCAACCAGACTGTGCTGCCTGTCTTTTAAGGTAGAAGAGCCTCTTAGGATTTTTTTTCCTAGAAACACATTCTTAGAATTTTTGGCAGTATCATCTCCTATACGTCTATGTTTATAATATTTAAACCATATAATTTTTTGTTGATACGTTCCTGGAAAAACTGCAAGAAGAAAACCTGTAGTTTCCCTTTTTGACACCAGCTGGCTCTCATCATTCACCCTTGCTGAGTGCTTGGGGCATCTCTATTGGAAAATTGTGTGATAGCTCCGGTTCTGCACAGAAATGTACTTAACTAACCTGTAATGTTTACCTTAAAATCTATGTGACGTCAAAGTGAGTTCATTAAATTGGATGTTTGGTGTTTTTCCTCAGATCAGTGTGCACTGGAAAGAATTGATTGATCCAAGACTGATTATTGACTCTTCAAATAGCATCTCAAGTAAATAGCTTGTCTGCACATAAGCTCTGACCTCATCACCTCGAAGTCTATAAGTATTGTTTGTGACCGTGACCATAGCCTGGAGTTGTAAGAAGAAGATTAAATGTCGTTTGGACTCTCTGTTATCTTCACTTTACCATATTAGAAAAAGAGATCTACCTCATCGTTTAGAGTGACATGGGTGTTAGTTTGTGGACCTTTATTTCCCTCGGGCTAAGTTCAGTAACCCAATTGAAAGTGCGGTGTTCCCTGTGGGCGGACCAGTATGGCAGGACGCTTGCCTCTCTTCCACCTGTCAGACCACAGTAGCAATCGTCAGGAGGAGTTTACAGTACCACACGCAAGATCGTGCTGTGCATCTTGTTTTTTAAGTCACATTTTCAAATACGAAGGCATGTTTCTTGACTTAATTTTTTACCATGTGAGTTGTTCCGTTAAGCCGGAGCATCTCACGCATTCCGAGTATTTTATACTTGTCATCCTCAAGACTTAATGGAGTTGGATTTGTTGCAGGTGTGAGTTAAGGAATCCTTTCCCATTGTTCCAGCTGTAAAATACAGGGTTCTCAGGGCCTGTGTGTGTAGAGGGCAGTGGGAAGACAACCTCGTATTGCCTGGAGGACAATTGGCCTCCCACTGCCAGAGGGCTGGCCATGAACCTCAGACTAGGGGGCAAGTGACCTTGCCACCGAGGATGCCGGGAGTCTTGGCTCAGTGTGCTGAAGTGAGGATCTTGAACAGAAACTTGCTTTTCTGTTACTATTCAGCAAAGCTAAAGGCTGAATATAAACTGTGCAAATTGCTTTAACAAAAACTCAGATCCCTCCTTCAGCTTTGCAAATTTTTAAATAAAATCATATTGAACTCAATTTCCATGCTGAGTTATCATGTTTGAGTCCTACAAATGGTCATCTTGGTTTTATAATCATTTTTATAACAAGGCAGCTTGCTTTGCACCTGGGAGGCCCAGACAGGAAGTTTAAAAGTTCAGGGACAGCCTGGGCTGCATAGTGGGATAGTATCTCAAAAAAGTTGTTGTTGTTGTTGTTGTTGTTATTATTATTATTATTATTATTATTATTATTATTATTATTGCTTTGACCCAGTCACTTGTCAAAAAGTGTGGTTCAGTGGAGCTCCATACGATCTGGGAGCTGTTGGATCAGTGAAGATGCTGTTTAATTAATCTGTATAATGGGAAAGTATGTCAAAGTGTGTATTTGCCGATTTGTAGTGAGGAGTTTTACTCTGGGAGGGCAGCTCAGCCCTAAGTGGTGGGACTTCGGCAGTGAGGCTCTGTATGGCATGCTGTTTTTACACGGCTTGGAAAACAGATTGAGAAAAGTAGTCAGTATTGACTGGGCTCAGAAGTGTTGACCTCAGGGTTTGTTTTCAGATGTAATCAATGTATGAGTTGCCCTTCTCTCTATGCTGATAAGTAGAGTGCACAGAAAGATGAAGTCAGTTTAGGGTTCATAAGCTGTTTTCTGAAAAACACAAGAGTTTAGAAAAATAAGTATATCATGTCCAATGAATTAAAATTTGTTTTATGAAACCTTTGCTTTATTTGTATATACACAGCCATGTGAGGACTCGGTCCCCTGTAAAGTATTTGTGTGTTTCTTCATAAAGGGCTGGAAAGATGGCTCAGTGGTTAAGAACACATACTGCTTTTATGGAGGACCTGAGTTAATTCCCAGCATCTGTCTGATGCCTTGAGCACCCGTTCATGAGTACATCCCCCCCCCCACATACACACAATTTAAAGTAAATCTTTAAAAAATAAAAAATAGCCAGGCAATGATGGCGCACACCTTTAATCCCAGCACTCAGGAGGCAGGGCCAAGCAGAACTCTGTGAGTTCGAGGCCAGCCTGGTCTACAGAGCAAGATCCAGGACAGGCACCAAAATTACACAGAGAAACCCTGTCTTGAAAAACCACGCCTTTAATCCCAGCACTTGGGAGGCAGAGGCAGGCGGATCTTTGTGAGTTCGAGGCCAGCCTGGTCTACAGAGTGAGTTCTAGGAAAGGCACAAAGCTACACAAAGAAACCCTGTCTCAAAAAACAAAAACAAAACCAACAACAACAAAATAATAATAATAAAATAAAAAATAATTTTTGACACAGACTCTAGCTATGTAGCCCCAGATGGCCTAGAACTCTTGCTTTGTAAACCAAACTGGCCTCAAGTTCACTGAGATCTGCTTGCCTCTGCCTCCTAAACACTGGGATTAAGATGTGATGCCAGGCGGTGGTGGCGCACGCCTTTAATCCCAGCACTCGGGAGGCAGAGCCAGGCGGATCTCTGTGACTTCGAGGCCAGCCTGGGCTACCAAGTGAGTTCCAGGAAAGGCGCAAAGCTACACAGAGAAACCCTGTCTCGAACAACCAAAACAAAACAAAACAAAAGATGTGAGCCATCATGTCTGGCTGAAAATCAAGTGTTTAAAAATCAAAGTATGGTGGAGAGGAATAGGAGAGTGGTGACCTCTGACCTCTTTATGCACTCATGTGCGTGCGCGCACACACACAGAATCACTTTTATGATAAATTATTTCTCAGTTAAAAAAAAGGCAAGGTTGCAGCTGCATAGCGATATTGCATTAATATAAAGGAAGTGAGCAAATTCCTCAGAAAACACTTAAAAGGGACACAAGAACAAATTAAAAATCTGAATTTTTTAATAAATACTTTATTTACTTTTATTTTATATGCAATGGTGTTTTTGCCTACTTTCATGTCTGTGAGGAGCCCCTGGGACTGGAATTACAGACAATTGTAAGCTGCCATGTGGATTCTGGGAATTGAACCTGGATCCTCTGGAAGAGCAGTCAGTGCTCCTAACCACTGAGCCATATCACCAGTCTCTGGATTTTTTTTTAATGTGTCTGGATGTTTTGTTTGCATGTATGTCTGTGCATTGTGTGCATGTGTTGTGCCCACAGAGGCCAGAAGAAGGTGCTGTATCTTTTGGGACTGGAGTAACAAGCAGCTGTGAGCTGCCATTTGGTGCTGAGAATTGAACTCCAGGTTCTCTGCAAGAGCAACAAGCCCTCTTAACCTCTGAGCTAATTCTCCAGCTCCAAGTTCTGAATACCGCTTCAGCGGCTGGAGAGTTTAATTCACTGAGCTGGAGAGATGGATGGCTCAGCTGTTAAGAGCATCTGTAACCCCAGTTCCAGGGGATCTGATGTCCTCTTCTGACCTCCACGAGCACTAGGTATACATGTGATACACATACACGCAGGCAAAACAATCATATGCATAAAATAAACCTTAAAAAAATTTAAAAAGTAATTGAATTCACAATTCAAAGCTTTATCTTGGAGGAAATTGAGACCAAGATCCCTTCCATCAAACATTGAAGAAGCACAAGCTCTTTCAGAATAAAAGGCATTCTCGGTCCTCCTTTATGAAGGTGACATGGCCCAGACGGCTCCACATGACAGGTGTTTTAATGGGTTTAGAGACCACCATCCCTCAGATTCACAGTAGCTTTGTGTCCTCTGGGGGCTTAGCATCCAGCACCCGTGTGTTAAAGGCTTGTGTCCACAAGGTGGTGCTGTTGAGAGGCGGGACCTCTGGAGGCCTGGTGTCACTGAGGGAGGGTGCTCTATCTGACAGGCATTCCTGCCACTACGTGCTTCTTTCTGCACCACAGATTCAAAGCAAAGGGACCAACTGATCATAAAGTAGAACCCCCAAAAACGGAGCTGAGGTTCACCCTTTCCTGTTACTCCGTCATCTCTGGTTTCATCACCATGATAAGATGCTGACTCACAAGGTCTGTAAAAACTATTAGCAACCCCTGACTGTGGTTGTAGTTCAATCTAGTGCTTGCCTAAAACATGCAAAGCCCTAGGTTACATCCCCAACCCACATAAACTGAATGTGTTCGCACATGTCTATAATTAGTACTTTGGAGGTGGAGACAGGAGGATCAGATGTTGGGGGGGAGGAAGAAGGAGGAGGAGGAAGGAAAAAGAAGAGAAGGAAGAAGAGGAGGAGAAAGGAAAGAAAGAAAGAAAGAGAAAGAAAGAAAGAAAGAAAGAAAAAAAGAAAGAAGGAAAGAAAGAAAGAAGGGGCCTGCAAAATGGTTCATCAGGTAAAGGCGATTGCAGCCAAGCCTAACAACTTGAGTTCTATCCCTGGAATCCACTTGGTGAACGAAGAGAACCATCTCTCTCAGGTTGTCCTCTGACCTTTGCATGCATGCTGAGGCATGCTCATGTCATAACAAGCACACACCCCTGAGAGCACACACACACCACACACACACACACCGCACACACACACCACACACACACACACACACACTTTAAAATTTTAAAGATAAAAATCAGCAAATCAAATCCAGCAATATATAAAATGATAGTACTTCATGCCTTTTGGTTGTTCCAGGAGTGTGTGTTCACATGCTACTTGTGCAGCTCATACCACTCACCAAATAAGGTAGAAAAGCCAACCGATAGGTGTTGTCTAAACAAATGAGAGTTCCTCTATCAAAGCATGATCACAGTTTGGGAATAAAACACGAACTTCGTTAGAACTCTTTACACTTAATTTATGGTTGGGAATAATTTTGGCGGAAGCAGGAGGAATTTGAGGTCAGCCTGGGCTACACAGTGAGAATTTCTTTTTCAAAATCTGGGGAGGGTGGGAGTTTGTTTTTAAATGTTTTGGGGGCATAGACATGACAGCACATAAAAACAACAAAAACTAAGCTAAGAGACCTAAGATTGTGGGACCTCCCTCTCACCCATTCTGTTACATGCCTATTTCACAAAGGGTCTTTGTCATTTAGACATCTCTGGCTTTTTCCCCCCTTAACCTTTGATCACGTTAACTATATATTCTAGCACTACGTTACACCCCAGCCTCTCTGGCTGTCTTTTAAATGAGAATCAATGTCCTTTACAAGAGTTTGAGGATTCAAAGGTGCATGTTCAAATCACAGCCGAAGTTTCGTAAGGACCGCACTGGTGGGAATAATGATATCGTATTTGCAGGTGAATGAAGCTTCTTCACCTATTTTTCCCAACCTCCAGATACAGAACAGGGATCCTATCATGGTTGCTAGGCATTACCCGGATGGAGCCATATAGTTCCCTTTTGACCAGCTGGGTCCCATTTGACTTTGGAACATTGCAGGACTGAAGATACCAGTTCCAGTGATAAACAAACACACCCTGTCAGCCAGGAGCAGTCCCTGGCCTCACGTCAGCCCATTGTAAAAGTTAACGATGATTCACAGTGGTCATTACCGCCTACGTCTGATGTGTTTACACATCGGGTCTCCCAGCTTCACAGATGAGAAATCCATGCCCTCAAGAGGAGCTGGCCTCTCAAGGACACTCCCCTTCACTGCTACCTGTATCGGAAGGCAGAACTGTTTGGCTCATACCCCTTCAGCTCTTGCTCTGTGGCATGCCTGTTGTGTAGAAGGGCTTCGTGACTCTCTCCCCCTTGGAATCTGATAAACATGGAGTAATGGCTCTCCCGGTGATCTTCATTGTCCAATCAGCCTTTCTCAACCACTCAGCCTAGAGAGAGAATTCCACCTTCTGCCGTGAGGCAGCAAGCTCCTCCACCCATGATAATTAGGTTAGAGGTGGATTTTAGAGTGTTTATTTCCTGGAAACTGCTTTGCTTCTCCCTTGGGAGGCAGCGATTTGTAGTAGGAAGTATTTGCCTTCTGGAACCAGATAGGCCCTGTGCCATTGTCCATTGTCTTAGCTGGATTGCTCAGTTTCTCTAAGCCTGCTTTTCCTCTGTAACATGGGATGATTTTGTCTCCTTCAAAGGTTACTGTAAGGAGAGTCTCAGTGTCTCACCCCAGAATCCTTTTGTCTTCCTTTTCCGTGCAGTCAACTACTACCAAAATATGAATGAGAATAGATGAGATGATGGGCCCCAGGGAAATAGAGGCCCATGGAAGAAAATGAGAGCAAGCAGCACTTAGGACGTTGAGTTCAGCAGTCCCAAGCTCGAATCCCAGCTGTTTGTGACAGTGTCTCGACCTTCACCACTAAAAATGGATGTAGGACACTGACTCCTAGGGCTTCGTAAGATTTTTCCGATAATATACTCGACTTGTCTGGCACACACTAGGTTCGTCATAAACAGCGGCTGTTAGATACCATGGGATATTTACCTTGTCCTCATGGCTGCCTAACCTTATCAACTAAGGTAAACTCCCATAATTCCTCCAAAAACTTTTCTTTGCCACCATCAAATTTCCCAATGAACACTTGTAGTCTACTGTCCACCCATGTGTTCTGCACTCGGCCTGGAAGGTGGGACCCACAGAACTGAAAACAAAGTAAACCTAATGAATGATTTTGAGAAAAAAAAAAAGTCTGAAACTCCAATATTGTGTGTGCGCACATAAGAGCAAAAACATTTGCTAAATTTGGGAGTCCCAGGTAAGTAAAAATTGCTATTTTTTCCAGTACTGGAAATTGAACTTGGAGCCTCACACATGCTAGGCAAGGGACTCTACCACTACGCATATCCCCTTATTACTTAGAAAAAAGGGGGGGTTGCTATGTAGCCCAGGCTGGTCTTGAACTTGAGATCCTCCTGCTTCAGTCTCCCCAGAGAGAGTGGGATCATAGGTGTGCCCCACCTCACCCAGTTTAGAAATACTGTAACCAATCTAGCATAAGAGAAGAGATTTAAAGAGACAATTGTGTCTCTCAATCTATCAAATTATTGAAACAATGGACCCCAAAGAAATGGGAATTTCCCCGGAATCTCGTGTTGGGAGAAACCCCGGGGGAACACTTGTCTCCTGGAAAGAGATTTCCCACAGAAGATTCAAACAGCTTGCCAGGCAGTTTACAGAGACTGAATCCCAGACAAGTGATGGTCAGTGGCGTGCTGAACCAGATGTGGACTGTGACCGTTTGGATGTGCTTGGTTTTGCCTTGTCTTTTAACATCGATCTCACTTCAGAACCTGGGAGATGGACTTGAGGAGTTTGCTGGGTCTTTTTGTGGCCACAGTGTATAAATCCTTTTCTGCTTTCCTCTTTTGTTTCTTTTGATTGTCTTGAGGACCGGTGGCTGGAGCTGACTGAGGCACAGGTTGTGACACCCAACTTCTGTGATAATCTTATTTTTAAAAAAGATCATGTACCATCGAAGGAGTGAAATTGCCGAATCTGAGTGTGTGACTGCGGACCCTGCCTTTAGAGCTTTGCATGGTGACATTTCAGAGCTCAGGCCAGGGAAGAAGTGGGAACTGAAAGGAAGGGAGGGGAGCGGGGTGTGGGTGGGGGGCTGGAGGGAAGGAGAAAGGAAAGAGGGAAGGAAGGAAAGGGCAGTCCTTACTGTCCATATAATTGTGTTTTCTTGTTTTTCTTTTCCTTAAATTATTTATTATGTGTAAGGTGTGCGTGTGGCGGGGAGGTTGGTGGACAATTTTGCGGAATCTTAACCCGGGTTTCAGTAGCTGAATTTAGGCCCTGCGGCCTCGTATTACAAATTCTCCCGCCCAAACATCTCCTCAACCCTGTTTGAGATGTTGAGACAGTCACTCACTCTGTAGCCTAGGCTGGCATCGAACTCACGGCAATTCTCCTGCCTCAGCCTTCCAAGTGACGGAATTACAGGCATGAGCCATTGTGCTCTGCGTCCACAGTATTTTGTTCTGTTTTGCTTTGGTTTTAATGAGGATAAGAAGACCCATCTTGTTCTGGAGGGACGGTTGGGACGCCTAGAGAACGGATGAGTGTTCTCCAAAGAGGTGCTGCACTCCAGTAGCACATAGGCCCGGACTAGAGGGGGTAGGGATGCCCCAACTGCTGAGACAGTTCATCTGCAGAGTGGCCCTGAAACAGCACAGGGTGGTCTTGCTGAGCTCGCTCGAACCTGTGGTGGAGGGATCATCAGGACTCTGCATGTGGCCCCACCTTCAGCTCCCAACACCAGCCCAGAGGCCTCTCGCCCGCGCCCCTCCCGGGACCCACGTGACTTCCTGAAAGCCCAGGGCGCCGCCCCTCCTGTCCAGTTTCATTTCCTTCGCTGCTACCCGAGCACCAAGCGCGGTGGTGTCGGCTGCTGTCCCCGCGCGTCCCGTCGGGTGCCCCCAGGAGCGCGATGGCCGAGCTCTTTCCTCTGGCCGAAGAGCTGTCGTGCTCCATCTGCCTGGAGCCCTTCAAGGAACCCGTCACCACCCCGTGCGGCCACAACTTCTGCAGGTCGTGCCTGGATGAGACGTGGGTCGTCCAGGGCCCGCCGTACCGGTGCCCGCAGTGCCGCACGGTGTACCAGGTGCGCCCGCAGCTGCACAAGAACACGGTGCTGTGCGCAGTGGTGGAGCAGTTCCTGCAAGCCGAGCAGGCACGGACGCCGGTGGACGACTGGATCCCCCCTGCCCGCTCCGCCACTTCCAGCTCAGCCACCCAGGTAGCCTGTGACCACTGCCTGAAGGAAGTCGCGGTGAAGACGTGCCTCGTGTGCATGGCCTCTTTCTGCCAGGAGCACCTGAGACCGCACTTCGACAGTCCCGCCTTTCAGGACCACTCCCTGCAGCCACCGGTCCGCGACCTGCTGCGCCGCAAATGCCCCCAGCACAACCGTCTTCGGGAATTGTTTTGCCCCGAGCACGGCGAGTGCATCTGCCATGTATGCCTGGTAGAGCACAAGACCTGCTCCCCTACACCCCTAAGCCAGGCCAGCGTCGACCTGGAGGTAGGGAATGGCCCGTGACGGTGTAGAGGGCAACCCGGGCCAGTTGTATTGTGGAGAGGGCCCGCCCTGGGTATCCAGTACAGTGAGTTGCCGGAGGAGATAGGTTTACTGGGCCACAGAGCCACCTCTTCACACGACCCATGGCCCTAGGCTCCATAGGCCACCGTCTGTGAGTTGGGCAGTAGGGGTCCATCCCCACTGACCAAGCGAGGGTGGGGGTGGGGGACGGGGGTACTAAATAGCCTCCCCCTTACCCATTGCCTGCTTTCCCCAATCCTCTCAAGTCTATTTTACGTAGCAGACAAATGAAGGCACAGGTAAGGGTGCCTGCCCCCAAGCCTGCGGCGTTCGCCCAGCGGTGTTTAGTGGTTTTGAATATTGTTTGTGTACCCTGGGGTGTTACCTCGCCTCTCCCTCCGGATCCTGGCTGCATGTAAGAACTGTGTGCCTTTAGTTCCCTCCGCAGTTCGGGAAAACAGGCCCAGAGAAGTTAGCTTAGCAACGCTAATGCAGTAATTGTTCCCAGCAGCTGGGAGCCAAGCTGCTTTGACTCACAGTGCGAGGAGTTTCTTGTTCTACTCCTGTAGACCAGACTGGTGTCCACATCTGTGGAGTCCAGAGCGTGGAGCGTTTTTGGAGGCTTGTAAGCAGAAGCCTGTGTTGATCCGGAGAGTTCTAATAGACAGGGAGGGTGGGCAGAGCCCCAAGGAATCTCTGCATGTGACCTTCAGGGAAAGCCAGTACTGTTGCGACAGGGTGTGGTTCATCTCTCCTTTTTTTTTTTTTGAGACAGGGTCTCATTATGTAGTTAGTCCTGGGTGCCCTGGAATTCACTATGTAGACCAGGCTGGCTTCGAACTCACAGAAATCCCGCCTGCCCCTGGTTCCCAAATGCCGTGACTAAAGGCATGTTCCACCATGCCTGGCGAGTTAGTCCATCTTGCTGTGTGAAATAGAGCAGGGATTTAGCCTCTGGACCTGGATCCACCTTGATAAAGACGGAGGGGGGGGGGTAGGGGAGTGGGGAGAGTGGAGGGAGGGGGAGGGAGGGGGAGTAGTCTTGAGGGCCTTCCAGGGTTGCGATGATTTGGGGGCCTTTAGTTTTATCGGTTCCTATCTTCCCCCTGTGGACTCCGAAGAAGCTGCCCCTCTTCCCCACATTTGTCAAAGTGTGATCTGATCTCATTTCACTGCCAAATGTCTGGGAAGTTGAGGCCCGTCCCAAGGTTGTGAAAGGAAGCGTAAGCCTGGGTGAGGTTGCCAGGAAATGGATTCCTGGCCTTGCCTGGCTCTCTGGGTCTTAGCCAGGTTCCTCAGGACGCTTTCCCCCTGAATCTTGGCAGTTGGACCTAGAGGTACATCTTTTGAGTTTACCCCATGCGGGTATGGGCACCTCTGAGCCTACCTGTTCTAGAAGAAAGTCTGCCCCGTCTTCGGAGCCTGGGGTGTCTGCTGTGTCCCACAGAGCTAGCTGTTTGGCTTCAGGCAAGTCCCTCCAGATCTCTGGGTAGGTTGGGCCTCCTGGGGAGCGCTTCGGAGGCAGGATCCAGTGTCAGAAGGCCTGGTCTTTAGGAGGTTCCTACCAGATCCGGTGCCAAGGTCTGGGCTGAAATCCCGACCCCTCTGGTAGTTTCCAAATGCACAATGATAAAATGGGGGGCACGGTGGTGCTGGTCTCGGGTTATAGTGAACAGGGGGTGAAGCTCACGGTGTGGTGGCTCATGCCTATAATTCCAGCACTTGGGAGGCTTAGGCAAGGAGAGCATCACCAGTTTGAGGCCAGCCTGGGACTACATAGTTGCAGGTTAGTTCCGGGTCGAGACAGACACGAGTTTGAGGCCAGCCTGGGACTACATAGTTGCAGGTTAGTTCCGGGTTGAGACTGTCTCAAAACAACAAGAAATGGCCATTGAGTTGGCTCTGCTAGTAAAGAAAGGCACTTGCCGCCAAGGCTGTGACCTGAGTTTGGTCCCTGGGACCTATATGGTAGAAGGAGAACCAGCTCCAGCAAGTTGTCCTTTGACTTGCCATCCATATGCACGTGATCATGCATGCATGTGGATACACACAAATAAATAAATGTAATAAAAATTAATAAAAAAAACCAATAAAACCAAGAGAGAAAGTAGATGAGGCAGCCTATAAAAAGCAACTTCCTGCAAAATCTCCAAATAGGTTACTACGATTTTTGTTATTGGGCCCAAGTAAATGAGGCACCCCGTGCTTTGGGGCAGCCTCAAACAGGTCACACTATCCTTACAGTCTCTGTCTCAGGCAAGAGGACTTCCCACTGATTCCTGCAGTAACCTGGCTTCCAGGAACTCTCTGAGGCAGGAGGGGCCTGCCTGGCCCGAGCCTCTGATAGCAGGATTCCCCTGCCAACCTTGTGCCCGTGTCTTTTTCAACCTGGCTGCTGCTTTTGCTGCTTCAACGCCAACCCCAAACACTGCTCAGTCTTGGGTATCTTGGCTGCTTGTTTTGGGGGTGCAGACTCAGGACTCCATTCTCTCCCATGTGGAGGATCCAGGTCCTTGGTCTGCAACAAGCTCCCCCAAACTTCGAAAGTTTCTTTACCCTTGGTCAGTGGACCATTATCGCCACCGAAGTCCTTGAGCTGCTTCTCTTTGGTTTGGAGTGGGGAGGAGTGGACCCCCATCCACAATGAGGAGACTGATATCTGGCTTGATTAATAGTGGATAAACCTTTCAGCATGGAGGGCTCACAGTGCGGTTCCGGAAGAAGTGAGCCAGTTGCTAGCTCCCATGTGTTCTCAAGTCTCTCCTAGCTCCGGGAGGCAGGATCTGCCTGGGTTTGCCCTTTAACCCAAATCTGTCTCTGTCACTGGGGGAAGGGCTGTGTCACCGAGTTTGAGTCAAACATCGCTGACCTGGGCCTTCTGGCTAGAGTTTGTGCACCCTTGATCTCTGTATCCGGCCTTTACATGTGACAGTGGATGATTGAAATCCAGCCTCCAGGTCAGGTCCAGCTCCAAGGGTTTCTGATGGAGTAGAGGAAGCAGGAAAGTAGGAGAGAGGGCGACAGTGTGTTGAGCTAGTTGGTTAGGGGAAGAAAATGGTTTTTTGGCCCCCCCCTAGAAATTCCTAGCATACACAGTTTGGTCACTTGTCTATGTAAGTTTAGTACCAGAACCTTAGCTGTGCCGATTACTAACAATGTGGTCTTGGGCGAGTCACCCGAGTCCTCTGTGCCTCGATGTCCCTTCTAGGCATTGTTCTTCGCTTTAAAAAGTTAATAGGTGTCAGGTGCTAGGAGAGTGCCCTCATGATGGCGGTGGAATGTTCCTTCTCAACGCTGTACGCCACCAGTCATCTTAGCAGGCAGATGGAGACTGTTGCTTCTGGAGGTGGCTAAGAGCCAGATGGTTTGGAATCAGCTTAGCTGTTTCAAGTCCCGGTGACCAGCTTATCCTGATTCCCAGCCTTTGGTGGCCCCAGCCTGGGGTGGCCAAGTACAGTTTGATATTTGTGCCTGCCTTGCTGCAGCTGACGAAGCCTAGCTTCCTTCCACGGTTCGAAGGCTCCTCTGGGGATGGTAGCCTTGAGTGTCAGCCTCCTTCGCCGGCCCCCTTCTCCTGGAAACTCCACTGCTTTGTTAGCTCTCCAGCGACTTGTAGCATATCTTTCCTTTGATGTTTTGTCTGCTTTCGTGGGTGTTTGCTGTGGTAGGGCGAGTGACCTCACCGGCCGTTACAGAAGCAGCTGTTCCAGATCGTTATGTCTCTGTGGCCGCTCACAGTTCCCCTTGCTTGGATTTCATGCGTTATAAAATGAGTAGTAGGAGAGAAATGTGTTACAATAGAAGCTGACATTTAGTATGGCCTTAGGCAGATCCAGGCCGTGCTCAGAGCACGGACCTTGCATTGGTTAATCTTCCTGAGAGCCCCTGTAGGCGGATACCGTGGTATCTGTTCATGGCCAAGGAAATAGGCGGAAGACACATAGTTGGGAACAGGTTTTCGAAAGGTCATTTTGGTTCCAAGTCTTAAACGTTTCTGTTTTGTCTGCCTAAGGGATAAAGGGAGGGGCATCAAATACAAGAATCCCAGGGTAGGCAGAAGTACCAGTGGGATGGATGGTGAGACTGCCCCCAGTGGGGCGGGGGCTGGGAGGCTAGGTAAAGAGGGGATCTCTCACCCTGTGCGTGTCCTCTACAGAGCAAACTGAGGCATAAGCTCACCATCATGTACAGTCACATCAGCGGAGCATCCAAAGCGCTGGAGGATGTGAGAGCCAAGCAGCAGAGTGTGCAGGTGAGTGACTCCCCCACTCCAGCCTGGAGACCCTGAAACACCATCATCCCTCAGGGAGGACGGGCATAGTTAGGACCCGGACGTGACTGGGAGTGTAGCTCTGTCGGTAGAGAGAGGGCTTGTGAAGCTCCCTTGTAGCCTTGGGTTTCATCCTAGTACCGTAGAAACTGGTGCAGTGGGATCAGAAGTTCAAGGTCATCTTTGGTTACATAGTGAGTTCCTGACCAGCCTGGGTCCATGAGACCCTGTCTTTTGTTTTGTTTTTGTATTTGAGATAGGGTCTCACTATGCAGTCCTGGCTGTCCTGGAACTCACTATGTGGACTAGTCTGGCCTCGAATTCACAGAGATCTGCCTGCCTCTGCCTCCTGAGTGCTGAGATTAGAGGCGTGCACCCCCATGCCCAGCATGAAACTCTGTCTTAAAAAAAAAAAAAAAAAGGAAGCCCCGAGTGGTGGTGATGCATGCCTTTAAATGCCAGCAATCCCAGCACTCGGGAGGCAGAGGCCAGCGGATCTCTATGAGTTCGAGGACAACCTGGTCTACAGAGTGAGTTCCAGGACAGCCAGGGCTACACAGAGAAACCCTGTCTCTGAAAAGCCAACATGTCCAAGAATAGCCTTTTAAACACAAATTGAAAACTATCTGTAAGCCCAGCCTTGAGAGAATCATTAAAAATCAAGGGTAAGGGGCCTAGAACGATGGCTTAGTTCGTAAAGGTGATTGGAGTGTAAGCCTGACACCCCAAGTTCAATCCCTGGAACCCAAGCAAAGGTGGAAGGAGAGAGCTGACTCCAGAGTTGACCTCTGACCTCCAAGCCCATCCCGTGGTACACGCCTCCACCCCAATAGTAAACAAAAAATGAAGAATAAATAAATCGGCCAGGCACGGTGGTACACACCTTTAATTCCAGGAGCTCAGGAACTGGAGACAGTTGGATCTCTGTGAGTTCTAGGCTAGCCAGGACTACGTAGTAAGGCCTGATCTTAGAAGAAGAGAAGGGCCAGGCGGTGGTGGCACATAACTTCAATCCCAGCATTCGGGAGGCAGAGCCAGGTGGATCTCTGTGAGTTCAAGGCCAGCCTGGGCTACAGAGCGAGATCAGGACAGGCACCAAAGCTACACGGAGAAACCCTGTCTTGAAAAAAAACAAAAAAAGAAACAAAACAGAAGAAGAGGAGGAGGAAGAAGAAGCAGAAGGAAGAAGAAGAAAAAGAAGAAGAGGAAGAGGAAGAGAAAGAAAGAAATGTGTCCCGGGGAGAATCCTTCCTGCCTCTTCCAGCTTCCAGAAGCTCAGGTCTTCCTTGTCCTGTGGCTGCTTCCATCTTTCCCTCCTGTACATTTTCTTCCAGTTATAATAAGATCCTTGTCCTTGACTCAGGACAACCCCATTCTTAATTTAAGTACATTTGCAAAGACCCTTGTTCTAACGAGGCCATTTTCACAGGCTCTAGGAGGATGTGGGTGGAGTTTTTGGCTGTGTGACATTAACTTATAGGATATACAGGAAAAAACACTAAGAAGGAAGTATCCTAGGCTAGCAGTGGACATGTTACCATGTTAAATCAATGACAGATTTATTATCCATTTTCCATTTTAAAAAATAATAAATTAGCTGGTTGTGGTGGTGCACGCCTTTCATCCCAGTGCTGGGGAAGCAGAGGCAGATAGATCTCTGTGAATTCAAGGTCAGCATGGTCCACAAAGCAAGTTGCTGGACAGCCAGGGCTGCTACACAGAGAAACCCTGTCTTGAAAAACAAAAAAAACAAACAACAACAACAAAAAAAATTACCTTTAATTAAAAAAAATGTATTTTATGTGTATTGGTGTTTTGCCTATTTACATGTATGTACCACATGCATGCCTGGTGCCTGTGGAGACCAGAAGAGTGTGTCAGGTCCCCTGGGACTGGAGTTACAGACAGTTAATGAGTTACCATACAGGTGCTAAGAATCAAACTGTGTCCTCTGGAAGATCAGGCAGTGTTCTTAACCACTGAGCCATCTCTCCAGTGCCAAATTACCTTTATATTGAAAGAAAGGAGCTGGATTTTAAAGAATACCATTGCTGAGCTGCAGCAGCTAGAAAATGCCTTTATTGAGGTCCGGGTTCTGATACCGGCTCTATCACGGGTTGGCCTGTGTGGCTTCAGGTGTGCTGGTGGAGATGCAGCTCTCAATTTCCCAACCGCACAGGGGAGCTGCAACTCCTCGGAGGAGACAGGGATACCTACAGGGTGAAGACTGAATTGTGAGTATTGGTTGGAGAGAGGGTTGACCTCCTAGGATGAAGAAGATACGTCCAAATGCAGAGACTTCGTTTTGTTCGGTTTAACAGCCTAGGCCCACACAAGAGTGACTCCTGCCCCGTAGCATGGCTTTGCTCCCTGTGCACAGCCCTACTGTTCTACTCCACAGTGTGATGCTCTCCTGTCTTTGATTGAAGCTGGAGTTTTGGGGACGAGCCGAAGAGTATTATAGAAACTGGCTGTCGAGGGCAGAAGGTCCTGAAGAACAAAGAGGCTGGCAGCTCTAGGGTGGCACAGGCTGTAGTATGTTAAGGATATTAAGAGTCTCTGCACCCCAAGATGGGAGGAAGGGGTTTATGTGCTAAGATAGGCAAAGGTGGACCATGGCCAACTGGAATGTGCCAAGCTAACAACTATTAACATGTCCTGTAGGGTTTGGGATTTGTGTTGGGGTCATCTGGCACTTATGACCAAGATGGCAAAATGCACGCCAAGCTGGGTCCTTCCACTGGGTCACCTTTACCTGCTTGCCCTAGCCTTTGAAAAGGGGAACAAGATGGAAGATACCAGCAACAAGCAATTTCCATTTAAGCAATCAATGTGGTGTTGCACATACCACTTCTAGCCTTGCCTTACTGGAAGGAATTTAGTCACCTAGCCACCCTGGCCAGGCCTAGCTGCAGGGTATTCTGGGAAATGTAGTCTGAGAAGCTGTATACCCACTTGACACCCCTGGGGCGTTCTCTTCCTAAAGAGCGAAGGAGGAAATGAACACAGAAAGGTGTTGGTGTTCACAAGAGGAGGTAGAGTGAAGGGTTGGAGAGAGTTGAGGGTCAGCGAGAGGGCTCAGTGAGCAAAGGTGCTTGCTGCCAAGCCTGACAACCTGAGTGTGATCCCCAAGACCAGAGGAAGAGGAGAACCAGCCCCTGAAAGTTGTCCTTTGACCTCCTGGGGACCTGTGCACACAACAATAATACTAATTAATAATAATAAATGTAACTGTTTTTAAAAAGTTGAATTCCACTCTTTTGGTGCACAGTGTAAATTTTTGTTTGTCGTGTTTGGTTCTAAACTATTGCGGTTACCCAAGAAATTTGTTCAAAAATACGACTGTTGAAGCAACACTGTCTACCAAAAACGTCCCAGGCAACTCTGATTTTTTTTGTTTTGGGTTTTTTTCAAGACAGGGTTTCTCTGTGTAGCCCTGGCTATCCTGGAACTCACTCTGTAGACCATGTTGGCTTCAAACTCACAGAGATCCATCTGCTTCTGCCTCCCAAATGCTGGGATTAAAGGCATGTGCCACCGCCACCACCCAGTTGTATCAAGTCTTTGACATCCAGTGTCTATTCACAAGTTATGACACATCTCTTCTTGGACTCAGCACATTTCAAATGCTCAGAAGCCACATGTAACAGTCAAAAGGAGAGTTCTAGAAAATGAACTTCTTTAGGAATTTTTTGAAATTGTTTCATGCTTTCTTTTACAAATTTACTAGGAGCTGCCTCTGCCTTAAGAAATTAATATCCAGCCGGGCGGTGGTGGCGCACGCCTTTAATCCCAGCACTCGGGAGGCAGAGCCAGGCGGATCTCTGTGAGTTCGAGGCCAGCCTGGGCTACCAAGTGAGTCCCAGGTAAAGGCGCAAAGCTACACAGAGAAACCCTGTCTCGAAAAACCAAAAAAAAAAAAAAAAAAAAAAAAAAAATTAATATCCAAAGTCAGGTGGTGGTGGCACAGGCCTTTAATCCCAGCATTTGGGAGTCAGAAGCAGGTGGATCTCTGTGAGTTTGAGGCCAGCCTGGTCTACAGAGGGAGTTCCAGGACAGGCTCCAAAGCTACAAGAAAAACCGTGTCTCGAAAAACAACAACAAAACAAGCAAACAACCCTCCTCCCCCTAATTAATATCTCAGCCTGGCAGTAGTGGTTGGTGCATGCCTTTGATCCCAGCACTTGGGAGGCAGATAATCTTACTGTATTGCCCAGGCTAGCCAGAAACACTTGGGCTTAAGCGACCCTCCTGCCTCGGTCTCCAGAGGAACTGGAATAATAAACATGTGCCCGTGTGAGCAGCTCATTTACGTTGCCTGTGAACAGTTGTCTCCCCCTACTCCAGTTTGGAGACAAGGGTCACACGCAGCCCAAGCTGGCCTCAAGTATGCTATGTGGTCAAGGATGACCTTGAACTCCTGGTCCTCCTGTCTCAGCCTCCCAAGGGCTGGGATTACAGTTGTGAGTCACCATACCTGGCTTTGCTTGTTCATGTTCTTTTTGTTTTGTTTTTTGTTTTCTGAGACTGGGTTTCTTGGTGTAGCTCTGGCCATCCTGGAACTCACTATGTAGACAAGGCTGGCCTCGAACTCAGAGATCTCCTGCCTCTGCCTCCGGAGTGCTGGGACTAAAGGTGTGCACTATTACCACCCGGCACTTGTGAACATTATTATTATTATTTTTTTTTGGTTTTTTGAGACAGGGGTGAACATTCTTTTATGTGCTTCTGGGGCAGGTGCTTAAAGTATTTTCCTAGGAATTGGGGTTGCTGGGTCTTGGGGATGTGATCACCTCCAGATGGACGGGACATTGCCGAGTGGCTCCCCAGAGTGGTGCCATGAAGTGTCATACAGTTCCTGGTGCTCCCCTCTCACCGACACACAGGAGCGCAGCCTTAGCATTTTACCACTCTGACAGGAGCCTCTTCATCTTGGCCTCGTAGGACGCTATGAACAGGAAGATGGAACAGCTGAGACTAGAGTATATGGAAATGAAAGCTGTCATTGATTCGGCGGAGACCAGCTCCACACGCAAGCTGAAGGAGGAGGAGAAGAGGGTCTTCGGAAAGCTGGAGACCATCTACCAGGTTCTTGTCAAGAAGAGGAATGAGATGCAGAAACTGAAGGCGGAGGTGGAACTCACCTTGGCCAAAGCAGACGAATTTGAGTTTCTGGAGGTGAGTCATGATGAGGCTGCTGCTGTGCGGCGTGTTAGCATCCCAGGGTTGGTAGTAGCCTGGACCTCACGGAGTTGGGGCTGGATGTCCCGGAGACACGCTCTATTTCTGTGCTCTGCAATAGCTCACCTGAATTTAGGGGCTTTGGAGAACATCTGATTATTATCTCGTTGTTCCCTTGGCTCGGCATCTGGGCGTGGCTTCCTGGTTGTTGACGTGGCGTCAGCAGCCCAGCTGCCGGCTGGGCTGTAGTGATTTTGGACCGCAGGGTTGTTTTCCAAGTGCACCTGGCTACTGGCAGAATTTTAGTTCCTGGGGCGATAGACCAAGTGTACACTTTCTTGCTGGCTCTCGGCTGAGGCTTTTTTTTTTTCAACTTGGCAGCATGTGCATCCTCAAGCCAGCAGAAACATTCCTCCTTCTAAGAAGGCCTGCGTTCCTCTATTAAGGTCTTTTACCTCGTTAAGTATCCTGGCCCACCCAGGCTAACCGCCCTTTTGATTACTTGTTTCGACTGGTTTGATGTCTCATTGTCCCTGTGGTGTATCTCCTCTGTTATACCGTGTAAGTCTGTTGGGCAGGAACATCCTTCCCCCATCTGCCCTGTACTCGAGGAGATGGTTATGGAGGGTGTGTATAAGAGGAGACTCTTGGGACCATCTTAGTATGTCACTCACTGTACAGGTGTCTCCCTTCTCTTCCTGTCCTCCCTCAGGTGGTCCCCGAAAATCTCTTTCTGAAGCACTATCTTCCTGCTCCCTCAGGCATGGTGCTTCTTAGCAGGGTCCGTGAGTGAGGTCCACGCTGTCCAGACTTGGTCTTTGCAGTCAGGCTCGTCTGCTGCCTGCACCCTTTGTCCGTGCCTGTGTTCTGACCACACAGCAGGCGCCACACTCTTCATTTCCACTGAGTGAGCACATGATGTTGACCTCCTCTGCCCCGTGGATTATGTCCTTTTTCCAGGGCCACCCCTTGGGTCCCGCTGTTACATATTATTAGTGGTGCAGTATTACCACCTGGGGGACCAGCCTCCAGGCAGCTCAGGGCTGGAAAGGAATCCACAGCGTTAGTGTAAGCTAAGACTTTTCTATCCGAGGGGCTCAGGGAAAAAGACACTCACGCTGCCTTGATGATTTTCTTCATTTTTCTGTTCTCATGTTTTTCTACAGCTTACACACCCCAACAAAATCTTTCAGGCAATACAGGAGTCACAAAGGGGTTACATTCCATTTTTCAAGTGAATGATTATAAGTAGAAACATGTTTTTCATTTCCCTTATGATTAAAAACAGGGTCATCTCAATAACCCACATACTATACATCTAAGTGTATAAGTGACTTGTCACACACAGATTAATAGATCATGAGTAAGCAAGGAACATTTTTTTCTCAGCCAACTCTTTTGTTGACAGGCTGCAACTTGTAGTGACAAAGAAAGAATCAATCACTTAATTATCTATCTTGAAAGGTAATCTTATAAGGAATTTTAAAGGAGTCATAAACCTAAACTTTTATACATAAAAAAGTCAGTTAGCTGAACTTTGAATCTTCAGGGTACGTATCCATTCATCAGTAGTTTCTTATATCAGAAAATTGAGGTCAGGGGGCTGGAGAGATGGCTCAGAGGTTAAGAACATTGACTGTTCTTCCAGAGGTCCTGAGTTCAATTCCCAGCACCCATATGGTGGCTCACAACCATCTGTAATGAGATCTGGCTCCCTTTTCTGGCCTGAAGGGATACATGCAAACAGAACACTGTATACATAATAAATAAATAAATCTTTAAAAAAAAAAAAGAAAAGAAAGAAAGAAAATTGAGGTCAGGCATGGATACAAGGAATCAATCATCACCTTTGATCATCAACCAGACCTAGCAACAGTCGGGCTTCTTTGTATTTTCATCTCTAGCCTAATGAATCAGACAGCTCAGTTACGTGTCCTTGTGAACTTTGTATTGTTTTCTGGGGTTATTTATCTTAAAACTCTTAGCGAAGCATCTGGTCTAATCTGAAGTTATTTTGAAGCTTTGTTTCAGCTAATGATGAACACTGAAACCTGTAACTGGGTCTTTTCAGCGTTAAGAGAGTTAGAGCCAGACTGGCTCCTGGGAGACTTGATTGTTTTCCTTACTCACTGAGCTATGACCTATAGCAGCTTCTTAGGTGGCTCATTGGCCTTAGCTGTGAAACACTTCCTTGTATTTATTTATTTATTTATTTATTTATTTATTTATTTATTTATTTATTTTGGTTTTTCGAGACAGGGTTTCTCTGTGTAGTCCTTGTATTTATTTTTATTCATCAAAACTCTGTATGAGCTATCATCACTATTATTATCAATTAGACAGCACAATCAAGGGAGGAATCATCTTCATGACAATCCACAGATAAAAATGCCCAGTAAATTTCCACGAGATGAACACATTACATCACAGGCCGTGGGGATCTCCCCACACCCACGCACACCATGCTGGATCCCAGAGAAAGACGGCAGCAGCAAACATGTGAAGGCACAGCAGAAGCAAAAGATATTCCGGGGCCTAAATGATTCACACATCAGAGAGTTTCCCCCTGGTGGCCTGAGGCCCCTTGAATTTCAGTTGCCACCTGCTGCTCCTCTGTGTCACACTCCACCGCCACCCCAGCACTAATGATGCCATTTTCAGATGTGTTTCTCTTTGTGCATCCTTTGGCTGTCAGCCACATGTCATTCCCCCTTCTCCCTCACCTGTCTGGTGCAGGGCCCAGATCTCTGTGATCTACCTAGTGTGGTCCCCCAAGGACCCAGATTCCCTGCTCAGTACAGGAGCGATGGAGCTTCCTCTGTGTGTGATGCCTACTGGTACCCTCGTGGAGGTTTGATGCTGCCCCTGCAAGCTCATTCCTGTGCCCAAGAACTGCTGAGTTCTCTAGGAAAGAATTCGAAGTCCTTGTCTGAGTCCCTTTCAGTCTGGAGGACTCAAGTTAGTGAAGTAGCTTTCCAACTTCAGTGACACCCCCATCCTGACCCCCATCCCATAGAAGATGTCCTTGAATGCCATGAGACATTCCTGCTTATTATCAGACCTTCGGTTAGGGCTTCATTGGGGTGGAAGGTCTTGTATCTCTTGGGAGGAGGAGGGGAGCTCCAGAGATGGGCCATCGAGTCTGTGCCTATCATTGGCACAGTTTCTGCCAAGTCACTTGCTATGTCTAGACCTCTTTCCCAATTCGTAAGACAAGTGACCTCTGAGGTCCTTCCAGCTCCAGTTTTTTGGGTTTTTTTAATTTAATTTTTTTGTTTTTGTTTTTTTGAGACAGGGTTTCTCTGTGTAGCAGGGTTTCTCTATAGCTTTTGGAGTCTATCCTGGAACTCATTCTGTAGACCAAGCTGGCCTCGAACTCACAGAGATCCACCTGCCTCTGCCTCCCAAGTGCTGGGATTAAAGGCGAGCGCCACCTCCGCCCGGCTATTTTAATTTAATTTAATTTATAATGTATGAGTGCTCTGTCTACATGTATGCCTGCGCGCCAGCAAGAGGGCATCAGATCCCATTATAGATGGTTGTGAGCCACCATGTGGTTGTTGGGAATTGAACTCAGGACTTCTGGAAGATCAGCCAGTGCTCTTCACAGACTGAGCCATCTTCCAACCCCCAACTCCAGTTCTTAAAGAAGCGCTTCAATCACTGGTGACCTTGGGCTTGTGATTGAAGCAGGCATCTTCATGGGTGATAGAGGAAACATCTTGTGGGGTTGATGAGGACAGAGCCCAGGCCCTGGCTTCCCTCAAATTGCCTATACTTAACATCTTGGCTTTCTTCCAGAAAGCTGCAAAATTGCAAGGGACGTCAACGAAACCAGTCTACATCCCCAAGGTAGACGCAGACCATGAGTTGATAAAGGGGGTCTACCAGAGCGCACTGGACCTCAAGGGTGAGCTGAGGCGCTCCCTCAAGCAGCTACAGAAGAAGGTTGAGGAGTCCCCTGGCTCAGGTAACAGCAGTGACCCCACGCTGATGGTTCCTTTGGTGCCTTAGGGTGTGATCCGGAACACTGGGACTTGAATTTCAGGGGTTTGGAAATCGCGTTCTCCACTGGCTGTGGCTCCGCTTTGTCGGGACGTAACAGCTGTCCTTCCAAAAAGGGGTTTGAGGCTCAGTGTTCTGATGGCCTCTGGAGGCCGGCTTAGACGGATTCGGGGCGACTCTGGATTGCCAGTGTGTTTGGTGGACCAATGGCTGCTTCCACACCTCTCCTTTCTTTCTTTCCTCCACATCTCAGCCACCATCATGCTTCACTGCTTTACGTACACACACCCTGCTGCCACCACTCAATTCTGGGGACTGATCCCAGTGTATGCCGGGCAAGCACTCCACCACAGACCTGTATACCCAACCCTTGGTATTTTGAAGCGAGGTCTCTCTGTGTAGCCCAGGCCATCCACCACCTCCCAAGTACGGGGATGACAGGTGTGTACTACCACACCTAGCCATCCAATTTTCTTTCTCTTCTGCCTCTGCCCACTGAGCCCAGTGCAGACACCACCTGCCTGCTTCTGACTCCATCACTTGTGCTGCATGACCATGCTAGCTTCCTCCAAGGTCCGGCTGCAGCTGCTGCTGTATCCAGGAAGGATTTTTCAAGACGTGGATATGATCTTGTTTTCGTCCTAACCCTTTCTGGGGGCTTTCCATTGTCCTAAGGTGATAGACCAGATCCTTGACTTTGGCCGACAAGCCAGATTAGATACTGTCCCCCAACCCCTCACGCATGTCTCTACCGTCAATCTCTCAGGGCCGTGCTTCCTGCCACAGGACCTTTGTACATATCCTCCCAACACACGTGGCTTGGAGCATCACCATTCTTCACCAGCTAATTCTTTTCCACTGTTTTATTGTACAATTGGGTTTGGCTGTCCTGCCAGCTGAACCTGCCCTCATATACTAGGCAAGTGCTCTACCACATGACCCTTTTGAATATTTTTATTTTGAGGCAGGATCATTTTTTGAAACTTGAGTGAACAGCTCAAGTCACAGTATCATGGCAGGATGTAGCACGAATCCTAATTGTTCTTAATAAAAAACCTGGAGCCACGTATCGGGGTAAATGTTGAAAGATCAGGGAGACAAAGGAACAAGCCGCAGCCGGGTCTCACCTCACCAACTCCTCAGCTGAAAAGGACTGAGCTCCTTTCTCCTCGTGCCTTATATTCCTCACTCCGCCCAGCCATATCACTTCCTGTCTCAACCTCCCAAGTGCTGGGATTAAAGGTGTGTGCCACCACTGCCTGGCCTCTATGGCTACCTAGTGGCTGGCTTTGCCCTCTGATCTTCAGACAAGCTTTATTTGTGTTAGAGCATATACAAAATATCACCACATTTCCCCTTTTTGTCTAAAATAAAAAAGATTATAACTAATTTAAGAAAAACTATATACAATATATATAGGCAATAGTTACATCAATAATTAACACTTGACAAATTCAGAGAAAATACTCTATTATTTATTCTGTTTTGGTGAATCCAAAGTGTTGTACGTAATTCACTTTCTATCCTAACTTGTATTACCAACTGAAAACTATCTTTTGATGTCTCTAACTTATACACTTCCTATCTCTTTAGTGAGTTTCTTTTCTAGCCTCTAGGCTAACTAGTGGCTGGCTTTGCCCTCTGATCTTTGGGCAAGCTTTATTTGTTAGAGCATACACAGAATACCACCACAGCAGGAAGTCAGGGTCACAGAGCTTGCAGCAACTGGTCATGTGACATCTTCAGTCAGAAGAGCAATGAATGTATGCACATTGGTGCTCACCTTGATTTCTCCATTTTATACAGTCCAGCGTCCCAGTCAGGGAGTAGTACACCCGACTGGGTGGGTCTTCCCATCTGAGTTAATGTAATCTTGATAATCCTCCACAGGCGTGCTCAGAGGGCCATCTCCCAGGTGATTCTAGACTCTGTCAAGCTGACAATTTAACATGGACTGTCACGTTGGGCTTCCTTCTCGCTGTGTGAAAATCATTGAACCTTTACATTTTATCTGCCAGGTTCCCATACCAACATTCTCCTTTAAAAAGAAAACATGTTTATTTATTTTGTGTGTATACATATGTATATTTTATATGTGTATGTATGTGAACATGTGCACTATGGCACAGGTCTTGAGGTCCGAGGACAACGTGCAGTTTTCTCTTTCCACTGTGTGGGTCCTGAGGATTGAACTCAGGTTTGGTGGCATGCTCCTTTACCCACAGAGCCATCTTGCCAGCCCCATTTCCACTCCTTAGACTAGGATCCTTTTCCTTTGGGATCCTTTACAAAGGTACCATGTTATTGTTCCTTGAGATTCCCATCCATCTCCCTCATGAGGCGGTGACTTCTGTGAAGGCTAGGACCGTGGTGGTCTGTTGTGAAAAGCTGTCCCACAGTACTGAGGGATAGAGCCTGACCCGTTTGTAAAATCCCTGTTTAGTAATGCAGGTGATGGCCTTAAACCTCAGTGTGGCCGACCCAGTGCCCTTGCAGAAGGGCTTTTGAAACAGGTGAAGATGAGGTACCTCATGGAAGGTTCTGGAAGTACTCCCATGGAGTAAATCTGTGAGTGACTAGCCTGCCGAGTGAGGGAAGAAAGAACCAGTGGACAAGAAACTGGCCTAGTCTCCACCCTAGTCACCTTGACCTCCTTCGGGGGTTCCATCAGCCATCATCAAGTTGGTGTTCTCCTTCATGGATGGCAAAAGAAACCAATTCTCAGAGAAGTCCCAGAGCTGGGTGCTAAGGACGAGACTTCACCCCAGCTGCCTTTTAAGCAGAGAAGAGAAGGAGCAAACAAATTGGTCCTCCTGACATTTTATTTCTGCCTCTTGTAAATGAGTGGATGGTCAGTGGGAGGGCCGTCTGTGTGGTGTTCTGCCCACAACCTTGACAAACCTAGCTCTTGGAGTGGGTGGGGAGGAGCTACCTACAGCCAGTCAATCCCTTTTCTCTGGCACAGGTGACCTGGGAGATCAGGGTACAGAGTCCACACCCAAGGCCACGCGCCCTGCGAAGAAGACCCCACGTGAGTAGTCTCCTCTTATCTCTCTGGTGTGGCTGTGGCTGACAGGTGCTTAGTTGAGGCCATCCCAAGTGTTTTACTGGGGAGTCAACTGGAGAAACATTCTGCAACAGGCCCCATATGACAAGTGATATGGGGCCGGACAGGCACTCTGCTGGGGCAGGAGAGGTGACTTCTCCACCAACACTGGCTATGTGGGATAGCATAGTCACCAAAGCTGTCATGTGTTGGAGGGATATTTGATACTCCAGACCCTGCCAATAAGTGTGCTCTCTACCCAGCTGGCTTTAATGCACACCGCTGTTACAGTATTTCTTTCTCTCTCTCTCTCTCTCTCTCCCTCTCTCTCTCTCTCTTTAAACTTTCCTGTCTTTAGTGTGCATGTCTGTGTGTTTATGTTTGTGTGGAGGAGTGTGGACATGTGGTGCATGTGTGGAAGTCAGAATTCAACCTTGGATGCCAGTCATTACCTTCCACCTTGTTTGAGACAGGGTCTCTTGTTTGCCATGGCATAAGCCAGGCTCACTGCTCTGAGAGCTTCCGGGAGTCTCCTGTGTCCATGTGCCATCTTGCCGTAAGAGTTCTGGGACTTCGGATGCATGCTGCCCCATCTGGCATTATCTGGGGTCTGAAGATCTGAACTCAGGTCCCCCATGCTTGCATGACCAGTGTTCTCTGCCCACGGAGCCGTCTCCCCAGCCTCATATTTCTCACTATTTTCCCCTGTTGACCTCTCCCACTGAGCCATAGAAAGTGTTTTCGTAATTGTTCCCACCAGTGAAAATTTGATTCTACCTGTGTACAGTGTATTGGTTTATTTAAAAAGAAGAGTAAACAGTAAGCAGGGCATGGTGGTACATGCCTTTAATCCCAGCATCTGTGAGTTCGAGGCCAGCCTGGTCTACATAGTGAGTTCTAGGACAGCCGGGCTATGTAGAGAGACCCTGTATCTAAAAAGGGGGGGAAAAAAAAAAGGAAAGAGAACAATTTGTTTGTTTGTTTTTGTTTTGTTTTTTTGAGACAGAGTCTTTTTGTGTAGCTTTGCCTGTCCTGGAACTCACTCTGTCTTGTATAATATTAGCAGGACCAGCCTTAATATTATACATCCCAGGGGCTCAGGAGAGAGAACTACTAACAGCGAGGACTATTTTCAGGAAAAATGAATCTCAGCACACCGAGCTCTATAGTCCACTTGCTTTAATTCCTCTGGCATAACATCCTTTATACCCAGCTTCAGTTCTGTTCTCATGCCTAGCTCCTTTCTTGCCTGATTTCTCTCTATACTTATCTAAGTTCTATCTTAATTCTCTCGTCTTAATTCTGCCTCATCTAGGTCCTTTTCAGCTTGTTCTTAGCCAGCTAGTACTTCCCCATCTGGCTCTTCCTCATCTTCCAGCTCATTCCTCTAATCCTCTCTTCTAGCCCTTCAATCTAGTTCTTCCCCATCTCAGTTTGTTCCTCTCATGTTCTTGCCCGTCTAGTTCTTCTGTTCTCTTTTCTCTTCTCCGTCTTCATGCCCTGGAAGTCCTGGTATATAAAGCCAGGCTTCCAGGGACAAACGGGAGGGGTGATAAGAATCACATTGAGAGGCAATAACCGTTAATTATCATTTGCAACCCCAAAGGGAAGTGACCAATGGGAAAATGAATTAACTAAAGGCTAAATTTGGGTAATATCTAAGAAGAGGGATCTTATGTGCTCAACTATAGTTTCAAACGTGATTAGTAGAAAATGTTAAGAATCTTTAAGTTGCTAGGGCAATGGGAGAAAATAAAACTGTCTTCTTTTTTCCTGTGGCTCCTATCTGTCCAAGCTATCTGCTGTTTTTTATGCAGGTTGGGGGAAAGTGTGATCAGTCACTAGACAACCTGTGTACAGCTAGATGCCTCTGGTGATAGTTAAAGGGAGATCTGGAATTAGAGGTAAGGTTTGGGAAAGGAGGAAGTAAAGTTTAATTGGCACATCTGCCAGGCCTTCTCAAACAGGTAGCCTGGATGCTTAAGTCTGTTCTTAGAGAGTACAGAGGTATCTCTGCTAAGGTACTTTCCTTCAACTGGGGATGGACCTGGCCGGATGCTGCCAATGATGATAATTACAAGGAGGCTTGAACTGGGGTTCTGGCTGAGCATAGCTGTCAGCGCAGAAGGTTATCTAAATATTCCTAGAAGTGGTTAGGTAAGGAGTTGAAGGTCTATAAAGTTAGTAAGGATGTAAGAAAGGAGGGTCCGAGCTAAATTGTGTAAAGCTATTACTTAACATCCACATGACCTAGGTGGTGTCTCCTTGTGGAATTTGCCTTACATCAGGAGACTTTCATGTGTACTGTTATTACTGCTAGTCCTTGAAAGTGGCTAAGGGAGATATCTGATTCCAGAGAAAGCCTTTCCTGAGGCTGTTCTCCAAATACCTGGAATGTGTATGTCCAGAGAGTGATCAGTCCTCAGTGTTAGCCCTTCTTAGGGAAAAGTCAATTGGGAAAACGATGAAGGCACACGTGATTTTCATAACAGAAGACAGCTGATATATAACAAGCCAAGTAACACCAAAAACTCCTTGGGATTTGGCTTCCTCTGGAGGAATTCCCAGATCCCTCCAGGTAGTGACTTTGCCATAACCAGCTGAGTTCTTATGATATATTCCTGCGGCCCGCAGCAACTCTGTAGATCAGACTGGCCTCAAACTCACAAAGATCCACCTGCCTCTGCCTCCCAAGTGCTGGGATTAAAGGCGTGCGCCACCACCGCCTGGAAAAAGAACACTTTTTACACCCCACACCTCAAGCATTAGATTTGACCCCCTTTCCCTCCCCCATCAGGGAGGATGTCACTGTCATTGGGACTGTGGACATGGGGCTGGGGAAGAATAGGATGAATCTCCTTGCCCCTCACATTTGGAAAATAATGACAGTTGAGCCCATGGGATGAAGACAAGTAAGGTTCCCATGGGACACACTGGTTGTGAGAACTCTTTATAGCCCTTAAACGAGCAAGCTGTGACTCTTTCCCGGAGGTCAGTATGAAAAGGCATTGAGGCGCTCCGCTGTTAGTGGTGTGTGTGTGGGTGTGTGTGAGAGAGAGGACTCTGGGCGCGTTTTACTGTTTGTTGCTGGTTTCTAGTGTGTGAGGAGTTGTCTTCAGCAAACCACTCATGGGCATCGGTCTCTCTGTGGCCTAGAACACCTGGCGACAGAGTGTGCACTTGGAAGAGTCCTTGGGAAGGCAGGATGTTTTTAAAGCAGGATTGTAATACTTAACCAAGACTTTTTTTTTCCTGTCTTCCTCTTTCTTGTTTGTTTTTTTTTTCTTTTGTAGCATTCTAATCTACCTGTAGTAAAATGCACAGACCCTAAATGAACAGTTAAATACATTTTTGACAAATGGGTCCCATCTTACCATTATCCAAATCAATGTAAACACTTCCTAGAAAATTCCTTCCTATTTCCTAATAGTCTATACCCCCATGACCCTGGTGGGGGTTCCTGTCCTTGTCGATGTGTGTTGCCAGCTCCCCCCTTATATTTCAAATGAAGCCAGCCTTCCTTAGTTTACATGAGTCAAATGCATTCTGATGAATGTTCCTGTGATCTCTTGTGTATAGCAATGTGCTTTCAACTTTCTTAATCCTCAAATCTTTTCTTTTTTAGAGGAAAAGAAGACCAAGAAAGCCTGTAAGTTGTGCATTTGTGTATCTTTTTGTTTCCATGACTTGTTTGAGTCCAGAGCTAAGGTTAAGAGCACCAGTGGACCTGCTTTAACAAGGGCTCTCTACCATGGACCCATTCTTACACATGTGTGCTGTGAAGGCAGCCCGGTCTGAGCAGGGAGAGGGGGCCCATGGTAAATGAGTGTGACCGATAAAGAGCCTTATCTGGACTCCCTGTGTGGCCTTGGCTGGTCAGATGTGTTTGTGGAAGTCATCGTCATAGAAGGGAAGAGAGGTCATCTAGTCCTCTGTAGCCTACCGCTGTTTCATGTTGTCCTTTCCTCACCTCTCAGCTGCTCCTACTGGCCCCAGCCAAAGCTCTTCCCCATCCAACAAGTTTCCCACCTTTGGAGCTCCTGGAGAGTCAATGGACTTTAAAACAACTGTCCCTGAGGGTGAGTTATTGTGGCCAAGGGAAGTATCTACCATTTGTCCTGAGTTTGTCGTGAATACCACTCTCTGTTTCTCTTCTAGCCACACCCAAACCCAACACCCCACAGCCAAACTCTGCTGCACTCAAAAATAAGGTCCTAGAAAACTTCTTAGCCAAGTCCAGAGCTGAGCTTCTGGAGTGTGAGTAGCTTGGCTATGTGGATGGAAGAGTGGGTGGGTGGATACATGCATAAATGGGTAGGTGAATGGGTGGCCAGGTAGATGGTTAGGTGGGTGGATGAGTAGACAGATGAATGGGTGGTCAATGGACCAGTGAGTGGGTAGTTGCATGAGTTGATAGATGATGTGTGTATTTGAGTGGGTGTTTGGAGAGATGAATGGTTAGTTGGATGGATGGATGGATGGATGGGTGGGTGGGTAGATGGATAGGTGTATGTGAATGAGTAGATGGATAGATGGATAGGTGTGTGTATGAGTGGGTAGATGGATAGATGGATGGTTAGATGAGTGGGTGAATGGGTGGGCGAGTGAATGGATGGATGAATGGATGATGTGTGAATAGATAGATGGATGGGTATGTGGATGTGTGGATGGGTAGTTGAGTAGGTGGATGGATAAAATAAATATATAGATAGGGAAAGTTTTAAAATTGAAAGTACCTTAGGCCTCTTGTCATTGATTCCCTGGGGGATGTTTTCTCAGATTTCGTTAAAGTTGTCTTCGACTACAATACTGCTCACAACAAAGTGATCCTTTCAGACAACTACACCACCGCTTCTGTGGCTGATGGGCTCCAGCACTACCGGTCACATCCCCAGAGGTTCACCTACTGCTCTCAGGTTCTGGGGCTGCACTGCTATAAAAAAGGCATTCACTACTGGGAGGTGGAGCTGCAGAAGAACAACTTCTGTGGCGTAGGCATCTGCTATGGCAGCATGGAGCGGCAGGGCCCCGAGAGTCGGCTGGGCCGGAACGCCAACTCATGGTGTGTGGAATGGTTTAACAACAAGATCTCTGCCTGGCACAACAACGTGGAGAAAACTCTGCCCCCCACCAAGACCACGCGAGTCGGTGTACTTCTCAACTGTGACCACGGCTTCGTCATTTTCTTTGCTGTCACAGAAAAGGTCTATCTGATGTACAAGTTCAAGGTGGACTTTACTGAAGCCCTGTACCCAGCCTTCTGGGTGTTCTCTGCGGGTACCACGCTTTCCATCTGCTCCTCCAAGTAGGCAGGCCACTAGGCCAGCCTCAGACACTTGGACTTGCTGGGGAACATCCAAGACTGGTAAAAAACGCTGTAAGGGCGGGGGCTTCTACTTGGAGAACTTCTGAGTCCCCAACAGATATGAGATTGGGAGGGGAGCTGGGGAAGAGGCAGAGAGAATAAATAGGGGAGATTTGGCTCAGAAAGGGGTGGGGTGACTGTCTTGTGGGTGGGGAAGCCTATCTACCTCCTGGTGCCCTGAGGGCAGGATGAGCTCCTCCCAGTGTTCTGGGGAATCTCAGGCTGCTAGCCACTGGGGCCAAGCTTCAGAGAGTAAAATCATTAGTGCCTCTGTTGTCTTACAGAAAATCTGTAGCCATGTTTTTTCTCCGGTGATGGATGGCTACTGTCTGGGGTAGCCTTCAGACCTTCGGGTTTTGATTATGCTCTAGATTAAAAAAAAAAAAGCCAGGTGCAGTAGTACACGCCTTTAATCCCAGCACTTGGGAGACAGAGGCAGGCAGATCTTTATGAATTCAAGGCCAACCTGGTCTACATAGTGAGTTTCAGGACAGCCAAAGCTACATAGTGTGACCCTGTCTCAAAAAACAATAACAACAAAAAAATCCAGTTTTTGAGTTCAGTGTATATATTCTGTCTCTGGCGCTAGGTATTGAATCCTACGGCCTTTCTATGCTCTACTGCCGAGCTTCATCTCTACTCTGAATTTCCACATAACCCTTCCTCCCAGGAACCTTTTGTAGATAAGGCTTCAAACTCTGATCTGAATCTGCCTGTGTCGATTTTTGTCAAGGTAACCCCCATCCAGGTGAGATGGAGCCTCTCCCTCTCCAAGGGGCATCTCAGCAGGGACATGTTGACCGTGGCCATGGAGCTGGAGGCCTTTCTTCCCATAGCCTGTGCTGGGAGTGGGGGTAGGGAAGCAGAACCTTGGCTGGCTTAATGGGAGCCTGATGGCTCTGCTCTTACTTAATGTCTTGCCTTGACATTAGTAAGTCGGCAGTAATGTTCCCTCTCCTCTGGATTGTAGATACTGGGCTGTGGCTATAAAGGCCACCATTTGCCTTCCGTGGCTACTACAGTTAAGTGGCCAGCCACACCACATTCCCATTCCCTACCGTCATGCAGATGGGCTGTGTGTGGTTGCCGCAGGAGCCATGCTAGATCACCCACTGAGGTGACTACCTGTTGCCTGAGGGACCTGTGGGAGACAGCCGTATTCCTGGTTTTCCCTAGCCACAGACTGCAGGCCCAGTGATGAGTCCGAGACCCATCTCCTAACCTGGTCCTTTCTGCTGTCTTCCTCATTTGAGCCAATTGCTGATGCTCATGTAGACCCAACTGTAGGTTAGGAGGACTTTTAAAGATAAGAAAAACAAAACAAGGAAGGTCCAGCCAGTGGCTGTTTTTTCTGGAGTCTTTCATGCAGTGAAAATAGCCCAGACCACTAAAGGGTGGGGATGGATGACTGGGATCCCCCCACCCTCCTTCTGTACTGATGTCAAATCCAGAAGATATGAGGATTTGGCCTCAGAATGACAGGAGTCCAGCTCTCTTTCCTAAGTGGGGCGCTCCCTCCTGTGCCTTCCTATGAAGAAGAGAGGTCACCATAGGGAAGGTAGGGCCCCTAGACCTTTCACATGGATGGATATTTGAGAGCATAACTCATCTCAGATCTTGTAATGGAATTCCAGGACTCTTAGCATTGGCATTCCTGACAGATGCGTGATCTGTGTCCTCTCCCAGAAGAATGTTCTGTTCTCTGGGAGCATCTTTGCAGGGAATATGTCTCTGTGGATGATATGTGGGCTTTGAAAGGTTTTTTTCCTTTGCTGCACAAATTCTTGGTGATGCTTCTCCGAATTTGAAGATGTCCAAAAGCATCTTCACTGAAATTCTGAAACAAAGCCTTGTTTGGAACCAAGTTAGACTTGGGAAACATCTAGGTCTAGAGAAGTAGAATGCCAAGGGTTAACTGAAGGGTCCCACTTGGGCTGTTCTGCAGAAATGAGACCGATAGCCAAGACTTCCTGGGCAGCTCAGGCTGGGAAGGCATGTGTCTCTCTGTTTATGAAAGAGCCAAGCAGGCGACCAAAGCCCAGAGGTGTTTGGAGTTGTAAGTGGAGGAGTGTACCCTTGCTCTCTGATACCTTTCTGTTTGCAATGGTAAGACCTTACCTTAACCACAAGCGTTTCTGGAATCCGGTACCAGAGGGTCCTAGAATGGACAGAACCTGTGTATCCATCTCACTTCTTCTTTTGCACCATCAGGAAGGTAGGAAGATGGAGGATGGCACTCTTCACCCCTCTTGTCATTCCAGGGTGGAAGAGATGCCTAACACGGGTGACAGGAAAACCCTGGGGCCCTGTGGACATACAGAGATTGCCAGAAACGTTGATGTAAAATCCTATCCTAGACCCAGGTGCTGGGTACTGTCTCAGTCACTCTGGCGTGATAAGCTGAAGGTCAAAGTCTTTGTATTATTCAAGACTGGCTGGCTAATCTTTTTAATTACTTGGAGATTGATTTTCAATCTATTACTAATATCGATATGTTACCTTTTACACCATTTACTTCCCTCTCTTGATTTTAATCGATTAGTAATGTTTTAGTTAATGACTTCTTGGACTTAGTGTTTTAGAGGTGATTCATTATCAAGATAATCATCATAAACAGGGCAAGGCTGGCTGTTGTACCTTACTTTGAATGCAGGAAGCAGAAATCGGTATCCCCTCTGGATTGAGGTGTGGGTGGAAGATGTTGTCACTCAAGCTGAAATCCACTGATGAGGTACCCACCCCTTGAAAGCTACTGCTCAGGGCCTCTGGGTGCTCAGGTTCCACTCCAGACTTACGATCCCTTGAAGTCTACCATAGTGTAGTGATGATTTCAGGGAACTTTGGGTAAAAAATGCTCAGAGAGCGGGTGTGTGGGCTTAGCTTCAAGATAGTGCCAGGGTGGAACATTGATGAAAAGTAAGCCCCACTTGAGTATTGAGTAACCAGCAAGCAGAGGTAGGAACCTGGGGCTCATTTTCTTATTCTCCCTGCCATTGCATAGGCTTGAACATTTCTATCATGAAAAGTTGAATAGTGAAATGGAAAAATGGCCCAGACCAGAGATGGACCCTGTTCATGATGTTTTCTACAAAGGAATAGGTGTCTCAGGACACGTAGATACTTTGTTTGCTATTGAAGGATTTGGCTGGCCTTTGTTCCTGGTTTGGGGGTGTGGGGGGGTGTTAAGTCCTTGGAATTTCCTGAGAGGATGGAGTGTCATTGTTATTTGTCTGCCTTGTGGGTCACAGTGGAATTTTTGTCAAGAGAGGAGATGACCCAGGATGGCAGCTGGCCACTCTAAAGCCCAGCTTGATGATTGATCGGAGGGTTGGGGCATTGAGCTCCAAGGACCCCTTTAAAGAAGAAGAGAGAACTGGGGTTTGAGGTCAGTCGGAGACCTCTGGGAATCCTGCCGGTAAACAATGGTTCAGTTCCAGCTCTGGTGGAGACCTGATGCAACTTCTCTACAGATGAACACATACGTGCCTGTGCTTCAGGCTGATGTATTCTTGTCCTGGACAAGGAAGGACAAGGAAGCTCTGTGCTTCAGACCCTTCCAGACCTTGCCCTGTTTGTGTTCCTATGTGACTGTTTCTGATTCTTTTCATTTCAATAAAGTTCAAATCATAAATACAGTACTATCCTGCCATCTGTGCATTCTAGCAAGTGACCAAACTATAGGCAGGTTGCAGCCACTCCCAGGATTTACAGCTAGTCAACAGTGTGTGGAGCCTGAGGCCACCAAAGTGATGGTGGTGTCTGAGGCCATGCAAGGGGGCACTGGGGAACTGTGTCCCTTAACTTGGGGTGCCATATCTACCTCTTGGTGGCTGGCATGGCCCCTGTGTGTAGTGCAGCAGTAGCTACTGCAACAGAGGTCATGGGACCAGCAAACTTTGAGTAAGTCTCACTGGGCAGCCTGCCACAAAAAAAACTACAAACTACTACCTCATCTTAGGTTTGTTTCATCACTTACCCTGGGACTACCCACTTACCCTGTCAGAGGTCCTTGGAGATGCCACTTTGTCTGTCCCAGAACACTGACATTCAGATAAAAGTCAGAATGGCAATTCAGTCGAAGCAAGCCATGTGTGTGAGTGTGGGAATGTGCCTTGTGAGTGCAGGTGCCCCTTAAAGTCCAGAAGAGAGCTGGGGTGATTATGAGCCCCACTACCCAGATGCTGGGAAGAGGAGGAGGAAGCTTAAGTGCTGAGCTAGCTCTCCAGCCCCAAAGTTGAGGCTCTGTTTGCAACAGAATTTCATTGAACCCAGGCTTAATTCTCGGGAAGCTGAGAGTGAGTGACCTTAAGTTCCTGATCCCCCTGCTTCCCCCTCCCAAATGCGGGGAACAATTTTAAAGTTGTCTATGGTCCAGTGGAGTAACCTCTGGCTGCGATTGTGTTACGGTGGAAATAAATGTATGTTAAAATGAAGGTTGAAGTCAGCTTTACTCCACCTGGGAACACAGAAGAAGGTGAATGAGAAGGCTTGCAGCTGGGTATGAGACAGCCAAGCTGAACTGATAAAGAGGAAGGACAGGATTTGGGGGAAAAACAACAAGGGCGGTCTTGGCAGGCTCCAGCTGCCTGGGGAAGCCCCACAACATGCACAAGGCACTTTGACCTTTCATGTATTCTCCTGAGAGATGGAATTGCAACAGACAGAACCGTGCATAAGAACACCTTCGAGGAAAGCCTCCACCTCTTCCAGGAAGACCATTCCAGAGAGAAGAGAGATTAGAGAAAACTAAGGAAAACTACAGCTACCTCTTGGGACCTATGTCCCCTGGTGGTCAGAATGGCCCATGGTAGTTAAGCATCCTTGCAGCCACAGATAGGTTGTTCCTGCTATGCTAGGGACTCAGCTTTGTTAGCTCATTTACGTTTGTGGTTTTGATACCCATTCCCTTCTGTAAAGATCATGGGAAGAAATACCCTTGAAAGGGAGACCTGGTTCACCATAATTTCATACAGAAAAAAGGGCCACCCACTCCATGAATATTCAAAAACAACTTCTTTAAAGGGCTGGCAGAATGGCTTAGAGGGTAAGGGTGTGCTTTCAAGCCTAAATGGCCTGAGTCCAATCCCTGGAACCCATGAGGCAGAAGGAGAGGACTGCTTCCTGCACATTTGCCCTCTGACCTTTTACATGTGCAAGCACATACAAACTGAATAAATAAATGTCACTGATGTCTTTAAAATCCTCAACACTAAGCAGACTAAGCTGCTTCTCTGTCTTTGGGCAGCTCACTCCAGTCTGTCCTTAAAGTATTCACTTAGCTTAGCTTTGTTCAGTTCACAGATTGAAAGAGTTTGCAGAAAACCAGAGTTCAATTCCAGCACTAACAGGGGCTCACAAACACCAATATCTCCAGTTTCAGGGATCCAAGGGTGTCCTGGTCCCCATGGGCCTGTATAAACACATGGTGCACATACATACACTCAGGCGAACCCCCCCCACACACACAAATACACACACTCGAATAAATAAATCTTTTTAAAAACAAATAAATAAGTCTTAAGAAGAAGAAAAAAAGCTTTTAAGCACAGGCATTAGTAGGGAGAAGGGTGCCTTGAAAAGAACAGGACACACCCAAGACATGGGTGTGAGCTTCTCAGAAGAGCTCTGGGCTTACGTGTCAACAATAGTCAAGTGCATGTTTTTGGTGGCTTCAGAGCTAGATTGTTCAAAGTGTTTCTAAGGAACCTATTATTTGTTAGAGCATGGGGTAATCCTGAAGTGTGCTGGGCAGGATTACAACAGAGATAAGACAAAACAGTAAGTCACAGCAAGAAAAGAATCCTTACTATGGGTGTCACAAGGGATTGTAAATGAAGCTTATAATCTTGTTTATGAGAATCTAAGGAAGTTACAGGGCAACTTTTTAGATCAAAACATGCTGGGGTCAAGTGATGGCGGCCGCTTGCCTTTAATCCTAACACTTGGGAGGCCAAGGAAGGCAGATCTCTATGAGTTCAATGCCAGCCTGGTTTAAAGAGCAGATTCCAGAACAACCAGGGCTACACAGAGAAACCCTGTCTCAAAAAACCATTAAAAAGGAAAAAAAATGTGTTGGGAGGGCCAGTGAGATGGACCAGTGGGTAAAGGTGCTTGCTGCAAGATTGCCGACCTCATTTATGTCCCTGGGACCCACATGGCTGGAAACTGACTTCTGTAGTTTGGAAGTTTTTCTGTGTTCTGTCTGGTCCCACAACCACTCAGTTCCAAGTAAATACAGAGGTTTATATTAATTACAAACCGTATGGCCTATGGCTCAGGCTTCTTGCTAGCTAGCTCTTACAACTTAACTCAACCCATTCCTATTAATCTATGTTTTGCCATATGGCTTCATGGCATCATGTTCTCTTACATCTTGCTGCTCTTCTTGGAGGCTCTCAGCAGCTGCCTGATTCCACCCTTCCTCATCTCTGTCTTCAGTTTGAATATACTGACTAACCTTGTTTTGCCTCACCATTGGCCAAACAGCTTTATTTATCAACCAATGAGAGCAACACATATTCACAGCGTACAGAAAGACATCACACAGCACTTTTCTGTCTAATCAAAACAGAAGATTTTTAACTTTAACATAGTAAAATTATATGTAACAAAACAGTTATCAAGCAAGAATTACAGTTACAATATCTAGTCTATTTGTATTTGGTAAACTTAAATTATAGCTATCTAGTCTTCAACTCCATCAAAGACACCAGAAGAATATATTACCTAAGCAAACAGGAAGTGCATTGTAAGCAACTTCCAAAATTCTAGAAATGACAGAGACAACTGGTTGCCTGGACAGTCACCCAAAGTTCCTCTGCAATGTTGGGGCATCCGTCTTCAACCTATAGATTTAGAGTCTCTAGCAGACTTTTTAGTGAAGCAAGATATTTGAAGGATTGTCTCACCTATTGACAAAGTTCATCAGTCGCTTTCCCCTGTATCCTGCAGAGTGTCTGGCAGTATCTTCTGTGAAGCAGAAACTGAAGGACCATCTCTCCTTGTTTTGGCAAAGTTCAGTGGTCACTTTCCTATGGGTCATGTATGTCCAGTTTATAAAACACACTGTCAAGCAGTCCAGGCAAGAGCAGTTTCTTGCCCAAATGGCCAGTTTTCCCAAGAAGAAGAAAAACTCCATATAGAGTGTCTTCAATGCCCATTGATGCTGCCAGGAGCAGACGTGTCTCACTGTCCAGAGAAGTCTTAAGTTTTTAAAACATTTTAAATGCCATATTCTATAGGTTTTTGAAGTGTTTGAAGATTACCTACTTAATTGAAATATATCTTTATATACCTAAAAAACTTAACTAACATGACTGTAAGTTTGATTATCATAGATGACTATTAATATGTATTTCTTAAGTATATATTACAATTTTTTTTTTTTTTTTGGTTTTTCGAGACAGGGTTTCTCTGTGTAGCGTTGCGCCTTTCCTGGAACTCACTTGGTAGCCCAGGCTGGCCTCAAACTCACAGAGATCCACCTGCCTCTGCCTCCTGAGTGCTGGGATTAAAGGTGTGCGCCACCACTGCCCGGCTACAATTTTAAATGAGTTATATAAACATACCTTAAACAATAGAAATATACATATAGTATAACAAAATTAACTTTAAATTTGTATCAGTAAACCGAAATCCATAGCAATGTAAAATATTTCAAACAAGTTTTTGCTTTTAAAAAGTAGATTCAATAATCTACCCTTTTATCCTATCATATCTATATTCCCTTTCTTTATTTAGAAAGAGATTGCATTTATAATCCACCCTCGTTAAATAAAAATACATTTATAAACAATATTTTGGGAGTTTGGGCATAGCTTTTCATACTACTTCTTGTTGATCAGGGACATTGGCAATCTTACGGGGATCTTGAGAAAATTTGAGATAATGGTCAAGTTCTAGAAAGACTGGCTATAACCTTTGTTGATAGATACCATCTGTCAAGGTTCAGGACGTCTTGCTTGATCAAATCTGATTCATCTTAACCTAGAACAAATCCACAGCCTCTTGCTTTCTGTGGAAACAAAAGCAGAGCCTCCTTTCCAAAGCAACATATCCTTAGATCCAAATTTTGAAGTCAAGATATCTTTTTTTAAAAGACTTATTTATTTATTATGTATAGTATTCTGCAAGCATGAATACCTGCAGGCCAGAAGAGGGCACCAGATCTCATTACAGATGGTTGTGAGTCACCATGTGGTTGCTGGGAATTGAACTCAGGACCTTTGGAAGAGCAGCCAGTGCTCTTAACTGCTGAGCCATCTCTCCAGTCCCAAGGCAAGATACTTTAATATATAAATATATATATATATATATATATATATATATATATATATATATATTGGTTTAACTTAGCAGTCTTTACAATCAAATGTCTTTCTGCAGTTAGCTCATTAACAGTCAAAAATTTTAAAGAAAACACAATATACATAATCTAGGCTCTCTGTGTATGTTCCATCTTTATGTGACTATTTCATTTATATTACTTTTATCGTCTCTTTAAAGACTTTATTTTTTAAAACTTTATATCTTTATATAATTTCCTATTCTCATTTCTCTCTCTCTTCCAAGCCTACATACATTTTTACACATGCTCTGTAAACTGTTTAGAGGTTTATTCCATCTGAATCTGTCTTAT